GCCCTGTTTATCTGCACCTACAGTCAACATACTTATGTATACCAATACAGCCTTTAACGTATATAGACGTGGGGGGGGGGGGGGGGGGGGAGGAAGGTGCCGTGATTCCTATTGGCTGCAGCGTCCCATCCATCTCCGAAGAGGTTTGTGGACTACCTGGCGCATCCCAAAATTATATCTGATCGACCTCGCCCGCGTGATAAACAGTCCCAGAGCTCAAATACCAACGCAAGCACCGACAGCTCTTTACTCGATGAGGTTCGCACTCGACGATCGTCATGGTGGTAGGATATTTTCCCGTCTGCTGTTATTCCTGATGATGTCGCATGGCATGAGGACGAGAAACGGACGGGCAGGTCTTGGAATCATCCCCTGCCCTGCCTCATACCCCACGAATTAGACAACCATGTTTAGAATGCCGCCCGACCCTTGGCCTAAACCCTGATATTGACTTAGGCATCTCTGGTGCCGCCATATGTTCCTTGGCCCTGAGTTTGTTTTGATTGTTTTCGTTGCTTCTTTGTCTTGACAAGACAACCCGCCCGCTCACGACTACAGAGGCGCTGCCGCCGGAGCAGGACACAGGCACATATCGAAGAACTCCACAGTCCTTGTCGCCCAAATATCCCACGGGTTATGATACCCCCATAGCCTTTTGAATGACGATCAAGAAACGTGCATGAGAAAATCCCGGTCTCTCATTCCCATGGGCCCAAAATGACGTGAACGCACTAGGAGTGTATATTGCAGGTGCCATTATTATGAATGACCCAACTTGCCCATGGAAGCGGACATCCGGAAGCTAAGAAGCGAAACACGAGCAAGAAGGTAGGCAGAATTTATTATTACAACAATATAATAATGTTCTGACTACCTTACCCCCTTCTACCCCACAAGTATATATGTTGTTTTCCGGATATGTTCCCGCCTGGGTATAGCTATCACTACCGCAAGTAGCGAATTTTGCAAACTCAACGTCCGCCACAACCTCCACGAGAATCTCCATGAGACTCGTAGCTATGTCCTCCTCGCAGACATAGTGATGTGCGCCTTGCGAATGGTAAGGCTGTCAGTGTGTAGTTGTGATCTCGACGGAGTGGCCTGATCAGTTTCCAATCTTAGCACGGGTGGTGTTGGTGAAGAAAAGCATCAACATTTGACCCAGAAACAGCAGGTGGACGAGCAGGGCCTATGGTCCCGTAATTCGTGTTCCAACCATTTGCTGACCCGATCGAACGGCGAGAGACTCTCCGTTTAATCCATACCTTTGAGATGACCTGTCCAACAACCAGGGAACTATGACCTCATATTTGAGATGAGATAAATGCTTGGGTGCTCATCAATATCCTATTCCATCAACGCTGGTTCAGCCAGCTTCCGTGGTTGTTTATGTATCGGGACTATCATCGGAAACTTGCTCCCTTCATCTTCCACTCGCGATTTCTAATCTCATTCCCCTCAAATCCCACCGGCAGATAGGAGTATCAACTGCCTGCTCCTCACTGAGGCATTCCCCCTATGCTGCTTTTTGGCCAAGGGTAGATAGGTCTTGGGTCGCCAAACCTATCTATCTGTGTCCCTGCTCGAAACGTTAAGATCCAGGAGGCATATTCCCTTCCGAGCAGTCGGTAACAATAGTGTTCTGTTCTATTGTGGTTATATCAACCAGACGGGGTGATTCTTCTCTAGTTTAGAGTCCGCGTTAACACGCATCTCTATTCTAGGTTATCTAGCGTCCGTTACCATTCCTGTAAGGGTCAAACATTAGCATAACTAGCTCACTGGAGTCTTTTCTACAACGAACCATATGCTAGGGCCCTGCGCTGAAATGCGTTAGATAGGGATTAATTACCAAAGGATTATATGTATAGAGTACACACTTAAGACAATAATTAACACCAATCGAGCAACCAAGGAAGTAGACGGCCACACATATGTGCTGTTCAGATCAGGCATAATATACCACCTATCTTCTATCTTCTCCCCGTTACAAATATTGTAGAAAAGTAGTTCACTACACTATGTTTAGAGAGACACAAGAACACCAGTGACAGACGACAGACGACAGACGAAAGACAGGATCAGTAGTAAAATCATGAAAATGGATTCGTTCTATTTCGAGCACACAAACAGAACAAGAATAATAAAAGCACAAAGTAAAAGGGGTTGAATTAGACTTCGATGAGGGCGTGAAAGCAACGAAATAGAAAATGGATCAGGGAAGTCGTCGCAAGAAACATAGAAGAGGGAGAGAAATAGCAAGTAAAAAAAATAATAATTCGCCGATCGAATGCATGAAATTATAAGTTTCCCGACCACCGACCACATTTGATATCTCTTTTTTTGTTTCTCAGTTCGTTATCATTCAACGCATCATCGCACACTTCACCATCACACCTCATGGCACCACCAAGCATGGGCATCGCCTGGAATTTCATTCGTTCTGCTTACTGGGATGCGCACTGCATTCTCTCCGCACCAGGCGGTATGCCGTCTTCTTCATCGTCGTCTCCTCTGGCCGCTCCTTGGGCCCTGGCCTGGCCACCGTTGCTGTCGACATTCTCCAAGACAAAGTCTTCTACCATGCTGTCTGGTGGTGGCATTTCCTGGGTCATACGTGGTGGTAGAACTTTCTCGAGTAGCTCGAGGTTCTGTAGCTGGTCCTTCTCTGGGAACTGGACGTTAAATTGGATATAGAGGTTTCCAAAGTCATGATGGCGGTAAGACGGCATTCCTTGGCCTGGAATCACTTTGATTTGACCTGTTGACCGGAACAAGACGGGTTAGTATTAGATGTTAAGAAGGAATATATTATAATGGGAACGGGACATACCTGGTGTAATTGGTTCGCCTGGAGCAATGGTCACACTGAGCCATCGTTCATCGAGATGTTCAATGTTAATAGTACCACCAGCCAATGCAGTGAGAAGGTCAATATTAGCCTGGTAGAACAGGTCATCATCCTTGCGCTGGAATCGGGGATGTGGCTTCTGTTCAATTTCGAATTGAACATCTCCGGGCAAGGCATCTGGCATTTGGTCACCTTCTCCACGGAAGTCGATCTTGTGGCCGGTCTTGACACCCCTGTCAACGTGTACATGTAGGACCTTTCGCTCGAGGACAGTCTTCTTTCCGAGACAGCGCTTGCAGCGGTCGCGGTCCCGGATAGTTTCACCTTCACCACCACATTCCTGGCAAACAGTTTGGAAGCGCTGGATCATAGGTCCCATCTGGCGCATCATGGTACGCATACCGGTTCCGTTGCAGGGTCCGCAAGTCTTGACGGCGCCCTCCTTACCACCGCGTCCATCACACTGGGAGCAGATAGCGGACTTCTGAAGAGCGAGTTTGCTGACTTTTCCACGGTAGATATCTTCGAGGCTGACTTTGTGCACATGGTGAATTGTGCGCGCTTTCTTGGGTCCGGTTTCACGCATTCCGCCGCCAAACATACCGCCGAAAGCGCCGCCGCCGCCGCCGAAGAATTGGGCAAAGAGGTCTTCGGCATTCATGCCGCCGCCACCTCCTCCTTGTTCAAGGCCTTCTTCACCGTACTGGTCATAGAGGGCACGTTTTTGGGGATCTGAAAGGATTTCATAGGCGTGGGAGAGATCCTTGAACTTTTCCGCAGCATCAGGGTTGTGCGCATTTTTATCTAACCGGGTCTGTTAGCGCAAACATAAGCCCAGCGAAAAAGGATAGATACATACCTGGGTGATGCTTCAAGGCGCCTTTCTTGTAGGCGGTCTTGAGCTCTGCTTCTGTGGCTGTTGGAGCAACCTAGAAAGGTCAGTTTTGCTTCTTTTTTGATTAAAGATTATTGTTGGCATATGGCGGCATACCCCTAGGGTGTCATAGTATTTGGTTTCTTTCACCATATTGACTCGCTGAAGAGTCTACTGAGATGGAGAAAGACGGAGAAGATAATAAATATGTGGACTTGAGAGGGGTAGTTGAATTCCTACGCGGTAGGCTAGGAGCGAGGCTGCTGCTTCTCTAGGGGGTCTGATGATGGAAGTTGTGATGAAGGGAGGCAACCAGACCAGCAAGGAGGTTGTGTGATGACTCTGGAAGTAAAACCCAGGAGTTGAAGGGTCGAAAGGGTCGAGAGGGAGGAAGGGCGAGGGTGGAAGGTATATTAAACCGATGGATTTATTGACGCCGACGCTGAAGATGATGAACGGCGGCAGGGAAAAAAAAGTCAGAGAGGATGCGAGGCCCGCGGTGGGTCAAGTGTTCCGTTGGTAACTACCAGTTCAGCCACAGTACTTTTTTCAAGATTGGAAGAGACTGCAGTAAAGAATATCTCGTGAAATACAGGGGATAAAGCAACGCTTTTTTCTGGGATAGGATCGTCGAAGCTGTCTCTCCCGTGAGTGCAAGTGTCGCAGCTATATTCTTGTTAGCAATGTCGGGAGGAGAGGAGGGAGTGCGCCGAAATATGATGATCAAGTAGCTTACCGTACCATACCCAACGCCCCTGCTAGGCATGTGGCGTTGCGGTTCTGGAGGCTTCCACGGCTCTCCAGCGCTTTCTCTGCGCTTCCACGGCCTGACTCAGCAGCGCCGAAAGCGACCAGGCAGAAGCAGCACTTGAACGCCGCCGCGAATTGAGGCTTGAACGAGCTCCAGAGGACGACAGAGATGAAGAAAAGAAGAAGAAAACAAAGTGAGGTTCAGATTTGCCAAAAGAAGAAGAAAAAGAAGCAAAAGTCACACGCGCTTAGGTAAGATGAAATAGGCTTGGCGTTTCCCCGAATGGGAAGGGGGAGGGGGGTTGGCAGAATCAGTTTATACAGCAAGGCAAGATTCTACAGTAGAGACACCCGGCGCTTTTTGGGGGGGGTGAATAGCTGCCCCTGAGGTGCGAGCAAAGCAGAGGGAGAAGTTGGGGGCATATTATATATGGTTGGAGGCTCGCAGAGTTCACATTTATTTTAGACAGGCCATGGTTACTCCGTATGTACAAACTAATAACAACTTACTTAATATTTAGGCTCTTAAGCAGCGGTTAGTCGATGTATCTCCTCAAAGTAGAACTTCAAATCATCCGGCTTGACAAAGGGTGTAACTCCTGTGGGTAACCATTAGTACCAGTTACAGCGGAAACGAGAGGGCGGTTATGAGCAGTACGTACCGTGTCCCAGATTGGCAATCCAACCTTGCTTCCCGCCTCCGAAACTCTTCACCATCTCCTCCACAACAGCCGTTATCCCTTCCCTTGTACCATACAGGCATCCCGGGTCCGCATTGCCCTGGAGAACCACTCTTCCATTCGCAACCGCTCGTGCCTTGGCGGCATCATGCTGCCAATCCAGCCCCACGACATTATATCCAGACTCACACAGTTCGTCCAGCGCATACCAGGCCCCCTTTGCAAAAACAGTCATGGGCACAGCTTCCAGGCCCAGCTCTTGCAGCCTTTTGGGCAGATTGGCAGAGACATATCGTAGGTATGGCAGCGAAAACTCAGCAAAGGACCGTGGACTAAGTTCTCCAGCCCACGAGTCAAACACTTGAATCATCTGTGCTCCAGCCTTGACCTGCTGCGCGAGATGCTCGACACACACTTCCGAGATCTTCTGCAGCAATTTCTTTGATGCATCGGGATATTTGTATATCCATGTCTTGATGGCTGCAAACATCTTGCTTCCGCCTCCTTCAACCATGTAGCATAACAGCGTCCATGGGGCACCGACAAATCCGATAAGGGGTACCCTGCCTTCCAGCTTCTGCCTTGTAAGAGTAATAGCTTTATAAACGTAGTCCAGTTCCGTCGTCACGTCGACCGTTCGGTTCAGGACCTGTGTGTACTGCTCGTCCTCAGGTGTCCGTAGCGGAGATGGGAATGAAGGACCCTTCTTATCAATCATCTCGACTTCCATGCCCATTGCTTGGGGGATGACGAGGATATCAGAGAAGATGATGGCAGCATCAATGAGCCCTGCATAGCGCTCAATGGGCTGCAGGGTCAATGTTGATGCAACTTCTGGTGAGCGGCAGCACTCGAAGAAATCTCTGTCTCCTTTGGCCTCATGATATTCGGGTAGGTAACGGCCAGCTAATGGAGAACGTTAGAGCTGGTCAGATATGTAGACTCCTGTTAGAATTGTAGATAGGTCGCACCCTGTCTCATAATCCATATCGGCGGCCGCTCGACGGTTTGGCCTACAGAGGGGTAAGCAGTTGTTCTGTGGGGTCAATGGCGGCGTAGTGGTGTATTTTATGGCTTACCTCTAGCCGCCCGGAGTAGAAGATCGTTCTTCAAAGGTGCGAATTGGTTAGACATGGCTGGTTGATCGCATGAATAATGTGCTGGAGTTGGTGATGTTGAAGGGAGGAAGTTGAAAAATATCCCCAAAGTCAATATTAAGTTAAACTACAAAGTTGTTCGGGAATGACGGAACATTTCCTACGCATTAAAGACTAACCCACATGCAAAATGACCTCAGCTGTAGAAAGGGTATCAAATGTCATTGATCAAAATCTATCAGCAATACTATATATCTAATGGCTACTTTTCTTCTTCCTCACCCCGCACGCTTTTGCGGAGGTTTCCCGTATAATACAGTGATTCCCGCAGGTGCTTCAACTGCTTCTGTCTCTCCTTCTCATCTCCGGGAAGATCAAAGCTGAAAGATGAACAGGCGTTTATTTTACTTAAGGCGGGGGGGTGAGACTCCTCCCACCTAAGGCCTCCAGAATCTACAGTGGTTGTAAACTGCTGTAAAGGCATGCCTGGTGATGCACTACTGGATCGTTGCTGAGTGGTTGATCCTGGTTCATGAACATGATCGGACGATACTACGATAGTACCCTTATCATCCAGGTTAGTGACATCGAGGACATTTCCTGATGCATTAATCGATGGGAGTGGCTCTAGAGTGTTATCAGATTGGACACTGAATGAGAGTATTTCTTGCGATCTGGATATATGTCAGTGTAAGGACGATCATTTGTATAGATAGAGTGTTTAAACTCACCCTTCAATGGAAACAAGAATGGCTCCCTTAGCCAGCTGGTATAAATCGGTATCGCCCTCAAAGGATACTGCCTGAATACCAGTTACCGCAATACCCGCTGGGATGCTCTGGCTTGTCAGCTGTAAAGGTATTCTCTGCAGTATGCTGCCCTCTCGCCAGTTCCAGACAATGATATAGGAATCTCCCCCGCCAGAAATGAGTAATTCCGGAGACCAAGAGGGGATGCACAGTCTGCTAACGAAGGATGTGTGGCCCTGGCAATAGCCGTGGATGATATGCGCTTGTGGCAATCCTCTCGAGACACGAATGTGCTCATCGCGATCCGCGGATAGAATATAGCTCCGTGACTCGGCTGGAAATGATACGAATGCCAGGTCGGTCAACATGGACACATGACCAAGCAGTAGCTTAAGTTCAAATGAAGGCCCGACTTTCTCACGCTTGACGGCTGGCGAGCGCAGTTGTTGCTGCAGAGAATATAGATTTTTCTTTGTGTGGACTGTGAGGGGGTTGGCGGAGGGTTTGAATGCTTTTGGTTCTTCTGCTGGGGTAGGGGTTTTTACAGCAGCGGATGGTTTGGCGGTTTCATCAGGGAGGAGGGGAAGAGAGTAGACATCTCCGAACTTGTCACCGCAGAGAATCACGGAGTCGTTCTGCGCCAGTGCAAGTGCGCAGGGTCGTTTGGGCATGCCTCTGCAGTAGAAGTTAGATTTGGTGATGTCTTGTATGCAAAAATGTAGAGAAACCGCTGACTGACCGTTCGCTTTGCTGTTTCAATGTTCCGTCAATGCCTATCGCAAACACCCGTAGACACTTGTCTTCGGCAGTAACTGCGATGACATGTTCACCTGATGGCGTACATAGAAGCAGCGGTATGGTAGTCCATGTAATGGAGGACTTTTGAGCGTTGGTATCATCCTTGGCTGCGCCTGAGGTAGGTGAGAGCTTGCGTTTCTTTTCTGGCGGTGGTGTCCCCGCGCGGTCTGGGGTGGACTCGGCTTTCGTTAACGGCTGGTTTTCTCCAGACAGGGAGTTTTGATCAGCGGCTGGAGCAGGCCAAACGTCCAATTGGGCACCATCCTGGGCGTCGAATGTATAGAGATTCGGACCGGCTGCAGTGACGAAGATGTCGCGCTGAGCCCGCTGCAGCTGTGCTATCCGCTGTATTGGCTGGCGAAGAGCCATCCCGGCGGCGCTTACCTGTTGATACAAACAGGTCAATCGCAGCGAGGAGTGTCTAAAACAGATAGTTAGCGGACAATGCCTGGGTATATCTTCAATGGGCCTGCAGCACTACCTTTCTTGTTTGTATATAAGTTGATGCCTTTTTTAATTCGGCTTCTTCGTCGTCTTTTTTACTTCTAGATTTAAGGTTAATTAACTCGTTATGCACACCACGTGACCCACTAACTAGCGAGCCACAAGAAGAAAAAAACCACAAAAAGCGAAAACAGAAGAAACATCGCAAAAAAACTTCCTAACCACAACCAACAACAACGTCAACAACAAACCAATTTGCCCTTAAATATCCTCTCTTCAGATATCATAAGAAGACATGGGGGGCAAATCTGAAGCCAAGGCCGCTTATTTCGATAAGCTCAAGAGCCTTCTCGATGAGTACCGGTCCATCTTCATTGTCAACGTCGACAATGTCAGCTCGCAGCAGATGCACGAGATCCGTCTCGCTCTGCGAGGACAGGGCGTCGTGTTGATGGGAAAGAACACCATGGTAAGACTTCCGCGGCCGAGGGGATGTGACGAATTTACGAGGCGGGAGTGCTAACTGGAGCAGGTCCGTCGAGCTTTGAAGGGTTTCATTAGCGATAACCCAGAGTATGAACGCCTGTTGCCATTTGTCAAGGGTAAGACCAACTAATGGGTATATTATATATATATCAGGACTAACTGGATGTAGGCAATGTCGGCTTCATCTTCACAAACGGCGACTTGAAGGAGATCCGTGAAAAGATCATTTCTAACCGAGTTGCTGCTCCTGCTCGTGCTGGTGCCATTGCTCCTGTCGACGTGTACATTCCCGCCGGCAACACTGGCATGGAACCCGGCAAGACCTCTTTCTTCCAGGCTCTCGGTGTCCCCACTAAGATTGCCCGTGGAACCATTGAAATCACGACCGAACTGCGTCTTGTCGAGGCCAAGACCAAGGTCGGTCCATCCGAAGCTACGCTGCTGAATATGTTGAATATCTCCCCCTTTACGTACGGTATGACTGTCGCTCAGATCTACGATGCTGGGCAGACCTTTGATTCGAGCGTGCTGGACATTGAGGAGGACCACTTGCTCAGCGTGTTCCAGAGCGCAGTTAACAACATTGCTTGTGTCTCTTTGGCTACCAACTTCCCCACCATGCCTAGTGTCATCCACTCTCTTATCAATGCTTATAAGAAGTGTGTTGCCATTGGTATTGAGACTGAGTACAGCTGGGAGTCCATTGAAGAGCTTAAGGACCGTATTGCCAACCCTGACGCCTATGTCAGCACTGGTCCTGCTGTGACCGAGTCCAAGGAAGACAAGCCCAAGGAGGAGGCTAAGGTCGAGGAGGAGGAAGAAGAGAGTGATGAGGGTGGTGAGTATTCAATTTATTCTCCCTTTTTTTTTTTTTTTTTTTTTCGTTTCTATGGGTAAAGGGGGATATGCTAACCAAGCTGACACAACAAACAGGATTCGGTGACTTGTTCGGTTAAACTGCCGTGTAGATAATCTCTATCTATCAACCACTAGCCTGAATGCACCAAAGCGCAAGCTTCTCGCTTCTCCCAGCACTAGCTATCCGCTCAAAGTCTCCTTTAACCTCTTTTCTATTTTATTATTGCTTTTTTAACCCATCTAGCTACTTGGCCAAATTCTCTTTAAGCTGCCGAACCCTAACTAGCGTCCCGCTTCCGCAGCGCCCCTTCAATCAAACGGTAAGCCTGTCCATCTTTCTCTTTTTACTCTTTTGTTGCTCTCTTGCTACAACATCTTTCCTACTACTGTCCCTGGCGAAGGATTATTCATTTTTAACCCTGAGAATTGGGCCCATCTGGGTTCCCTCGTTGAAGATCACAAACGCAACAACACTCTAATTTTTTCATGACGCCTTACTTTTTACTCTATTGGGTCTCTCTTGTCTTTTTCTGCCTGTCAAAAGAGAAGTGACGTGCTAACTGGAGCCATTAGAGATATATAGATTGCAGGTACCTTGTCGGCCACTGTTAAAAAAGACCTTGAACCATGTTTCTGTAGGGAGAAAGTACATCCGCTAGACCGTCCCAACCGGCCATTTAAACTCATCCTTTGCCCCGGGGGTAAGTATCCATACTAGTAACTCTTGTGTCAAGAAGAGAGGGAAAAAAAAAAAGAGGGAGAGATAAGGAGAGAAGGAGACTTTTTTAGGCATCTTAATCCATGCAGGCATCTATTAATACCCCCATGTCCCATGTCTATACCAACCTTAACCCCGCAAAATTGTAAGTCAGAAGTACGGAGGACTGAAGAAGTTGAAGTCCACATCTATAGAGAGATAGCAGGGAGAGAGAGAGAGAAGAGGAGGAAAAAAGGAGAAAGAAGAAAAGCAACGCCCTAATGCCGATCGAGTCCAGCCCATCGTCGAGCACAGAGGCTGCGGCGGGCGGTTCCTGGGCTAGTTCGAGCTCGACTGAACTTGGAACCTGCTCACTAACAGCTCTGTCAGCCAGGGCGACAGCGACTACTTCACGCCATGCCGTCCTTGTCCTGTTTCATGTTTCATCTGCGCATCCCTCAGCTGCAGTCAGAGCGCAGGCAGGCCGACAGCGGAGAAAACACTCAGCACCCAGGAAGAGAACTTTAGTGTAAGTAATAATAAGTAATAATATCAGGAAGAGAGAGACCCTCGGCTGCAGAAACCTGGCGATCGACTGAGGCGGCTCGTGTGGATGGAGACGAGGATGCATGTCCTCCTATAGCGCGGACAGGTTATAGGAAAAATACGACGACGCCGTTGGCAGACGCACCCTGAGAGAGAAACACAACAACAACGACAGGAACAACGAGACAAGGTAAAAGGAGACGAAGCCGAGGCCGAGCAGGCTGGATCAACCGGCCGTGGGCTGGCTAAGGGACGCCTTCCGCGGTGATCAACTCGGGTTCGCCGTCTGCTCTAGTCAGGCTGCTGGCGGCCGTGAGTAAGTCGTTAGTCAGGTTGGTCGAGCCGTGTTGGTGCAGTGCAAGCGCTGGCCGTCCTCGTCCTCGTCCTCGTCTCCATAGTCCGTCTTCCTGGTCCGCCTTCCTAGTCCTCTTCCTGGTCGCTTCCTGGTCGCCTCCCGGTCTTCTTCTGCCCTTCCAGAAGGCCACGCAAGATCTCATTGACTGGCCGAGATGCGAGAACGGGGGTCCCAGGGAAGGGGGAATACGAGGCCGAGACAGGGAAGCGTCCATGCTGGCAGCGACAGACATCTCATGCTCGCCAGGCCTCCTCGTCGCCTTCTCTTCTCTGCTCTCTCGTCCTTGTCTTCTGCTGCTGCTGCTGTCCTCGTCTTCTGCTCGTCCTCTATGAAAGTCTTTTAAGAGCGAGTTCTTCTGTGAGTCTCGCCTGTACTTGTAACGCTGTTGTAAGATACCGTAATAAACCTCTGTCTCTGCGTGTATCTTTGGTAAAACCAAAACATCCTCGGCCCTTCCAGAAGCCTTCGACGGGTTCGGTTGAGCCTTTTTTTCCTTTTCTGGTCTTGGCGAGGAAGAAGACAAAAAGTTGATAGAAGAAGAGAAGCTGAAGAGAAGAAAAGAAGAAGAAGAAGAAGAAGAAGAAGAAGAGAAGAAGAGAAGAAGAAAAAGAAGAGAAGAAACAGAGAAGAAAAAGAGAAGAGAAGAGAAGCAACGTCCAGTCTTGGTGCTTGAGCTGTGTCGGGCGCTTCTCTCTCCTGCTGCCCTCGCCTTCGCACTTCGCTTCCTCACAAAGAACAGCCAGACGGCCTTCCCTCGACCATCCTCGACCTTCCTCGACTCCCTCGATCTCGCCCTGTTGCCTCGCCGTCCTTGGTTGCTCCCCGGCAGAGAGACCTGAGAGTCCTAGAGACCAGAGAGGGGAAGGGATTTCCAGCGGCACGACCACTCGACCACTCGACCACTTACTTAGAACGCCGTCCGTCTTGTTCGACCTGTTCGAGTCCAGCCTTGGTTGCGAGCGCCGGCGAAGGGGACCCCCCACCAGTTGGTGACCGGTTCAGCAGGGACAGACACTCGTCCAGGCAGGCCGTCCCAGTCGCGAGAGGGAGACGAAGAAGCAGCCGGCGTCGTCGAAGCCGGACAAGGTCGCCCGGGGCGGAACTCGACGGTGGGCTTACCTGGTTGCTGAAGACGCAGACGACGAAGACCGAAGACGAAGCAGAGACGAAGCAGCGGCCAGCAGCCAGCAGCCAGCAGAGAGAGAGAGAGAGAGAGAGAGAGAGAGAGAGTGACATGACCTTGCCTCGCCTTCTGCTTTGGGCCTGAGTCAGCTCGTCCTCGTCGTCTTTCCTTTCGCCTGGTCCTTTTGCCTGCTCTTTTTTCTCGCTAGTTGTTTGCCTGCATCGCCGTCCTTTCTACGCCCGGCTACCTCTGTGGATGCCCTCAGACACGCCCTCGACAGGCGACTCGGACGCCTCACCTTTCTCCTCGCTCCTCGCTCCACGATGGACGCTGCAGCTGCGGCGTGTTGGGCCGTCTACCTCGACGACAGGGTCGACTGCGAGCGCTGGATAGACAGAGACGGCGAGCAGCTGCACGAGTCCGCTGAGCTCGCGGCCAACCTCGCCCGCATCCTCGCCATCTGCAGACAGGGTAATACTCCTGCTACTCCTACTCTTTACTTTCTTCTAATACTAACTGGAACAGTGTATGTGTGCAACTCGGGCAAGTCGTTCGCTACCAAGATCGCCGAGCTGACGGATGCCGGCCGCGAGGAGGGCGACCCAGACGCTGCCATCGTCCCCGTCCTCGCCTTCATTGATATCGCTGTCTCAGGGGACGCAGAGTCCTCGCACGTCCGCCGCTCTTCCCTCAACCTCACGCCGCTCTCTTCGCCTCCATCCCAGCCTCAACCGCCTCACCAGCACCAGCACCAGCACCAGCATCTCCCTCAGCAGGCCCAGGGACAGCCTTCCGCGGTCTCCCCATCAACCTCCAGGCGCAGTCTTGCATTCTCCTCCGAGTCCGAAGAGCTGTTCGGACTCCACCTGCTCTCGCGCTTCTCCGCAGATATTCAGGCCCGCGAGACACCTCATGCCATCATCCCAATCGCCATCCTACGGAACGTCCGGCCCCAGCCCTCGCCCTTTTCTTCCTCCGCACACGTCCTGCGCAGCGGCAAGAATGTCGAGCCTGCGACAAAGCCAAGCTCCCGCCGTCCGGACGACCGCCAGATAAGCCGCTGTCTCGACGCAGGTGCCATTGACGTCCTTGTTTCGCCCATAGATCAGTCTAGGGTCCAGGGCCTGCTCATCCATGCCTACCGCATCCGCAGGGCTGCGCAGAAGGAGAACAGTCGCTTCATGGCTGCCTCCGGTCAAAAGATTCGCAAATACTCCTGGGTCGGCGTCAGTTCGACCGCAGAGGATGAAAGACCCTATGCTTATCTCAGAGAGGCCATGTATGTTATTTCTGTCTCTCTCTTTTCGTTACTTTTGTTACCTTTGTTTTTCTCTGACTAGCTTTTCTAGGGTCTCCAAATTGATGAAGAGGATATGCAATCCTGAAGAAGCCCTCGACGACTCCCTGATCAGTGATGTCTGCGTCTCAGACGAACGCAAGGAGGAAGTCAAGGCTGCCATTGCTGAATGGCATTTCTGTGCTCACGACTTTACCGATGATGAACTCTGCTATGCTTCCTGTTTGATGTTTGAACATACCCTTACCATACCCGACCTCGAACACTGGCGCATCTCTTCCGGTAAGCATCTTTCTTTCTTTCTTCCTATTTTTTTTTTTTTTTTTTTTTTTTTTTTTTTTTTTTTTTTTTTTTTTTTTTACTTTTTTCATTGGTTATTGGTTGGTTACATCTTCTAACTGATTGTAGAATCTCTGCGGGAGTTTGTGCTTTCGTGTCGCGCGGCTTACAATTCCTTTATACTCTACCACAACTTCCGCCATGCAGTCGACGTCCTACAGTCGACCTTCCACATCCTCGTGCGTATAGGCGCCATCCCGCCTTTCCCCCTCGGAAGCGAACCTCGGTCCTCATGCGCGGGCATGTCATGTCTCGTCACCCCGTTTGACGCCCTCGCACTCCTTGTCATCGCTCTGGGCCATGATGTAGGCCATCCGGGTGTCAACAACATGTTCCTCGTCAAGCTCAATGCTCCCCTTGCCCAGCTCTACAACGACAGATCTGTTCTCGAGGCCTTTCACTGCGCTGCTTACTCCCAGATACTCCGCCGGCACTGGCCCGCTGTCTTCCAAGATACAGAGATGCGCACACTTATGATTAGCTCCATCCTCGCTACCGATATGGGCATCCACAATCACTTCATTGATGAGCTCGGTAAACTCAGGGGTAGGTATGCAGCTGACGGCAGAAAGGTGGATTCCTGGATCGAGAAAGACATCAGAGACTATCGAGTTCTGCTGTGCGCCCTCATCATCAAATGCGCCGACATCAGCAACGTCGTAAGTTTCCCCCTTACCTTCCTCCGCCTTTCTCATTTCAAAGGTCGAGCCATTGCTAACTTTTATTTTACCTTTTTCTTTTTAAATTTCAGGCACGCCCGTTCAAGGTTGCAGAACAGTGGACCGACGTCCTGCAGCTAGAGTTTGCTAACCAAGGAGAAATGGAAGTAAATATTGGTATAGCAACCTCTCTCTTCGGTGGTCCGCCAGAGCTAGGCAACTTTATCAAAAAGGCAAAGGGACAGGTTGGGTTCATGGACATATTCGGCCTCCCTCTCTTCGACGGAGTAACCGACATCCTCCCTGACCTTGCCTTTGCCGCCAACACCATACGAAGCAACAGATTCATCTGGGCTAAGCTCATGGAACATGAAGAAGTGCTGGCCGAACACCGCGCTCGCAATTGCAGCACTCCGCGCTGTCAAGGCACCGATCCGTCCTGGGAGGAATGCAGAAAGCGTCTTATAGAAGAGGGCCCGGCGTCCATGGGATACACCATCCAGCACCGTTCGCCGCCCCATTCACCCATTCGATCCCCGCCTCAGCTGGATGGAGAAGCAGATACCACCAACATCCAGGCAGCAACAACAACAACTACTACTACTACTACTGCTGCTACTCCCGCCGCTGTTGGACCCACGACCAATGTCCCCGTCATCATCAATGGTATCCACCACGCCAATCGACAATCGCAGCGATCAGCAGGCCGGTCGTCGGTCCAGAACACTGCCCGCACAATCGACTCTGGCAGCGGCTGTAGCGGTAGTGGCGGTGGAGTACGCACCCAAAGCACAAGCACCTACACAAACAATACACTAATCACTCCGCTTTCTTCAACCACTCAGGCAAGCAGCGTCATAAGCGCCGGAAGCAGCTTCGAGGAAAAAGATGGTACCTGTCAGTTACACCAGCGCATCAGCCTAAATCCAAATACCATGCACCATCATCATGTTCGTCGTTGTGATCAGGCAAAGCCGGACGATGTCGCCCTTGTCGGCGCTGCCAGCACTACCACCGCTAGTAGCTACACGTCCAGCATTGCTCAGAACGAGAACGAAGACGAGCATGATCACGATGGCGGCCACCAGAATATGTATGCTGACGAGAACCTGTCGTCTCCAGTCAACGCTTTACCCTCTACGACTGATGGAACAAGCAGCCATCAGCACCCACAGAGCCAGTCGCAGACGCAGACATGGTATGAGCGAGCCACCAATAACAAGGCCGGCGAGAGACGATCAAAGTTCATCACTGGCCTGTTCGAAAAGGCCAGTTCCAACAATAATAATAACCCTGCTACCACTACCCACAGCACCAAAGGCAACCACCCAGCTGGCCTGACATACTCAAAATCCGCCCAGTCAACACCCACAGTACATAACAACAGTCACAACCACCATCACAACCAACACACTCGCGGACGACGTGGCGGCCCAACAAGCCACCCTCGCTCAACCCCTTCCAGCCCCCCCTTGCCCCCATCCACCCTCCCATTTGACTCCGACGACGGTAATAATGACCCTCTTTCCTCTCTATCGCCCAACCATGCAACGATGCCGCTCCCCCGACGCCGCTCCCGGCTACGTCTAGCCTTCTGGCGGAGGTCGAAACACCATGGCCAGGGGCCCGGCCACCCCCATTCTCCGCCGCAATCTGACTCGGCGCCGTCAACAACGGCATCAGCATCAAGCATGATGAGCGCTTCTGACCATTATTAACCTGGCCCTTGCCTTCAACGCACCCGTCTTCTTATCACGTGTACATTCATCTTCTCATCTTCCGCCATTCGTTTCGTCTCATTTTTACACTTTTTCTCTATTCTATCCTCTTCTCTTCTTTTACCAAAAAAATACGGTTTTCCTGGTCCAGGTCGGTTCTGGGTGGTTTCGGCGTACATGTTGAGTTCTGTTACTGTTCAAATTTCCTCTTCTCTTCCCATTTCGACTGACCTCACACTGTCTACTACATCGTCTACACTGCTGTCTGTCTACATGATTCACTTCCGTTTGTCACTGACTTCACCTTATTTATTTCCTGCTTTTCCGTCCGGCGTTCCATTCATGACTTGCAATGCAAAGATATGCAGTATGCAAAGGCTATGCTCATGGTCCTGTCCTGTCTCATCCGACTCTCTCATTTCCTTATGTTCTGTCTTCTTCCAGTTACGAAGCGAGTTAGATCTATATATATTCCTTTCCTCTACCCCTTTTCCTCCTCCTCCTCCTCCTCCTCCACCTCCTCTTACCCTGTCTATTCTTACTGCTTGACGCAGGCAGCTCTTTTTCTTATCTGTCCGTCTCGTCTGTGCCTCTTTTCTTTTTCTACCTGTCTTGTCTACATACCTTGCATACCTTTACCCCCTTATGCTTCCTCTACCATCGCCAGCTTGCTTTACCTAACTCACGCCTTACGCTTGTTCTTGTTATCTGATCCGCCCACCTTCATATACTATATATACATACTCTACTACTTATACCACTACCATAGTTGAATCGTTCTTATTTCGCGAAAGACGTACTCCGTAACCTCCAGTCCATACATTCGCACATGCATCAGCAGCCCCTGGCAATAATAAGTTGTATCCTGCCGCTCCCCCCCCCCCCCCCCCCCCCCTTTTAATCCCGCCAATATCCTCGTCGCATACAAAGTCCATCAATCAACAGTTCCCATTACATAAATATCAAGTAACACCGGAGCATAAAAATAAGAGTAAACCTCGCTGATACTCCACAGATCACCAACCCAGATTAACTTCTTCACTGACACCCGGCCTCTCGAATTAGTTAACTCTACTAACTACTGTGCTACTGCTACTACTGACACTCTTCACAACTCCCCTGCCCAAACGGCCCTGAATCAGCCTGACGCTCGCCCGTCTGGCCCGTCTGGCCCTTCTCCCCGGCCTCCCCTGGCTCCTGCTGCCCCTGGCCTCGACCGTCCTTCTCCCCGCCATCAACCCGCCCCTTCGCAAGCGCTCGATCGATATGTCCCAGGTCCCTGGACGGCTCAATGACATCTCTCACCAGCGCCTTGAGCTGTTTCGTCTCTAACCCGCTACTTAATACGATGACAAGGCTGGGAGAAGAGCAATGATGGAAGCAGCTAGTCAAACGTACCGGGAAACCCCCCGTTGATTTTCCTATCCCACAGCACGCTCGTGTGAGTGGTAAAGTTCACGTTTGAGGCATGCTGGATCGTCACTGTGAACACGCCGCCCGTGCCAGGAACGAGAGATACTTCGCCTAGCGCGGTGGAGAAAGTTGACAGAAGCTCTTGAGCGAACTGGTGGGCGGTTAATAGTTTCTCTGGTTATTATACTCGAGGTTCTACGTCTGCTGTAGCCTGGTAGTTGAGGTGGGGTGGGGGGGGGGGGGGGGGGGGGGGGACGGTACGTATGCTGCGCGGAGCATCCATTTACATTGAGTGCAGAAGGTGATGGTGACTCGCGGCAGGTTGACTGGCGCCGTGGCATGAGAGTCTGATATCCCGGCATCCTCGAGGGGTTGAGGCTGGTCGGCCATGGTGGGCTGCTGCTGTGTATAGTTATACGTATGTAGATGTTGTGGTGGAAGTGGGATGGGATGGACAGGAGCTAGTTAAGTTAATTTGCCTGGCTGACGAGGCTGAGTCTGAGCCTACATGCTTAACTATTTGGAGGCGTCTCTGCGCCGACTACAGGATGTGTTTTGAGGCTGACGATGTAAGTACATACAGCTTGATAACTATGGAGACAGCCCTATAACGGGGCGCCTATTAGTTCGGGATAGACGGGCAAGACAGCCGGTGAAGCTTACTTTATCGGTTGGAAAAGACGACAGGTCAGAAACCGGGCGTCTACCGACCTGGCCACAGCGAAGCGGCGTAGGTCCATGACGGTTGACATAGTTATCGAATACATCACAAACCCCATAATAACAAACCCCATAATACGCAATCGACGGCGTTGTCCGAATGATTGCCTGCCGGGATGAGATCGGACAAATCATCTTCGTGGATTAACAGTTGGTAATCTTATGATCCCGGCAGAGATACAGATGGACATGCATAAGAGATAGGAAGTCAAGAAGATCGACTGGGGGGAAAAATAATCGACATGTTATTACGGGCTTTATTGTTAGATAGAGGTGGTAATGGATTGCTTCTCCCAGGCGGAAAATCTATTTTACATTGGCAGGAGGATAGGTTGGAAGGAAGGGGGAAGGGATAGTCGGGTTACTAGTTATGAAGGAGACGTAAAGGTAGATATAGATGATAGTAGGAGATGGAAAGGAAACAAAGAGATATGGAAAATGGAAATGGAAATGGAAAATGAATTTCAGATCTGGTCCGGTCCAGAGGGGGTTTTATCCTATGCTTATTCCAGCTCTTGAAAGCGAAGTAGTTGCGGATAGAGGAAATAGGTGTGGGTAATAATAGCGGACAAAGAAAATGGAGATAGACAGACAGAGAGAGAGATGGAGAGAAAGACATGGAAACATGACTGTAGGAACAAGACAAACGGTGAAAAAGGGGCAAGGGGAAAAAAAAAGGGATAGACTGGTGTAAGGGGGAGAAAAGATGATTTTAGCAAAACGAAGGAACTGGCACCGACAACGAGGAACAGAAGAGAAAAAAGAAGAAAGAAAAAAAAAGTATAACCAAGGAATAGAGGATTAACCAAGACGAAGCCGGGAAGGTCGAGAAGGTATGTGGTATGCTGAGGAACCCGGATACTAGCTGACTGGCTGGACCATGCTAGCTAAGCCAAAAAGGAAAGAGGACGATAGATAGCAGAGCAACCAATGTAGCCGTATCTGGAGCAGTACAGAGCAGGAGAAGATGGAAGGAAGAGAATATGGTGGTATCGACCGAGGGAAAGACATGTCATGTATGAATGAGGATGACGACGGTCGTCCGATTCCAATCCCTATTCCAAGATAAAGAGTAGAACGGTGAGAGAGTTTTCGAGGCAACGAACCAAGCAGGTAGATCGTAGTTATGTATAGACATGAACAGGAAAAGGGAAAAGAAGAGAAAAAGAGAAGGAGAGAAAAGAATAAGGAGATCGTGATGGTTTGTTTGGATCGTATAATGCGATTGCGGGTGGCCGGAGACAAGATAGCGGAGGAGGGAGAATTAGATATTATCGAGCAAGCAAGCATTGGACGGACGGGACGGAGAACGAAGAGCAGGTCTGGTGGCCATGACTGGAGGAACGGATTAAAGCCAAGTCGAGTGGCAGGGTGGAATGTTCAAATATAAGGGTATCGCTGTTGTGTTTTTTTCCCACCCTGTTCGCTAGGTTGAGGTGTCGAGTGTGTGCGTCATTGTGGTGGTGTACAGTGCAGTCGATGGTCAAGTAAGTCAAGAGTGCTGAGGATGGTGATGATGCTCTTCTTCATGTCCTTTTTCCTTTCCTTTTAATTTTTTTTTTTTTTTTACTTATTTGATTTTGTGTGTTTAGTGTCGTACTCTTTTGTCTTTTCAACATGCTCATCCATCACATCAGTATACAGCACCCTCCAGACTGCTGTGGCGCATAAGGGTCATCGCGTTTGTCGACCTAGGCAAGGGAAAGAAAGAAAGGGGTTAGCCATGTACTTGTCAATGCCATGGATATATATGGCAGAAAAAAGGGGGGACCCGACATACCTGTCCCCATACAGACGGCACCATAAAGTCCTTTGTGTTGTTGCAGTAGTTTATAAGCCTAGAACCCATGCAAATTAGCCATCGAGTATGATGTATATCGAGGGAACGGGCAGGACGACGCACGATATAGACGCTTCGGCAACTTTTATACGCGGTCTGTCGAGATCCTCCTTGAGCCGTATGTTGACCTCGGCGAGGCGGCGCAGCTTGAGCTCTGCCAGATTCTGTCGTGTCCGTCGTCCGTCGCCCCCTGAGCGCAGTTCATAAGCTGGCGGCATTGTGGTGTGCGAGGTCGGGAGAGCTGGCAGCCGTCCACTCCACTGGCCGGGAGAAGGGGAGGGAAGAAAGGGAGAGAGGGCGTATGTGCGCTATGGCGATGCGCAGTTCTCCGGGGCGGTTTGAACGGGCGGGCTCTGGGCGGGTAAGCAACGATGTGGTGTGCCCCCTTCGCGACGACTTGAGAGGCAGGGAGCCGGTCGGGCAGTCGAGTCCTGGAGACGGCGGGAGCCTTTGACTCGGCTCGGGAGGCTTCTCTGGAGCGGACGAGGAAGTGCAGGTCGACGCAGCGAGCGAGGCGGAAGGGCAGCAGAGTAACGGGAGACGCAGCGAAGCGAGCGAGAGGAAGAGAGGAAGAGAAGAAGGAAAGGCGAGCGAGAGCAGAAAGGAAGAAAAAGGCCGTCTCGGTATGGTAAGTTTGGTAAGTTTGGTAAGTTTGGTAAGTTTGGTCACGCCTGGTACGGGGGGGCCGCTGGGTCGTGTGGGTAATTTACGCTAGCTGAGTCAGCATTTGGCTTCCTTTCCCCTTTTCGACGTCAACAAGCAAGCAGGCTGTACTTGGGAGTATTAGTATTTAGTTATACAGACGGGAGACGGTGACAGGCGATGGTGATGAAGATGGCGATGAGATGAAGGCAGAGGTGAAGGCAGAGGTGAAGATGAGAGGACAGAAAGAGAAGGCGAGAAGAGAGCGGTCGCGCTGGGTCGAGGAAGTACAGCGTCACCGTGGCCGGCTCTGTCTGCTTTTTCTCCGTCCCTTTTTTCCCAACGGCGCGATCGACGACGGCGCAAACCACTTAGTTACCTACATACACGACCGCAAGGGGGATCGTTCTAGGGGCTCTGGGGACCCAGTCTGGAGGTTTCGAGGCAGACTTGACCCCTTCTCAGTGGCGGATACTCCGTACAGAGAACGGAGTTTGATGACGGCCCTCTCAAGCAGGCGCTTTTCTAGGGCGCTAGGGTTGGGATCGGCCCCTTCGAACTGGACTGGCACTGCTTGATGAGCTTGTCGTACGGAGTACGGAAGTTACATACGCTCGATCTCCTGTGGATTGACGGCCACGCTGTACTTAACTGCGCTGTTGCTCTCACTTCTGTCTCTTTTATCTCACTCGCTTGTGCCCTGTGTTCTGCGTGGTGGGCCAGGGGAGAAGCTGCTATAGATAGCACATCTCGCATCTCCCAGCTCGCCCCCCCTCGGTATCGAGCGCCCCCATCTCTTGTCCTGGTTATCGACCTTTCTGCTTTAAGTACTACTCTGCTGACTCCGTACTCGCTGCGACGGCTCCCAGCGAGCCGACCCCTTACTGGCTGCACGCTAGCTGATGGCCCCCAAGACCGTCGCTAGCTGTCCCGCAGACGGCCAGAACGGCAGCCCTCCCACCTCATCTTCCCATCGTAGCCTTCTCTACTACTCCGTAGTCTGCCATATTGCTGTATAATATCAATCTCAATAATAATGTCACCGTCGCATCTTCTGTTTCTTCCCCTTCATCGTCGTCGTCGCCGTCGCCTTCTTAAGGTTCAAATAATCACGTGACTCGCTTACTGTTTCTTCTGCTTACCTAATATCTCCATGCCCAAAAGAGAAAAAAGAGGAAAAACTCGCCTCCACCTTTTTCGCTCTGCACACAAAAACGACACCAACAACGCAGAAAAAAGGCCGCCAGAGCCAGCCATCACGACGACCATCAACGAGGAGGCTCGCTCGATCTCTACCCGCCGCCCTCGCCAGTTCGTGCTCGTGCAGGACTTTTCGCCGTCGTCCCTGGCCGCACAGAGCGATAACCTTATCGAAGAAAAAGTTGTCGAGCGTGGGAAAAATTACAGTGCCTGGGGGTTATACATACAAACTACGTTGAGAACATCCCACTTCCACATTATAGGGAAGACCGCCCAGCATGGCGCCTCTCCCACACGTCCGGCCGGAGAACATCCTCAGGGTAGGCTTGCTCTGACATTATCTTTCGAACCTTTTTTTTGGCAGCTTGTTATGCGGGATCTAACTGCTCTGTATAGCGCGCTGAGGAACTCATCGCCGTCGACCAACATGCGTCTGCCTTGACCGTTCTACACGAACATGTCACCTCGAAACGGTCCAGGAACAGCCCGATTGCCTCGCTAGAGCCAGTCATGGTTCTGTTCGTCGAGCTTTGCGTCGATTTGAGAAAGGGAAAGTCCGCCAAAGATGGCTTGTACCAGTACAAGAACATTGCTCAGAACACCAACGTCGGAACCATCGAGGTATGATATCTCAATGCTCTCCCCCTCTTTGGCTTTTTCTTCATTTTATCATACTGACCGATATAGATGGTGTTGAAAAAATTCATTGAGTTGGCGGAACAAAAAGTCACAGAGGCCCAAGCAAAGGCAGATGAGATCCAGCAGTCTCTCGAATCAAATGCCGGAGCTACGTCAAATATCGAGGATCTAGACGCCATTGAGACACCAGAGACCATCCTTCTCGCCACCGTTTCTGGAGAACAGTCCAAGGACCGCACAGACCGCGCTATCGTCACTCCCTGGCTCAAGTTCCTTTGGGAGACATACCGTACCGTTCTCGAGATTCTCAAGAATAACGCTCGCCTTGAAGTCATGTACCAGTCTACCGCCCTGCAAGCTTTCCAGTTCTGTCTCAAATATACCCGCAAGACCGAATTCAGACGTCTCTGCGAGCTGCTCAGGAACCATGTCCAGAATGCTGCCAAGTATTCGTCTCAGATGCATGCCATCAACCTCAGCGACCCCGACACCCTGCAACGCCATCTAGATACCCGCTTCCAGCAGCTAAACGTTGCAGTCGAGCTTGAGCTATGGCAGGAAGGTTTCCGTAGTGTAGAGGACATCCATACCCTCCTCAACCTGAGCAAGCGACCAGCGAAGAATGTCATGATGGCCAATTACTACGAGAAACTTGCACGTATCTTCCTTGTTAGTGATAACTACCTCTTCCACGCTGCGGCTTGGAACAGATACTATACCCTCCTCCGCCAGTCTGCCATTGCCGTTGCTTCCGGCCAGGTCTCCAAGAAGGATAACCCATCTGTCTCCGAAGCAGACATGACCAAGACCGCCTCCTTTGTCCTTCTCTCTGCCCTTTCCATTCCCGTCATCAGCACTTCTCGCTCCCGTGGTGCCCTGGTTGATGTTGATGAAGCCCGCAAGAACAAGAACACTCGTCTAACCAACTTGCTCGGCATGGCTTCCCCTCCTACTCGTGCTGCCCTGTTCAAAGACGCTCTCAACAAGGGCCTCCTGTCTCGTGCTCGTCCAGAGATCCGGGACCTCTACAACATCCTTGAAGTCGACTTCCACCCGCTCTCGATTTGCAAGAAGATCGCACCCATTCTCGAACAGATCGGTGCTGACGCTGAGATGGAGAAGTATGTCCTACCATTGCAGCAGGTCATCCTTACCCGTCTGTTCCAACAGTTGTCCCAGGTTTACGAATCTGTAGAGCTCAAGTTTGTTCACGAACTTGCTCACTTCCCTGCTCCTTTCCAAGTAACTCCTTCCATGGTCGAGAAGTTCATCATGAATGGCTGCAAGAAGGGTGATTTGGCTATCCGCGTTGACCATGTTTCAGGAGTCCTCACCTTTGACTCGGATATCTTCTCTTCTGCTAAGGCTGTACATGCTGGTAGCGCAGCCGGATCAGCTGAGAGCGACGTTGGTGCCGTTCAAAGACTGCAAAGCACCCCAGCCGAGATTGCCAGATCGCAGCTCACTCGTCTCGCCAAGACATTGCATGTTACTTGCATGTATGTTGATCCTACTTACAATGAAGCTCGCATTGAGGCCCAGCGCCAGGCACAAGCCCGCGCCAAAGCCGGCGCCGCAAAGGAGCACGAGCAAATCCTGGCTCGCCGTATGATCATCGATAAGAAGAAGGAGGCTGCTTCAGATGCTCTCCAGAAGAAGCAGCAGGAAGAAGAAACCCAGAAGCGTATCCGCACACAACAGCTACAGGAGGCTGAGAAGCAGCGTCTCCTCGATGAGCACCGTGAGAGAGAACGCAAGCGTATGAAGGATGAACAGGATCGTATCCGCCAGGCAGAGTTGAAGAAGCAGCTCGAGGAACTCAAGACCGGTATCAAGGGTATTGACGTTAGCGAAATTGACCTCGAAGAGCTCGACTCTAACCGTCTCCGAGCAATGAAGCTTGCCCAGCTTGAGAAGGAGAAGAATGAACTCAATGAGAAGATCCGCGTAACCGCCAAACGCTTCGACCATCTTGAGCGTGCCTACCGCCGTGAGGAACTCAAGCATCTGCCTGAAGACTATGAGAGACAAAAGAAGCATGACCTCGAAGTCTATGAAAAACAAAAGGCAGAGACCCTTGCCGCCGCTGAAATTAAGCACAAGGAAGATGTGGCTCTCAAGCACCGTCTTAGCCGTCTTGTACCTCATTTCAACAAGTTCAAGCACTCCGTTACCGAGAAGCGACATGAAGAGTTTGAGCGTCGCCGCAAGGCTGCTGAACGTGAGTTCGAGGCCAAGAAGAAACAGCGTGTCAAGGAAGTCCAGGAGCGTATCAAGAGAGAAAGATTGGAGCGTGAAGCCGAGGAACGAAGGAAGCGTGAGGAGGCAGAGCGTGCGGAGAGGGAAGAACAGGAGCGAGCCGCCCGAGATGAAGAGAGGAGGAGGAAGTTGGCTGAGGAGAAGGCTGCTAGAGAAGAGCAGAGAAGGTCAGTTTTCCTTAACTTATATCATCCGATATCTCTCCTAACATTCCTGCTAATCTATGGCATAGACTTCTGGATGAGAAAGCTGCTATCCAGAAACAGCGTGAAGAGGAAGCTGAGAAGCGTCTTGCTGCTAAACGAGCCGGTATGACTGACCCTCGCCTGGCTCGCGCTCCCCCAACAGCTACTGCCGAGGCTCCACGAACCGACTCTACTGAACGCACCGCTCCTCGCCTCAACCTCACTTCCCGCACTGGCAGCGGTGCCTCCTGGAGAGAACGAGAGGCTGCCAAAAAGGCTGCTGCTGGCAGCGGCGAATCTGCCGCAGATGAGTCCGCTACTCCATCTCCCCGAACCATTCCTGGTCGTGAACCCCGTGAGCTACCATCTCGCGAACGTGAGCCCCCAGCCCGCGAGATGGGCGCTCGGGATACTCTCCGCAAAGCATCAGGCACTCCTGGAGCCTATGTCCCTGTCCACCTTCGTGGCCGTGACAGCCCGGCAAATGGCGCTGCTCCCCGCTTCCCGTCCAGAGGCCGAGATGTATCTTCCTCCGACTCCCGACCCCCAGTTGCCAGGAGCCCTGCTCCCGCCACTGACAGTGAAGGGAAGCCAGAGGCTAAACTACCCCCTCCCAGCTCCGGTGCCTGGAGACCCCGAACCAGACCCCAGCAATAGACGTGTATCATTTTCATTTGTTTTGTCTTGTTCCGGCATGTTGATGATCATGATCATGATTATGGTGGTTCGTGTTGATGTTGATGGCTCATGGGACAGAAACGGAGGCTATGATATCTCTATTCTTCTCATCTCATCTGCATTTCTTTCCATTGCTCTCTTTCTTCTCTCCTACCTCTCACACTTTTCTTCGTCTCGACCCCATCATCAACCACCTTCAGATGTTATTTTACGTCCAACAAAAAGCCTCTGGTTCTGGTTTCTTCCTCGCCTTTTCTCCGTCTCTCCTTATTAATGTCTGTGGCATGCATGTCAATTTTATTGGATTTAATTTTACCTGCCCCTCCCCTTTTTCGCCCCAGCTCAAACCAAAGAATTGATTCCCTTTTGCCATTTTCTTTAACCCTTTTCTTCTTGTTCGTATTCTTGCTCTTCTGTTGCATTGCTTTCCCACCACTCTACGATTCTGAATATTCGGCCGGAGATATATATGATTGATGGGAAAGGGGCAGATAGCTGGACATTCCTATGGTAAAAATTGCAATGGGAACAAACTTATAAAAATAGTTTTCTCTGTTTCAAGTGTCGTAACAAATAACTGGTAGATCAAATAAACAGAACGGGGTATGTAGTACAGTCACATGACAAAAGTATTTTTAATTTCGCGTTCCGGCGCGCATCACCAATGTAAACACTATCCATCTCTATCCTATTCCAGCATGCCACGTACACCCCTACGCCCAATTAATGGCAATATATAGAGGAATAAGGAACTAACTCCTTATACAAGAGCTCTAATATATAGGAGGAGCGATTCCGGCTAGAGAAATTTATATATTTCGCGAGCAATTGGTATTTCACCCTAAACTATTATATATACCCTAAAGAAAAGAGTAGAAAGAACTAGGGGAGAAAGTATTAAACGAGCTAGCAGACCTAGGAAGCTATTAGAAGCTAATATTCGATATATCCTACGTACTATTAAGAAGAACCCTTTTGTTACTCTTTGCGAATTATAGTCCGAATATTTACTCCTTGAAATTAGTATCTCTACAAGGTCCCTCTCTCGATATATTAAGGAATTAGCCTATAGGTACTAGAAGGTAAGGGAAAAGCCTCAATTAATAGAAGAAGTAGCTGCTCTACGCAAGGCCTAGGCTTTAAAATATAAGGATAATACCTAGGAGGAGTGGTCCAAGGTTATATAGTCTAATAAATACTCTATAGAGTTAGGAAAAGGCAAAGATAACTTATAGGTCTTCTATAAATACAAACTCAATACAAAATAGAAGAAGGAGTATATAAGACTAAAGATTAAGCCAAAGAGAGTCTCGATAATAATCTAGGGTACTATTTAGGGTAAGGGTTATTAAGATCTTAATATAATAACTCGAGATCCGGAGTTAAATACAAGGGGGTACTCTAGCAACTCTTATCTTAATATCCTTAAGGATAACCTACCTTCTATCTAGGAACTAGGTATAATATTTATATAAGATAATACTCCTATATATATAGCTAAAAAGATCACAGATTAGTTACAGAAGAATAGAATTCAAACTATAGATTGGCCCCCCTATTTACTAGATATAAACCCTATCGAACATACTTAGGCTAGGCTTAAAGCAACTCTTTATAGACTAGACCCAGATATTAAGAAATACGCAGGGCCTAAAGAGGAACTCAAGGCTAAATTTATAGCTCTTATCGAGTAAGCATAGGAGTTATTAGGCCAGGATTATTTTGATAGGTTAATAAGGAGTATAGATAATAGAATCAATACTTTACTCGAGGTAGATGGGTAGTATACACAGTATTAAATAGGGGATAACTATCCTAGCTATTTCTCTGGCTAATTTAGAGCCTATTTTATTAATTTCATGTAATAATATCGATATTTGGTGGTGTAATATTTAATATAAGAATGGGGGTGCTTATATAAAAATTGGTGGCGATCCCAAAAGCAAAATACTTTTGTCCTAGAACTGTACAATGTGGTAACACCCCTTGGCTGGTCAAAGCCAGCCTATGCTGGATATCAACTTGAATATCCATCTCTCTCTATCAATAGTAAAACTTTACAAAAGAGAAGTAGATAGCGATGGTAAAACAAAGGGGAGCAGAGAAAGGAAGAGTATAACACAAGGGGTGTAAGGTGTAAAAGGCATTCCAACATCAGTAAAAAAAAAAAAAAAAAAAAAAAAAAAACCACATACAACAAACAGTAGATAGGTAGAATAGATCTATAGGAAATTTTCGGCTATGCAACAACCACTTCTGTCCCGAATAATCTATCTCTCCACTCTCCGCAAACAGCTTCGAAGCCGCTGACGACATCCCCGCATACTCGGCCGGCTTCCCGCTCTCTGAGCCGCTTATCCCATTCCCCTTGCTCAATCCAAGCTGTACCCTCTTCACGCGCTTCTTCATCCCGTCGGATCTCAGATACCAGCTCACGCACTGACTTGAGTCGCCGAGATGCCGCGGAAGTCAATTGGCGGGATTCATGCAACGTATCGCTGAGCGTGCGCAATGTATGTGTGAGGTCGGATGTTTGAGCAAGGAGAGCTTGTAGGGAGAGAAGCGGGTTCGTAGCAGCGTTGTTTGAGGCTGAGCTTGAGATTGAGCATTGGGAAGGAGAGAAGTCGTGTGGTATTGCGGTAGATGTCGGGACTGAAGTCGTGGATTGCACTGGAAAAGGGAGGTTTGGTAGGACGTCATCTATCAAGGGAATGAGACCGTCTATGGCGTCTGGGGAGAGGACAGGGAAATGTGAGAATAGTAGAGGGTGGGTGAGCGTTTGTAGAGAACGGGTTTGGTGTGTTAGATGGGAGGTCAGAGAAGCGTGTGCAGTAATGAGCCTATAGCCAGCACGTTAGCAATGCGTTCGCAATGTATATATTATGATTATTGCCATGCAGAAGTGCCGGGGAAAAATAACTGACCTGGAAGCACCGCTTTCAATCTCACTCTGCCCGCCTAGATCTCGCAGTCCATGGATAACACGCAGCATGACTTCGTTGCTCTGGTGTTCGGCTTCACTATTTCCAAACCGCACGAGCTGCTCGATTCCAGCCATCCGCGCCTCCAGAGCAGGCGATATATCCGCACACTCTTCGATGTCAGAATCTGGCCCGTACTCGGAGCCATCGTAGAGAGACGAGTCGTATCTGCGATGTCGTTGTGCATTATTCGCTATCATCGACTTCGGTCGTGGTTTCGACGGGCGTGGTCCACCTTCATATTCAGACTCTGAACCGTCCTGTCTCCTTAACCCTTTGGATCCCATTCCAATACCCAGGTCATGCATCGAATCAATTAATTCCCCATTCACTCCCTCATGATGGCCATTCCGCATGCCGTTCCCCAGAGCACCAATATGGTCATCATCATATTCCTCACCATCGCCGCCTGCTTCTGGTAGGCCGGATATATCTTCTACATCATCGCCCCAGGCATCTGCAAGCTCGTCAGCCAGACTACCAAGTCCTCCGTCCAGTATGGGACTGGCCTCGCCATTCCGGCAGTCAATATCGTTGGTGAAATCGGCGGAATACCGAGACGTCCTGTCGATAGACATGCGGTGCCGTTGTCGCGGAGTCACTGGAGACTGCGGGAGAGAACTTCTGGCTATTTGCGGAGAGTATATGCCGTTCGAATTCGTAGCAAATGCGTTTGGAGACGTCGACAGGTCGATGCTCGGTGGTTGTCTGCGGTGTTGCTTCGGGGAAATGGGAGAAGAAGGCATGTTGGCTTAACTATGCTGCTTATGCCAGAGGACGAGTATATATATTCTTATATTCTGCTTGTCTTTCCCAGGATATCAATCAAGACGGCATGTCCCGGCGGCTTTGAAGTCTTTATGCTCCTGTTCCTGGCCAGGTCAGTGTTTTTTTCTTGCTCCAGATAAATAGAAATATTTAGCCCCTGTTTCCGCTTGGACGCAGCAAAAAGCGCCAGGATGACTAGCAGTTATCGAAGACAAAAATACCTTATGCTTATGCCTGGTCGGATAGGGCCGACTCTGCTCTCTCACGCAGACAGCAGCTCGTCGTGTCCTGTTTGGCCCTTCACAGGCGGGCGTTGCTATGCAAATGTGAATACTAGCTAGCTGGACTAACTTGGATGTTCCTTAAGTTACAAGATTTTAAAATAACTAGTTAACCAAACCGCCCGGAAGAAAAACCACCACCCACCACAAATCACCATGCAGCAGCTTGAAAAATAAAAAATATATAGGACACCCCGGGACCAGCTGAAACCTATAAGGACGCCGCACGCCATCAAGGGCCTCTGTCGCTTCTTCGCTGGCCTGCTTCGTGGCCGCCGGCTGACTCGACTTCACCATGGCCACGATCCGGCGCATGACGCCCGGCGACCTGCTCAGCCTGAACCTGACCAACCTCGATCCCTTGACCGAGAACTACGACCTGCACTTCTACCTCAACTATCTCATGAAATGGCCGTCTCTCTTCAATGTCGTCGAGGACCGCGATGGCCAGATAGTCGGCTACAGTACGTCTCCTTCGACCTGACCGCTCCTCCTCCGCCCTTGTGCGCCAGACACGCCCACGGCGGGCCATTCATTTACTTACTGGCAGCGGCCCAACGCTCGCTCGCTCACGAACAAGCGAAAAAAAGAAAAGAATAACAGATACCCTCTGTAGATGTGGCATGACTGGCTGACTTACACCGTCTACGATATAGTAATGGGCAAGCTTGAAACGCAACCACAGGCCATGCGTCATTCGGAGCACTACACCCCATGGCATGGCCATATCACAGTGCTCACAGTTGCGCCGGCCTGGAGAAGGATGGGCCACGCACGACGGCTGACGGAGAGCCTGGAACGGGCCTCAGACAAGAACAATGCGTGGTTCGTTGATCTGTATGTGCGGGCGGGGAATAAGGTCGCCGTTGATATGTACAAGGGCATGGGGTAGGTGTTTGGTAGCTTCGTTACTACTTGCCTGTTGCTATGCTGACCTTGTTTGCGCTCTAGGTATTCTGTGTTCAGACGAGTGGTGAATTATTACAGTGACGACCCCACTGGGCTCTCAGAAGAGGGTGAAGATGCATTTGACATGCGAAAGCCGTTGAGCCGCGATGTGCATCTAAAGCACTCTCGTCCAAATGGGGAAAACTTCCTTGTGAGTCCTGAAGACGTTACCTGATTCAAGGGGTTTTCTGTGATGGCAGGATTTACACATATTAACCCCAGCATGTTGACCATGTCACTGTGTACTGGAGTGGCATACGACTGTTATGAATAGTATAAAAAAAGGGGGGGTTTCCTGGAGGAGGGGCATGGATAGATTAATATTATAAACATTATTATATCATTATTAGTATTTTATCATATCTCTCTTTAAATTCCAAATATACATGGAGAATAATATCATCTAGCATGCCATGCTAGATTAACCACTCATTAACCCCGCATAAAACCACTCTTACGGACAAAATCCTGCAAGGGCGTTGATGCCCGTCTTCTTCTGACTAGACATGTATAAACACTCTCGGTCCAGATTTAACTAACCTGGCAATAACAAGGAGTATCCCCGACATCAGTAGACAGGATCCAGCCAGGAGCTGTACGCCCAGATACTGATTCCCAGATGCATGGATGATAGCGCCTCCAATAGGCGTACCAGCAAGGGTACCAACAGAGTTGAACACAAACGCCATTCCAAGGCGCGTGCCGAAATCTCGTAGATCAGGGGTTATGCTAATTAGAACTACCGGAGGGACGGATACAAAGGCACCCGAGAAGAAGCCGTATAGTATCACGATGCCTATGATACTACCAGTGGTGTGAACCCCTATCCAGCCAAGGGCTATGATTCCAGAACAGAATGCCATAGGTATCATGACATTAAAGGGGCCAATGAAGTCGACAAAGTAGTTTGGAATTATCCGGCCAAATGTGGAAGCAGAGTTAAGTATGGCGAGGAGGTAAAACGCCAGATCGGTGCCCATTATTCCTTCGTCAATGGCATAGGGCTGAATGTATACCATCATGTTGTATAGGCCTAGGAAACCGCAGAATTGAGAGATACAAAAAAGGGAGTATACCGGATCCCGGAATGCCGAAAGTTGGACCAGGCTGCGTCGTTCGGCTGGTTTGAATCTCATCTTCAACAGGGAAACGGAGATGGACATAGTGGCGAAGACAATAAAGCCTAGCACTCGTGTGGCCCATGGAAACCCAAGACTTTTCTGCATCTGTCGGAATACAATGGGATAGACAAGTCCGCCGATTCCGCTACCGGTAGCAGCTAACCCGTTGGCGATGGCTCTTCGTTTCTTGAAGTACTGCGGTAAAACAGCAACACAGGGGACAAACACGCTGCCGAATCCGAGGCCCATGCAAATAGCTTGAGCGAGGAATATCTGCCAGTATTGACTGGCTATACTTGTCATCATAAGCCCCAGGGGGATTAAGACCCAGCCCACCATCAAGAGTTGTCTGGTATAACCGGCATCAAATAGGGAGCCGGTTATGGTTCCAAAGAAGAGCAACAAGAAAGATTGCGTAGAACCGATCCAGGAAATGGTTGAGGGTGATAAGTGGTCAAGCAAGTTATGTTCATAGTACGTTTGGAATACACCAAACGCGGTGACAACTCCCCTATGTGAACTGTTAGCCCTTTAAGGTTCTTTGCCTGCGTCGTGTAGCTATGGATGCTATCATACCATGTGTTAAAGAAGAGGAAAAAGGAGGCTAGGACTTGGGACCACGCCGTCCAGCCACTGTCATAAGAGTGTTCATTGTTGGCATAGCCGGCATTGTCGACATCGTTATTCTCTCCGTGCAAGGTGGTGGAAGAAGCTACAACGCTTCCACCCCCGATCCCTAAAGAGGAAGCTTGGCCTTTCCCATCTTTCTCAAGATCAACCATTCTCACGCATGAGGATGGCGAATATAGAGAAACAAGGGAGAAAGTACGTGGTATCCTCCAAGCGCAAATGGGATTCCATCTTGGATATATATAAACGGGAGAGTGGAAACGGAGTGGAGAGACAAGGCGATTGAAAAAATGTGAAATAGCCGTTCGGCACCGAATAGAGCTGAGCCTGATTAATCCAGCAAACGCTACTCCGTAGAAACAGGTGTTTAGTCGGGTCTTCGCCCACTTAGCACCGGACAAGCACACGGGAAGGCCATGCGGTATACGGCATTATTGGCGGTGATTCCTCCTATTGCATGGCGGAAAGTCCGCAGCTTTGACGGATCCAGTGGGGCGGGAAGAGGAACGGCGAAAAAGCAGCGGCATTGGCTTCGGCAGTGTGACGGCAAGGCCGGAACTGTTCGTCGATTTTATTAGTAATTGAACCGAATCTCGAAGCTAGGGATACCGTTGGTCCCGCTCGTGAACAGGTTTGTCATGCGTTTGGAGAGGCGAATATAACATTGCAAAGGAGAGGTACTCCCGTACTAGCAGTGTTTTGCTGATGCGTGGATATTGAGTTCATGGTGATGCCGAAGGTGCTGCCGAAAGAAAGATGCCTCATAACTAACTGGATATCTGACACCTTGAGACATTCGATTTCGACGCCATGCATAGAAATACGAGGGGGTTGCGATTCAAAGACGACTGATACCGTAAGATTACTTCTTGGTCGAGACGTGCTGGCGTATATGATCACGGCGTAGGTTGTTGATCCCCGTTACAAAAGGAATTATCTGCACCCGTTCTAAGCGGTCCATGCTTGCAGTGTTATCGTCACTTGGGTAAGCGGATTGTGAAGCGTCGAATCCTGATATCTACAACAGTCCTCTATATATCTCTATATGTCGTATATACCATGAGCTACTTGTCATACCGAGTATTCCGGGGATATTTGTTTACCTGCGATTTAATTTTTGCCATCCCGCCAAGTCAACGAGCTCCCGTAAAAAATGATAAAAATTTCCATAGCTTCTGGTTAAAGAGTATACACCAATTCGGGGGCCTTATGTTCCGAAGGATACGAAAAAGAAACCTGAAGTAGACCGGGCAATGTTCCTCGAGGGAGGCTTCGAAGCGCAAGTGGCCTAGAAAGAGAAGTAAAACGGATCAGTAGGGAGTGTCGAAACATTATGGCACATTGTTACTAACGAATGTCTTCAAGCACTTCAGCTGCATCAGAGTATTCACCACGCCAGCACTTGGTAGTCACCGCACCTATAGGCCATCCCGAGGTATCTGGGAAGGTACCCGCGGCATACAGCTTGATAACTTCTTCATCTGTTCGCTCTTGGTACGGGTCTTCAGCTGTAACGAGGCTGTATATCACACTACCAAATGCAAATATGTCGTCCTGAACGGTATATTGGTAGCTTTCGTACTTATACTCATCGAAGCTGGGCGGTCGATATCTAGTTTTGTTGTACACATTGGATACCCTAGCTCCGTCCATTGAGCTCGAGGCAAAGTCGGCTAGGACGACATCGAGCGTATCTGTGACCAATATGTTGGGCGATCGTAGGTCGCAGTGGACGACGCCCTTGCTGTGAACAAAAACCAGCCCTTCTGCAATCTGCTCGGCCCATTTAAGGTACGGTATCTTGGATTCAATTTTATGCCTTGCTTGGTCTATGCAGCCAAGCTGGTAATATTCCATCTCAAATGTGTGGCTTAGAGGACGAATATATCTTGCAATTCGTGGATGTGCTCCCAATCTCTCATATACCTGCCGCTCAAAGGTAACCTCGTGTCTAGCCTCAGGGAAAGGCTGTTTGATAACCGTTAGCCTTTCGGTCTTATCAATGGCGGCAGTTGCTCCCAACGCAATTCTCTCCATGCTGAGAGTAATAAACGAAGAATGGCAGCCGGCCAGTAGTTATACAGTAGTCAGATGGTGGTGATAGTGAGATCGTGTGCAATTTGATGGCTGAAAACTGTTCCAGGCACCAATACAGACACGTGACCCTTGCTGGGGCCCTGGCTCACTAGTTAGTTAAGTTACCTATGTATACGGCAGTCTTGATACGATGCACTCTGGTGTAGCCATTCCATTATTAAGTCTCGGGCTAATATCCAGCAAACATAAATGAGAAGAACCTCTTCCTAGATTCATCAATATATGGCTCTCTCTCGTCGAGTCCCTGTTGGATATTGGCAAATGGTGTCTGGTACCGAGCCATAGAATACAAATACCTTATTTACCCCGTATATATTACAGCAGTTGTATTATTATATTAAGGTGCTTATTAATATGGAGATAATTAACATATTGGGAAATGGGATTAACTAAGTGATTAGGATATCTCCTCCGTACAAGGGGCCGCGTGGCCTAATGGTTAGGGCGTCGGATTTCGGTTCTCCTTGAAAGCAAGGGTGTATACCTCCGAAGGATGTGCGTTCGAATCGCATCGTGGTCGTTTAGATTCCTTTTTTTTTTCTCCCTCTCCTCTTTCAATCAAGAGGATTGCTAATTAATTAATCTAAAAAAATATAATGTGGGCTTGATAGACTGGGGATTGAGATTGACATTTGAGGAGTTAAAAATCACGACTTGTGCAAGTTGAAGGTATTCATTTAAGGCTGCTGGGCCGCCGCTCCTTGAATGTAAAGCCCCAGCTGTAGGCACTTAGGGCAAGGTACATGGGTGTCCCCGCGTCTACTCGAGCTCCCAAAGGCCACTTCAGGATCATGAGTCGCTTCAGCACACATTCGTGCTCGACCAACTCCTGTCTTCGGGTTCGGACATGGGTCGGGGACAGGCAGTCCATCAGTCCCGATATCACCTTCAAAGTAGTCCACTCGTTTGCGATCTTCAAACAGGTGCTTGGGATCCGCACGACACATCATGAGGGAATACGTGAAGCGTATATATACACACATAATGCTGTCAACAAACTGTTAGCTTAGAAGGGAGATATCAATAAAGTCGGGAGGGCATTCAGTACTTTGTGTTAGGTGTAAATACTTGCTATTCTTTCTGCTCGCAAATCTGTTATGCCGTATAAACTCTCCAGAAAGAGAGAAAAGCTCGTCTATTTATGTGTGGTGAGGGGGAGGGGGCTATAATACATTACCCCCTGCTAAATGGCATGTCTAATCCACTGAACCACTGGCTATTCTTTGGCACATGCATATGCGCTTCCTGTGATATGTGTTCTTAATGGCTTTCTCGTGAGTCATAGTAGGGGGGAAAGCTTGCTTTTGGTTGCCTATTTCCAGAATGCTGGGAGGAGGCTGCGAGGCCAGCAAGTGTGTCCAAATGAGTTGCAACTTGCTGTCTATCATTTTCCTAGTTTATTCTGACAAGTTAAGGAGAAACAGGAAGGAAAATCCGAGACAAAACCGAACCCCATACGCTATGCAAAAGAGCAAAAACTGCCAGTCTCAAGACACATTGCTTGAGGTATTAGACTAGCATGAGTACACACAGGAGATAGCCACGGCAACTTCAGAGAAGTTCTTCACATGTCCAGTCCTCGTACCTAGAAATGATGTTAGATCGACATCATTTGGATGATATTCTATGGAAGTACTAACCATCCGTCTGGAAGATACCTCCTGATAATTAGTGGGATTTTCTTCTGATTGAGCTCTTTAAGAGCAATTTGGAGGGGATCGGTCTCGCCCTCCAAATCGACAAGGATAGGGGCATTCATGCTGTTCACCGTGCATTAGTAAGTAGTTTACCAAGAGGCGCTTTTCCCTCGAGCTTCAGTAGCTCACCTAATCTGTAGCGCACGAGTGCCTAGTACTCTGGCCCGTTCATACTTGGTCATGTATGGTGTTGTTGTCCGCTGATCATTGGCAACTTTCTTCTCACGTTGCTGCAGTATTGTTTTCCCTTGTCCCTGGCCGGAGGAGGCATTTGGGTCGCCGTTCTCTCCGTTGGTAGTGACAGGCTGTCCATCACCGTTCAGCACCGCATAACCTTCTTCTTGCTGGTCATCCACCGCATAGTCATCAACCGCAGTATCGTCATAGAAGTCTTCAGCTGGCTCATAGTCGAGGCTAAGGAGGTATTAGCCCGGGTCCGCGCATGAAATTTGCGATAGGGTTGATGGGGTTGGCTTACCCAGTCTCCTCGCGGTCGTCATGGTCATCTCCGCCAAAGTCAGACATCTTGAAGGTATCAGCAGGAAAATATGGATGCGAGAAGTACAAACGAGCTATTTATATAGCTTGGACTGTGCGATCCTTTCCTTGCGCGCGGTGTTGATGGTGTTTCTCCCTTTCTGCGACGTCGAGAGGAAGAAGATGGAAAAAATAAAACAAAAATGCTTGGCATGCCAAGATTTCAACACCTTAAATCAATTTTTGATAAGACCGAGAAAAACACACAAAGCGAAGAAGCCAAAACCATCAACGCTACAACGTCCGGCTTGGGGGCCTTCTTGAGGAAAGGAGGCTTATTTCTGGTTCTGGTAGACTTAGCTGGGCGTATGGTCTCTGCCATGTTGTGTTTCTAGCTATCTTCACGGTAGAAATGCTTGCGTTTTGAGACAATCCATAATGACCGCAACCAAACGAAAGACAGCCGAGGAAGCTCGGAGGCAGCTGAAGAGGATACATCTATCTGAACCGGCAGGTATGCTACCACCACCGCATTATGGCTGTGGAATTCAACCGTTAACGCTATCAGGCCAAGATGAAATACACGATTCCGACGCCAATTGTGATGATTCCTCTTCTGTCGTTGACGAGATGGTGTGCTCGGATGATGAACTGCATGCGACGCCATTGACGCCCTTTTCACCTGCTTCCTCAAAATACCCATCTGAGCTGAAGACTCACCTCTGTCCTTACTCCGGCTGCGACAAGGCTTTCAATCGCCCGGCGCGGCTTACTGAGCATATACGTTCGCATACCAACGACCGGATCTTCGCCTGTACCTACGAAGGATGCGAAAAGAGCTTTCTTCGAGCCTCTCATCTCAATCATCATATCAAGAGTGCGCATACCCTTATAAGAGACTATGTATGTGAGCGTGAAGGGTGCGGAAAGGCGTTCGCTACAGGGTCAAGGCTTAGGAGGCACCTTGCAGCCCATGAAGGGCGGGATAAATACACATGCACTGAAATAGCAGAAGGGAGTGGGAAACAGTGCGGAGAGTCATTCAGGAAACATTCCACTTTGTTGAAGCATGTCATGACCGTTCACCTGAAGAAGAGGCCGTTTCCCTGCCAAGCTACACTTGATTCAGGCGAGACTTGTACTGCTGCATTTGATACGGCAGGCCACCTGAAGGCCCACGAAAGGAGGGTACATGGAGAGGCACGGTTTACTTGCACGGAGTGCATTGGCAATGCAGAGAATGAAGAAGGAACGGGAGAGGGAAAGGCATGTAACTTCGCAACCTATGCCCTGCTACAATCACACATGCGTTCCGTACATCCTCCGACCTGTCCTAGCTGCGCCCATATATGCTCGTCGGCAAAGGCTCTACGTCGGCACATGGAGATTTCTCATGGGACAGTGTCTGTGGAGGATCGTCGGACCTATCCCTGTCAGCACCCAGGGTGTGAACGCAGTTTTACGAAAAAAGGCAATCTCAACGTCCATGTCAAGACGGTGCACGAGGGCGAGAAGCGCTTTGCCTGCGGCGAGACCGACCTCTCTACGTCTAAGAAAGTGGGCGGGTGGAATGGGATGGATGCTTGCGGGAAGAGGTATGGAAGTAAGCTTGCTCTGGAAGAACATGTGAGGACAGCACATATGGGATTTCGGAATGCGAGGGCCGAGAGGAAGGCCAGAGCTGGTACTCTTACGGCTACCAACACATTGGAATCTGGGTCAAAGCGTACTGGCCCATCTAACGTCGCTCTGCTTACAGGCCAAGGGTACACTGAGGAGTCAGGTAATCGGCATATACCGTGTCTACTAGCTGAGTGCGAGCATAGATTCTACCGGGACTATGATCTCTGGCTGCACATGGACGCAAAACACGGAATGGATGAGAATGAAATCCAGCTTCTCTTTATGCAGCGAGCCATGCAGGGCGGGAACGAGAGCTTTGACAGACCTTCATTCCAGTATGAGATGGACACGATTGGGATGGGCGTCGACGAGATTGGCGCTACTACTACTGGTGGTGGTGGCAGCAGCGGCCTTATCGACGATCTGGAGGGCAGATATACATATTTGCGACCCGATGCTAGTGTCGATGAGATCATGGCAAGCCACGACGATGTCCAGGAACGGGGCGAGGACGATCGTTCAGGCGGGTTGGGCGACCTTGTTGACCCGCTTCTGACGTACACTTGCCTGGAGTCGTGAGAGAAGAAGTATATCGGCTACGCGAGTTCCCCCCCCCCCCCCCCAAATACCGGGGTGTATATATCTCTGGGGCTGGGGATCTGTCCCGTCCAACCCATGTAATAATACTCCGTACGGTATAGTCGCATGCTATGCTTTGTTGTCAAGGAGGAGCCCGGCCTAGCTCGGAAGGCTGATCGATAGAAGGTTTTGTCCTTATATATAATGGCGATATACTAATGAGAAATGAATAAAGCGAATAATGATTATGATTCAATGGGCTCAATGGAAAGAGACAGTAGCGCATCGGTCTGTCATCATTCTTGCAGTTGCCACGATGCAAACAGCCGATCAATTGTTTGCTCTCTTCCTTGCTTCCTTGCTTCCGTTCGTTACTCGATTCCTTATTAATATTGATTGTAAGGTTGAAGATCTCGTCTTTGCTTCTTCCATCGTGTTGGTACCGATGCCACAGGGATCGACATCGAGAAGCCACAAGGAGAGATTACCTACGTAATCAGCACCGACAATGAAATGCTAAAAGACCATCGTCAGAGCTCTTGTATCTTTCTTGCGTACTCCGTACTCCGCCCGTCTTTGTCATATCATGATAGTTATCTGCACAAACTCTTCACCGACGTTTCGTCTTTGTTTCGACCCCTCCGTTTTTCCCCATCCAGTTGGCCTTTGGGCCGTGGGGAAGGCCATTCGACCAGGGGGAGAGGGGGGGGGGGAGAGAGAGAGAGAGAGAGAGAGTCGATCGAACGTATCGCATTCTAGCCCTCCGGGACGACATTTCAACTGGTACGAAGACAAATTCCACGCGATTTGCATCGACGGCTGTCGCACATGCATCCGCCTGTATAACACTGGTTAGCCAATGTCATCCCCATCGAGCACAACGTTGAGCTCTTTGGCCGGACGGGGTCGGACCCTGCTCGAGCATGGGCATGGATACCCTGATGGCAATTGGCTGCTAAGCTCCATCTGGAGTTCACTAAGGCCGGGTCTGTCAGATCCAGTCCAATTGCTGGTTAAACCGGCGGTCTAGGCGGGAGTTGGGCCAAAAGCGCACAGAAGAAAAAGAAGAGAGAGAGAGAGAGAGAGAGAGAGAGCAGAGTTGAGAACGCGTCACCAGGCTCTCGATCGCACGCCTTCCCACATGCCATGGATGTGCGTGTGCGTGTGCGTGTGTGTGATATTTATGGCACAACACCACCGATGTGGAATACTCATGGAATATGGAAGGATCAGGTGTTTCAACCCGGAGAAGGGCTGGAGGCGCTGGGGAAAAGGTGGACCAGCCAGCGCACTCTTAACCAGCACGCTAACCAACTGGGCGCTTTAGACTTAGATATAAAGTGGATAGGTGGCTTTCTCGTCGTGAAGTACGGAGTATTGAGCAAGAAAACTCGCTCTCAGGGTTGCCATCTTTCATTCTCCCTTGTCCTCCGTACGGAGCAGTCAATCAGAGGTGAGAGCCGTCCGCCCCCCTTGACCCAGCCAGAGAACGCAGTGCAGGGGGGAGGGGGGAGGGCCAGCTAGTCAATCATGCCATGAACTCGTTCGGTGCAGCGCCAGCGCCGGTGCCAGAGCTGGTTGCGATGCCAGAGCGGGCGGTGCTCCCTATCCGTCCTTGGGCCATTTTCTTATTCTTCTTTTCTTTTCCTTGTCTGACTGCGAGCTGTACGACGCTGTTCCGGGTCAGGGTGCTGGTGAGCGCGGTCTGAGACATGGTTTCTGCTCGCCGTCCTAGCTAAGATACTAAGATATCATTCTCGCTTGACCTTGACCTTGACCTGCGTGTGTTTCGTTCCTTTTTCCTCCCAGGTGATTGAGTTTTGTACTCCGTAGTTAGTAGTGAGTTGAAGCCAGCATACGGAGTACATACATACATACATAACATATGTACTTAGGCTAGTTATCAGAGTTAGCGCCTGCGGGACCAAGGGAAGAGGCAGAGCAGAGCGAGGCTACCTTGCTCGCCCTGCGCTGCTGCTAGCACTTACTTACATAGTTACTGCTGTGAAGGAGTGGCTGGCGGTGGAGGCGGCGGCGGAACCAGCGGAGGAAGAGACCCTCTCGCTGCCTCTCTCGCGCGCGCCCCCGGACAGGCGTTAAGAAGCTGACAAGGCAAGGGCCCCGTATCCTCGCTCGTCCTGCGGAGCCAGAAGCGTAATCCGGCCGGCTCAGCTGCACGGCGTCAAGTGTTATCCTGCCTGTAATACAGGGTTGGTCTGCGGTGCGGCCGGCGCTGGGTTGGGCGTGACGGGCGGCCTGAGGTCAGTCTGGGCTGTCTTCCCTTTTCGGCCACTCCAAACCTCGCCTCGTCTTCATCTTCATCATCATCATCTTCTTCTTCTTCCACTTCCACTTCAACAACCTCCATCTCTCGGCCTCAAGCAACCCAACCGCCCCCGACCGACGACGCTGGCTGGGATCAGCCGACGCTAGGCTCAAGAGCTCGCTGCGACCTTATTTACTTAAGCTCAAGCGCTAGTTTAACTATTTTTACCGTCATCACCTGGGCCTGCGCTGCTTGCTGTCAAAATAACTAAACTCCGGCTGCGCCATGGATCACACTCTCCTGTAGACACAGAGCACCGGACCAACGAGCCCTTCCACAGCACCCTTTTGGCCCTCTCACCTCCTATCCTGCCCGAAGGAGACCTCTCTCTCCTCCTCCTGCTGCTGCTGCTTCGTCTGCTTCGTCTGTTTCGTCGCAAGTCGTGGGAGAAATTAGTTATCTCTCGAGCTCTCTTCTCTCCCGGCGCTTCCACAACTCCCCGTCCTAACCGCCCGCTTCTCTCCTCCCTTTTATTTACACATGGCTGCTGAACGAAGCCCATAGACACCACCTCTCCTCTTCTGGCAGTTTTCAGTTGCCACGCCGGGCGGCTCTCTTGCTTGCTAGAAAGGTTCTTACCTCACCGCGGACTTTCAATTGCTCACACCATGGGGCGCTTAAGAGGTCGGTTGTACTATTTTCGCTCTGCTCAGCCAAGGCCACCCAGATATCACATTCTTCTGGCAACCAGCTAACTCTCCCTTCATAGTCCCGTCGTTTCTTTCCTCTCGCCCTGATGGCCCGAAGGGTAAAACTGCTGCAGCATCGGTGTCCTTCTCCTCGCCAGATCTTCCTGGAGCCTTAACCCAAACACCCTCGAACAAGCCCCCAGCAGCTGGGGCTGGACCGGCTCCGGATCAGGAGCAACAGACATCTGCCTCCCCGTTCATGAGACGCACACGCAGGTTGAGCAGGCCTATAGCCTCTCTCTGGGCTCAGAAGTCCGCACAGAGTGAGAGTGATGACCGGAATCAAAGCCAGAGCCAGAGCCAGAGCCAGAGTCAGAGTCAGAGTCAGAGCGAGAGCCAGACAGCGCCTTCCTCACCTCCATATGATGCAGAGCCCCTCGTTGTCCCGGAGCTGGAGCCTGTCTTCGCCTACTTGAATAATCAGGCAAACAAGCTATACCAAGAGGGATATTTCCTGAAGCTTAATGATTTGGATACCCGTATGCTTTTCACCTTCCCTCCCTCCCCCCCAGTTATAAGGACCTGATATACTAATTCCTCCCTATAGAAGGACGGGCATGCACTGATAGGCAATGGGTGGAGTGCTTTGGACAGTTGGTCGGAACAGTGCTTTCAATTTGGAACGCATCTGCACTGGATACGGCCGGGGGACAGGCAAATGCATCTCCCAGCTTCATCAATTTAGCTGACGCTACTATCAAAATGGTGAGATGAGATATTACCTCCTATTACTCAACCGGGGATGACCGGCTAACGGGCTAGTAGATGGAAACACTCCCTACCAACAATGAAACCAATCAGCCCCTACAGAATGTTGTCAGCATCAGTACGGCAGGGAAGAATAGGTATCTTCTCCATTTTGATTCATTGCATTCTCTCACTCAGTGGACGGCCGCAATGCGATTGACTGTGTTCGAAAACTCGCTTCTCCATGAATCTTACACCGGCGCCCTCATTGCTGGTAAGGGCAAGTATCTCAACGGAATAAAACTTGTCCTTGAGAAGACAACTTTCAAATACGAGGATTGGGCCAGAGTTCGATTTGGTGCTGGTACGCCCTGGAGAAGATGTTGGTGCGTCATCTCTCCTCCGGGAGAGAAAGAGATGCAACTGTACAATCGCTCTCTTAAGAAGAAATCCGCTTACGACCGAGCACCCACACCTCCCAAAGGGAACATCAAATTCTACGAGACGAGGAAGACTAGCAAGAAGGTAGCCCCCATCGCGACCATTTCCGATGCTTACTCTGCGTACGCCATCTATCCACAGGCCCGGCCCCTCGTAGACCAGTCCACGCTTGTTAAGGTCGAAGGCCTGGTCACTATTGGAGAGAACACATCGGAGGGCTTCGTCTTTGTGCTCCCAGAGATGCACAATGCCGTCTCCGGATTCGAAACAATGATTCGCTGGTTATTCCCGGCCTATGATGCTTTCCGTCTTTACGGGCGCCCTAATCGTTTGCTGGCTGATACTGTTAGCCCCAACAGCTTGATGTTTGCTATGCCGAGTAATAAGCGCAGGGGGTACCTTGATATCCTTGATGTCTCGGCACTCATTCATACTCAGGGGAGTGAAAGCTGGAGCGCCCGAGAATGGAGAAAGCAGCTGAAGGATGCAACATCACGTCGAATGACGTCGAATGCTGGCAGTAGTAGGACTAGCAGTGTATCAGGCCATCGTAGCGGGAAACGCAGCAGCCTACCTCAACGTACCGGCACAGTGCGTTTTGGTAGTGCGACAGTTGGGCCGAGGAATGGCGAGCCTAATAGCTCGTCCGATACCGTGGCTTCGAACTCACCAACAAAACCTGGAATATCCCATACCCGCTCAGAGTCTGATAATACCGGTCTTCCATCTGCCCGCCGTGGCCGCCGCAGTCCGCCATTTTTCGAGAGCAATATCGGAGAAGACATTCCAGAACACCCACCCACACCACCCCCAGAACTCCCTCAAACAGATGGACCCTCCGAAATTGATGGAACCGATAGCCGCAGCTCTCCCGATAGCGGCGCTTACATGGACAGCAATCGTCCTGTTGACCGCCTGGAAATTATACAGAGCTTGGAGCCTAACCCACCCCCGCAGGGTGTGCCAGTCTCGCCTGCTTTCTCGCATGACCCTCGGGGAACGCCTCAGTTCAAACCCCAGCCATCCCCAGAGATTGGCCATGCCGCGAACCGTATGTCAGTTGGTACGCTAGATCAGTTGGTGGACATGAATAAGAAAAATGGCAACGCACATGGCCTTGCAGTCGCGGGTGCTACCGCTGCTTGGAACGCAGCCAAAGATAATAACAATAATAATAAGGAGACCGATAGAGGAACGGGGCAACGAGCTGATCCCCGAGGTCCAACGCTTAACCGCCTTAACAGCATTGGTGCGTCTAGCTCGAATTACTCTCAGGGTAGCCCTATAACGCCCAGCGATACTACAAGCAACGTAAACGTCGGGGTCGATACCAACCTTACTGGTACACCAACTGAAGGACGGTCTCCGATAAAGCAGCAGGATGGCACTCAAAACCCACCATTGCATAAGCCAATTGCTCGCAAACCTGTTGCGACAGAAATTCCTATCGCGGAGACGGCGAGCGTGAGGACAGCGTCTACCCTGGGAAGCCTGAGAGATAACATCGATATGGATGCTCTAGACAGAATTATACGGCGGCCGCGCTCGCCTTCGCCTCCCCCACCACCCCAGCCGAAGTATACATTCAAACAAGAGACTGCTATTCAAGATGATGGCAGCTCAATTGTGGCTCCATCATACGCAAGCTCGCATAAATCTTCCGCATCAGTCCGGTCCGTCCAGTCTGTTCAGAAACCCAGGATGGGAAAGATGAAGGTCGTTGGCGACGCTATGCCAAAGACGGATGATCTTGTTATAGGTGACGCTCGCTATAAGCATCCTGCCGTTACTCCTGTGGAAGTTAGCTCTGATATTCCAGAAGTCGACTTTGGGCCCACACATACCTATAAACCTACCGCAAGACGACCCAGCACATCTGATACTATGCTACTTCTGTCTTCTTCTCATCAGCGTAACCCTTCTGAAGGTACCCTCGCAACAAGAGGCAGAAGACTTTCAACTGGTCGTCTACTTGAGCACCTCAACCAGGAATCAAACGAGTCTCCGTCTCCACCACCGCCCACGCAGGAACGTGGACGCCGCCGCAGCGTTCTCTGGCAGCCAGGCATGGTCCAAGACAGTGGCCCTGTGACCCCCGGCCCGACGAGTATCTCAGCAGAACAGTTCGTTCACGACCGCGCTTCCAGATCACAGATCCATCTTCCAGTAATGCCGACTCGAGCTACACCCCCTCCACCCCGGCCGGCATCAGGAGATTGGTCTGCCTATATCCGCCACCAATCATCCGCCACTCATCTTCCACAGCGTCCACACTCTCGTGGCCCAAGCGTCATGCTAGATATGCCAGCCCGCCCTTCGTCTCGCGGTGCAAATACCATACTTGATGTTCCCGCCCGGCCATCTTCTCGTGGTGCCAGCGTCATTCTAGGACCCCTTGATGCTCCTGCTCGTCCTTCTTCGCGGGGTGCCAACCGAATGTTAGCTCAACCAGATATTTCTGGTCATCTCTCTGCTCGAGAGCAAGAGCATGTAGCTCGTGTGACTGGATCTTCATTCCTTAACTTGAATAACAACCAGAGCCCACAATTTGGATCCGGACTTGTCAGCACTATTGATGCCCGGGAGCGTGAGAGGAAAGCTATGAAGGATGGTTTCAGTGGACAGGCAGTACAACAGGCCATTGCCCAGCGACAGTACCAAGCACAAGTACAAGCACAGGCTCAAGCTCAGGCTCAAGCTCAGGCACAGGCCCAAGCTCAGGCACAGGCCCAGGCTCAGTTCCAACTGCAGCAGCAATTCCAGCAGCCCTTGGGTACACCTCCTGGATATGCTGCATCCATGCAATTCCCATATCTCCCTCAACAGCAACCACAACAGCCACCACAGGCAGGCTATTATGCGCCACCTCAGGGGCAGCAATGGCAGCCTCAGTACCATGCATAGCCCGAACTCATGAACTACTGTTTTCTTCCCTCCCTTTTCTTTTCTATTTCAACCCTATCTCATTTCCGTCCATTACACTGTCTCAGTAACTTAGAAGCCTACCCCTCCTGCCATTTCCCACAGTTATTGCCCTTCATTTTTTTTGTTTCCTCTTGTCGATAATGACCATGACCGCATCTCCATTTTCCAATCATATCCATTTGTCTTCTCATCCTTCGTTACTTGTCCTTTTCCAACCAGATCCTCATTTTGGAACTTCCTTCTTGCCGTCATTTTTAACTCTCAAGTACACATCATCCATAGCCTTGACCTGGTACCTAACGTTTCTTTGTCCACTTTGTTTACCATTTAGATCCCGGTTATCCTGAATCCCTCATATTAACGCTCACCTCTGTCTACCTATCTGGTCATTATGTTTCCTTTCTAGTTATGCATTAGGAGTTTGGTCTATTTATTGTATTTGTGCGTTTTTACCTCCCCAAATCTTATGCTTCCTCGCAGCTCATGCATGCATCACTATGATAAGTAGTACATACGCCACGATACGCATTGCATTGCATTCATTTTGAGATGGGAACTGGAATCAGTGATAGATTGCTTACTGTTAGATTTTTCAAAATGCGAAACAAAAAAGGCATCAGGGAAGGTCTACGGAAAGCAAGGGTCATAACTAGATATAGTGTTTGGGACACTGATTTCAATTGTATCAGCCTTTTCTCCTCTCCCGACTGAACCACCTGTCGAATAGGCGTATCAAAAGCTTTTTTGCTCTAAAGATTCGACTCAAATGACGCCACCCCTGCGTAGATCATATGCAAAAAGGGGTGCCTGAAGGGCCATCGATCCACAAGGGGGTAAGTAAATATAGGGTAGAAAGACCGAAAGATTACGTAGAAAGGTCACGCCAGGAAGATTGATAAAACTCGCTCAGAAGGAACCCCTTTAATCGTATTTACCAATCAATATATAGAACGCCAAAATCGATCATTCCCCAAGAACCAAAAAAAGCAAATGAAAAGACTAACCACCAAAAGGCAGATAGGCAAGAGTGTGACAACGTGAAGGAACGGTATATAAATCAGCTCTTGTGCAACTTCTTAACCCTCAAGCTTCCTTCATAAAGCAAACGGTCGACAGCGGCTGCCACCGTCAATGTACCACCAATAACAGCACAGACACCAGTAAAGAACGCAGAGAGAGATTTTGGTCTAGTTTCGCGATTGATCACTTTCATGGGAGATATCTCATAATTGAACATGACAGATGGAATGCCGCCGCGAGCGTGTTGGCGCTCTTTGTGTCCATCGGCGGAAGCATCTTCTGCATCGAGTGATCGTTGATGCGAAGTAACTGAATATTGATGGGTTTCAATACTTCCCTGGGAACCAAAAAAGACTCCATGGTTGCCCAGAGGAATGTCCCTGTGAGCCTGGGAATGTGCCTCACTTGACAAGGTGGGATCCCATCCAAGTGGTAGATATGACGTTGACACCACCTTGACAAAGTACAGGAAGTTGTATCGTACTTCATTAGTCTTGTGCTCGGATTTGTCAAGAGGGTTAATGGTATCCTGGTGTGTCCATTTCCATCGGCTATAGAGCTCTTCGGGAAGCTGGGGTCCAAACCGGAGCTTGTGTATGATATGGGTCATAGTATGTGGAACCGGGGTATGATAATAGTTGTCTAAATCGTGGGCATGGAAATTTCCTGCTGTCAAGCTACGGCCGGGAGCAATATGGAAGTTCCCTGCAACCTTGTTCACACGAAGAATTCCTTCAATGCGGCATCCTTCATGTCGTTGCTCGTCAATGCGCTGGGAATAGCCTTCGTCGATACATTGGGCAACGTTCTCGCCGCGGCCAAAGGCCCAGTTCTTCTCCGCGTAGGCATCACGAACTTCATCACAAGTGTTGCAGCATCCTGGCTTCTTTGCGGTGGAGGGTGCAGGCACACCGTAACAATCTCCACAGTAGTTTGGGTCGAGATGTGCGGGAGAGTCCTCTTTCTTATGTCTACATTGAATACCGGTTAGCGGTCGTTTACGGAATTGAGCAAAGCTTTATCGAATCTGAATTTGAGTAACTTACAGGGCCAATGCTGTCACGTCAATGACTCTTCCGCCTTCTGCTGCAGAGCTGAGGCGGACTTTGTTAACCCCATGATCCACATCTGTCTGGAGTTCGCCTGATACGTCCATGACATCCAGGGTGAGCAGTTCACAGGGGAGGTTTGGAAAGGTCATGTTCAGGTGGATTTCCATCCTCTCGCCTATAACTGGATGTTAACTTCCCTGCCATGACATCCATAAAGATATGATACCCACCTCTGCCCTTGTCAACGATCAGCTCAGGCTGAACGACGACTCGTCGATAATCTTTCCATTCGCCCCAAACCAGATATATAACAATAAGCAATGCAGCTATAGTAACCACTCCTCCCGATCTCGTCCGTATCCGCGCATCTTCAACAGTTTTCGCGAAAGCATCGAGGCGTGTGAATCGAGATTTGCCGGCCATATCGGGTGGTAGTGTCGCCTTGGGTCGAAATCAACCAATTGGCTCGTGGATTAGAAAGCACACTGCGTATTTCTCTCCAGCTTAGTCAATATGCAACCTCGATTCACGGTTGATTGGTATGTGAAGGTAGGAGGAATAGCAACGTGAGCTCAAAAGGCTGTTGCAAATGCGCATCACCGATCTCACAGAGAGAGAAAGAGGGAGAGAGTGCCGAAGTGAGTGACCGGTGGCGTACTGGCGAGCCGTATATGGGTGGAGGATTCTCAATAGACACGCAACTCCTCGTGCACAGAGGGAAGTCCGCCGTCACTTGCATCGACTTGAAGCTCAGCGGGAAAGGACACATTGAAGATTTGCTCTCATTGGCCCGGAATTTGGCTGACTAATGTACATCACGTGCACATGTACCCACCTGCACATATATCGAAGCTTAATGGTAAAGTTTACTTATGTAATGGATATGATATAATACATAGCTACTTTCCTGAATTGACGTTGAGCGTTTGATCGCAAGTTGGCGACAATATATTTCTGATACAGAGGTAGGCGCTCTGTATCAGTGTTATTATTCCTGTCATTCCAATTAGCTGGATAGAAATGGCATATAGAGAGAGAATATGTATAGTGTATTAGCGTACAATTTCACTTCCATATAGTGCAAAAATCAAAAATATACAAATGCTGAGAAACCGCGGCGGGGTTTAGGCCAGAAGGGCAGCTATGTTTGAGTGGCTAGAATACATATGCCCGTGTATAGAAATATATTGACCCCTAGCCTCAATATCAAAGAGGCTTTGTAGAAACGTCGCCGCAGGACATCTTGATTACATAAGCACAACACATCTTTAGAGCCGCACTAAGCCCGATTAAGCACAGCCATTCACTGGACTTTCTTTTACAGAGGCAGAAACTCGCAAACACTTTTGCTTTCTTCATAACGTCCACCACTTCACCAGCGCCTCTGATACCGCCCTTATATACCACAGCAGACCGGTCGCTAGAGATCCCTTTTGAAAAGTATCTTTCGACACACGACCAAGTTCAGCGAGCTCTTCCGAACCTTGCATGCTGGCGCGACACAGTTCAAAATAGCGGGCTGCAGTCCATACGCTGCTTGTTCCGGTCTGTTGAGGAACCAAGAAGTCGCCAACCTCACCGTATTTTCTAGCAAACGCATTCTTCCGTCATGCTGCAGGTCTCAGGTGGAAGGATGAATAGCTCCAGCAACCGCAGTAGAGGCACCCGAGGCAGAACGGGAGGAACAGACCGCGGTGGCATCCGAAAACGAGGCGCCACTCCCCGGGTAGATCGAGATGGAGACATGGATATGGCTGCCTCTGGTTCAAGCGCTGGAAAGGGTCGGATAAGAAGCTCTCGCGGAGTCGCTCCGGGAAGATCATCGAAAAGACCAGGAGAGAAAGAAAAGACGATTGATGCTCTCCAAAAGGCTATATTCAGCAGTTCTTCCTCCCAGGCCAATATCAGACACGGACGTGGAATTGCAGATGGAGCGCTGAGGCGGAATCTGACACAGATAAAAGTGAGTGGTTGGAAGAATAGCAAAGCGGCTTCGAATCCCGACGGTGGCGTTGTCAGTCTTGTTGCGTTTTTGGAGAAGAAATCTGCGCCGCCAGACCAGAACGCTACGGCCCCTGGACGATTCAAGATTACTAAGGTATGTGCTATATCACGTTCACGTTCACGTTCTCGCGGTTATCGACACACTCTGCAGCACTACTCTTCTGCGTTGTCTCCGTTCCCTTGTCAGCTGGAACGATGCTTTTCTCTCTGAGACCGTTCAGACATTCTACGAATGCTATCGAGTTACTGCAAAGAAGATCGGTTTCCAAGGTTAATTATGCCTTGCTAACATTCAGTAGTCGCGAGTTGAAGGCGACAGCATGATTATATCAGTTCGACCCGAACAGGTGGATGGATTTTTACGATTGAATGGATTTTCCTTTGCCGGAGCCCCCCTCACGGTGGAGCTGCTTGATGGCGTAGCTATGGCAGACATCTCATCACAGTCAAGCCAAGGGCCATCTCAAGCTGCGATTGATACAAAGGCTAAGATGACTGCTTTCCTCGCAAAGAGATATTCGGAGCCAGGAAAACTACTTGATCTATCGAAATTGGGTACGGATCCCGACCTAGTGGAGATGGGCATGTTTAACAGTGTGTCAACGGAATCAAAATTCTTCCCGGCCCTCATGAAAGTGTGCGAGCTTACTTTCGATTCTGCTGCCAAAAGGAAGGCTGCAGTCGTGAGTGTCAGCTTGGCGCATAATCAACTACCAAACCTCACTGCTGTCACTTCTCTTGCACAAACCTTCCCCGATATCAGAAACCTCGATTTGTCCCATAACCAGTTCAAGGATATCTCGAGTCTAAGCAGCTGGAGATGGAAATTTCGCGGCCTCGACTTTCTAGATCTTACTGGAAACCCAGTATGCTCAGAACCAACATTCAAGGAAACCATGATAAAATGGTATCCTCAACTCCGGACATTGAACAATGCAGCAGTTAGAACAGCTGAAGAAATTGCGGCTCAAAAGAAGACCCCTATCCCCGTCATGGGCCCGAGCTTTCAGGACGAGGGCCAGATTGCGGAAAATTTTGTCAAAGCTTTCTTTACTGGATTCGACAACAACCGAAACGATCTTCTCAATGGCATATATGACGCAAAATCCATATTTTCGTACAACGTCAACACTGTAGCCCCACGAGCGGCACAAACGGAATCAACACCTCCATGGGATTCGTACATCCGGAAAAGCAGAAATCTCGTGAAAATCAGTCATCTCCCTGCCCGCGTATCACGTAGCTTTATTGGTACCGACAGCATCCGCGAAATATGGAATACATTCCCACAAACAAAACACCCGGAAATTCTTTCCAACCCTAAAGAATGGTTGATAGAATGCCATCCTATTCCTGGCCTTCCTGATATCAACAATCAAAGTGCGACTGGTGTTGGTGGTCTTTTGATCACAGTCCATGGAAAATTTGAGGAGATATATCCCAATACCGGAAGCAAATCTCAAACTCGCAGTTTTGACCGAACGTTTGTCCTTGGGCCTGGAAATGGTCTAGGAGGACTCAGGGTTAGCAACGACATGCTTTGCCTTCGAGTGTTTGGAGATTGTACTGCCTGGATTCCAGAGCATGAACAAGCTGCAGCTGTGCCTGTAACCCAGGCACCTCCTGTAACGGTCATACCCGCCCAGCCTGCGGCAGTTCCACAATTAGGAACTCAACATCCAGAGGCAAAGCCAGGCTACGGAACACCCCAGCCTGGGAAGTCGGAGGAAGAGCTTAAAAAAGAACAACTTATACTGGAGATAAGCTTTAAAACGAAGATGACGTTGCAGTTTTCCGAAATGGCCCTTAGTGGTAATAGCTGGGATATGAATTTGGCGCTAAAGAACTTTGAAGAGCTCAAGGTTAGTAGTATAGCTTTGCATATGGCAACCCCTTGCCCCTGAAGCAAATCAATACTAACAAAATCACATTCAGGCACAAGGAAACTTGCCCCCTACTGCGTTCCTGCCAGGCGCATAAGTTATAGTTTTTATAAGCCTTGGGAAGGGAGAAACAAAAGGAAAAGAGAGAGAGAGAGAGAGAGAGAGAGAGAGAGAGAACCGTCAGCGTTTTACAGCCTTTTTTTATTAGCATCCATATACTATATTCATCATCGTTTTCCCCAGGAGATCCTTTTCTCGCAACATTTCCAGAGACTCAACTCTGGAGTTACCTTTGAAATGAACGATGAGATTGGCGTATCCTGCTTTAGCGGGTTGCCATTATATCTTTACCGCTATGTCCTTGGTTTATCGGGAGTTTTCTTGTTTCATTCTACCTGTTGCATGGCGGAGGGGGTGTGGGATTTTACCATGTGATGGAAGTGTACTTTAGCTAGAAAAAAACATATCCGCCCAAATTGGGAATGCAATAAACCAGAGTCATCCTTTAAACAGTTCCATGTCACACACAGGTCGAATATATATCCTTCGATAAAGGCTTGATTGGCCTTGGAGTACAGGAAGGCTATGCAGACTCAGTATATGAGGAAATCTATGTAGCTGATGGCTTAGGCGTGCCACTAAACAATAATTCCGAGAGCCAAGCTCGGCGAAAGCTCCAACCATCGTCATTTTATCCAAAGCACCAACGACAGCGGGATTTCTAGCCTCATGAACAACAGCTTCGAAGAAAGGGCATATTTTCACGATATTTTACTCCAACCTCGTTCCTCGAATGCATTGTCTAATGCCGCTGAATGAGACCATATAAAGCTATCGCGCTTCCCTTGCTAAAAGCCACCAAATGCGATTAAATACACCCTTATTTCAACGTGTTTAACTCTCCATCACCACACCTATGCCAACAAACGGGGAACCAGAGACCGACCCACTGGATGGAGGCAAGTATCAGGACAGATATCTATCATTCAACGGCACTCTAACTTGGAACAGCTGACTATAACCCTATCGAACACCTAAACGCTATCTTCTCCCATCCGTCGACCCTTGCCGCCGTGCCCAAGACCTCCCAAGCCCTCAAGGTATACCAAGATGAACTTGACGAAGATATCTCTGCACTCGTGGAAGCGCAGGCAGCTTCCAACCTGGAAAGCGTTGAGCGTATCCGCAATGCAAAAGAAGACATGGCCGAGCTGTTCAAGAAGATCGAGGAAGTCCGTGAACGAGCCCTGAAAACGGAGCAGGCGATTACGGCAATGACAGCCGACATCAAGCAACTGGACAATGCAAAAGGGAATTTGACACTGTCTATGACAACGCTGAAAAGGCTTCAGATGCTTACTACCGCGTACGAGCAGCTGAAAGCACTAAGCAAGTCAAGGCAATACCGGGGTTGCGCGCAATTACTCCAGGCCGTGATACAATTGATGGCGCATTTCAAATCATACCGTTCGATTGATCAAATTGCTACCCTGAGCCGAAATGTAGCAGATATACAACGGGAGCTGTTGGAACAGGTTTGCGAGGACTTTGAGATCATATTTGCCAAGGGTGAGACAGCGCAGAAGAGAAATATCCTAGCCGAGGGCTGTCTAGTCATGGAAGCGTTGGGAGATATGGCCAAATCACGGCTCATCACTTGGTATTGTAACACACAACTAAGAGAATACCGTCAGGTTTTTAGAGGAAACGAGGAGGCCGGATCCCTGGATAATATCTCTAGGAGATATTCCTGGTTTAAAAGGATGCTAAAAACCTACGACGAAGAACATATGACAATTTTCCCAGCCTCGTGGAAAGTCAACGAAGTTTTAGCAAACATCTTCTGTGAAGGTACAAGGGATGACTTTAAAGGGATATTGTCCAGGTCAGTTCGCAGCGGACAAACTATGGATGTTAATCTTATATTATCTTGTCTTCAAGAATCCCTTGATTTCGAGCAATACCTTGATAGGCGTTTTACCAATGCTTCCCGTGCATCTACGGATACCTTTGCCTCCAGTGAAACACCTATTTTCTCGCAGACCATATCTGAAGCATTCGAGCCTTATCTGAGTTTGTGGGTATCTGCTCAAGACAAGCAGCTTGACACCCTCATCCGAAAGTATAGGGAACAGCCGATTAAACCGGAGGATGAGGAATATTCTCCACAACTGGTTGTACACTCTTCAACGGAGCTTTTTACGTTCTACCGCTTATCCCTTGCACAATGCGCCAAACTCTCCACGGGCAACTCTCTTGCAGAATTAACGAAGGTATTTGCAAGATACTTGGATCAATATGCTCAGCAAGTCCTACTTCATTATATCAGTGATCGCCCAGGGAATCAGGCTTCATCCAAACTGCCATCATGTGAGGACCTTACCATGGTACTCAACACTGCAGATTATTGCTATACAACTTGCAATCAACTCGAAGACAAAATCAGGAGCAAGATAGATGAGCCCTTCAAGCAACAAGTCGATCTCCAGAGCCAGGCGGATTCGTTCATGGGAATAGCTAGTGCGATTGTCCGTCTGCTTGTGCGGAAAGTTGATATCGGATTGGAACCAGCCTGGAGAGAAATGCGGAATACAAGTTGGAGTGCACAGGATGGCGTCGGAGATCAAAGTCCATACGTTGAAGTTCTTTTGTCCAACTTGAAATCGAAATCGGATGAGACTTTAGGGATGCTTCACAAACAGCAGTATCAGCGAGCCTTTGCTGATAACCTGGTGGAACATACGTCAACAAGTTATATCTCAAATATATACCAGTGCAAGCCCGTTTCAGAAGCTGGTGCAGAACAGGTATGTATGGCCTTTTGACTCCATGTATTAACTTAGCGGTATCTAACGCGCCGATAGATGCTTCTTGATAGTTATGGCATAAAAACAGGTCTAACAGGCCTTCTTTCGCCAGCACCCACGGCTTTTGTTAAACGTGTCCATCAAAGTTTCCAGAAAATTGATACCCTTCTTAAAACTCTGCAGGTCCGAGCTGTTCCGCCAGAGGCGCTTGTACAGGCGTATCTGATTCATATTGCTGACAGAAATGACAACAACTTCAGAAAAATACTGGACATAAAGGGGATAAGAAGTAAACAGGAACAGAATCGTCTTGTCGAACTGCTCCAGGCTCATAAGACGTCCAATCGCCATGCTCCCAACCTACAAGAGAGCAATCCTTTAATTTCTTATTTACAACCACCGGCTCCTGCACCTACTGCCCCCACTGTAGCACAGGGCCTTGGGCTGGCTAATCTCGGGGGAACCCCAACTTCTTCCTCTGGAGCCAACGCGCTCCCTACACGCTTCGATCCATCAATGCTTGGCTCTGCTCTTATATCGGCTGCTCGTGACGGGGTTGATAGACTTGGGACGCCAGGTTTGGGCAACCTCGGAAATACGCCTGGCGGAATTTCGGCCAGCAGTGGCCGTGCCGTGGCCGGCTCAGTGGCCCAGTCTGGATCAGGAACACCGCTATCAAATCAGAACATAAGTTCTACGGGACAGAATGCAGATGCAAGTGAAGGGGCCTCTTCTGCCGCCGCAAACCTGAATGAGAATCTCAAAAACATCGGAAAGTTCTTCCGTCGAGATCTCAGTGGTTTGGGTGGAAGGTTTGGAATAGGTGGTGATGACAGTGGTCAGAGGTGAGCGATAGTTAGATTCAGCCTGCACTGAATATAAAACTTGGACTTGCTGGGAATGTCCAATAGTTGTTTCAAATAGACTATTTTGGTTTGGTATCTACGTAGCGTGCCATTGTTAATTACATATATTTATTGTATTTATCGGGACGGGCCATCGATCCTAAATTTATCTCTTATCTTGTAGCAGTGCTCATGTCTCAATAGCTTCAAAAAATTCTAACCCTTTTAAATAAGCGTTCCGTTTACTCATCTAGTTCTACCACAGTTTGATGCTCTAGGTAAAGTTAGTATGAATTTGTCTAAGAGATAACGTTGAAAGTGATGAGAAAAACCATACCCCATAATCTGCTTGCTGAGGCTATAATTACCTCCGCTTTTGCAGTTAGTTTTGATGTAACTCTCTTCATATCTTTATTGTTATTAGAGTATGAGCTACTCCGAGGCTGACCCTGGTATTTGCGTTAGGCACGAGGATAATACGGAATGTTAAGGTCAACTTACCATCATTAACACAGGCACCAGCTCACTAGGTGCAGCTTCAGCAAGAGACCTCAGGGTTTTGAACCCATTCTCCCAAAGCAACCTTGCCGTTCGGCTTTTGACATAGGTCACCTGTGCCATCTCCAATAGATCTGCTCGGGCCCCAGCCTGAAGGCGATCACGCATATGCTCCAACACAACCGCCAGCATATCCCAGCCCATCCGTTGACAGAATTTGGCCATCCCAGCCGCGAACCCGTGGCAGTTTTGAGCAAGCGTCTGTACAGCTCCTCGGGCTATGTTATATTTCTTCGCAATTGATGAAACCGGGATTTCATTGCTTAAGTCACGCAGTTGAAATGCTGTATAGACACGGTTGTAGACTCTGAGCAAAGCTGGATCCTTGATAGAAGCATGTCCCATTGCAATTGAGTTCACCAATCCAGGGTCAACGCCAACGAGCCGTATTGTACGTAGTCCACTATCATCTAGTCCATGAACCTCGTCGCGGAACGCCATCCAGTCAATTTCCGAAGACGCCTGTAGCGGAGAAAACATATAAAAGATATGCATTTCCCCATCCATCACGAAAGCCTGCAGTGCACGCTTTAATTCTCCATATATGAAAAGCCCATCATCAGGGCTAAATGCGGACGCGACAATTGCTAGGCCAAGCTGTGTTGGCTCAAAAGTCTCATCATTTGATGACTTCACGAGTTTTGAATCCAGAAGTTCCTGGAGAGTTGATTGCACCATGTCGAAAAGGGTATCCTGGGCTTCGTCATTGTGAAATAACAGACTGCTCCTGATGTAATCGTTGATAGCATCGCGACCGGATACCAGCTTAGTAGCAATGGCCTCAAGTAACGCTCTATACTTTTGTCAATTACCGCCTTTTGACTTGAATAATATCAGGGGTTACCTCTTGATCCCTGCCCTGCCCGGGGCCAACCCACTCGCAATAGCGGGCAACTCAGCTTCCAACAATCCAACCACATCTTCCCAATCCTTACTTGTGCAGCATAGGTAGGTTTCACCAACTTCATCCTTGCCTTTTCGGCCCGCTCGGCCACGCATTTGTCGTCTTTCGGGGTTAGCGCTGAGATCGCAAGCAACTGGTGGAAATTCAGCAAGTACTTACAACATTGCAGGCCCAACCAGTTCACGTCCCATTCTTGCACCGCAGAGGATAACCCTTCTAGCGGGGAGGTTTATCCCCGCTGCTAAGCTACAAGTGGCTACGAGTACTTTGAGGATTCCGGCATCAAACCCTTCCGCAATCAGTACACGTTCTTCGGTGGTTAAACCAGCATCTACGAGTACAAGTTAACATCTGTCTGATAAATCTAAAGACGTATTTAGTAAGGGGAATACTGACGATGAAAAGCAACACCTCTCGGTATAGTTTTGGCAAAGTAGGTATCAAGTCCACAAGGGAGGCTTTGTAAGCTTGCTACTAGGTCCAGGCGCTTCTCAATAGTATCTGCATCCAGAGTGTCTGGCATTGCATCTCCTATGAGCACCGCATTTGTCTGGCAAGCCTGCCTGCTCCCACAAAATACAAGAGCGCCATAACCTGCAGCTGCTGTTTCGCAGGCAAGGGCAACCATAGCATTTGGAATTGGGAACGCTAACTCCCGAAATTCCGACTTACGTATGACTCGGCACGCTGAAGCCGGCACATTATTTGGATTTGATGTATCAGGCTTGATCATCTTCCGAAGAAGGCCCTTTGTGGTAGGCACTGGATAAATGTAATCTTCAAACACTAAGAATTCTTCGACGGGTATCGGCCGATATCGAGATATATAATAATTCGCATTCAACCACTTTGCAAGGACCTCTGTATTCTAGAATATTTCTCAAAATATAAGCTATTGGTCCTAGCTCCCAGAAGTCATGAACGAAAATATAAACCATACCGATAAAGTTGCACTCATGCCGATTATCTGGATATCTTGCTGAAGCAGGAGAAGCTTTGTTACCATGATTTCTATCAGGTAACCGCGGTGTTCATCATCGAGCATATGCAGTTCATCGAGGACAATCACACCTAGCTTATCAATTGTACAATCTTCAATTGCACTATTGACAAGCGAGTTAGCCTACGTAGTGTTAGCAGTATTTTCAGACAGAGTGAAGTCGAGCTGGTGGGGAGCAACCTTCTCGATGGTGCACACCGCGACATCTGTATCTGACCAGGTTGTCCTGGCCTTGCTTCCACCGAAGAAACCTGTAACTCGGATGAAGTTCTCTTCAGATTTGAGCCGAGAAGATCTTCTGGCCCCATCGGCAGAGTTATCAGCGTCATCTTCATAATCATCATCATGCGTGCATCGGGGTATCCCTTCAACTACGCGTCTGAGCCATTTCAGCTTTTCCTGGACAAGAGCAACATAAGGGAGAACCAGGATAGCTTTTTTGTCCGGGCAGGTAAGGATGCGTTTCAGCATTAATACATCTGCAACTAATGACTTACCACCCCCCGTTGGAGCACTGTACACCAGATTCTTTTCTCCTGACAGATGTCCCCTGCCTAAGAGGCATGATGCTTGCCATGGATAAATAGCGTTGACACCCAGAGATGCAAAATTCTTGACCAGGGCAGTCGGTAAACCGTATTTTGGGTGGCTGAGAGAGAGGATAGGATTCTGAGCTGGTCCAGGAGTACTGGATACAGAGGTCCTTTGCGAGTACTCCGACAGATTCTGCAAGCGAGAGGGCTCACTATTGCTAGAGTTGGATAGCAGGTCTATTCTGCTGGGCCGTAAGCGCCTGGTATCGTGGGAATCCTGCACAGTGCTGGTTCTCTGCGCTCTGGACTGTGCGTTCAAGACCTGGTGCGCGGTGGTGAAAGCTGGGAGAGCATCATTTTCGGACCGTGACCGTTTCGCACCGGCGCCAGATGAGGAGTGTTCCCAGGCAGCATCGGCACGTTTGGGATTCATATCAGTTGCATGGATGGATGGATCTCCAAATCCGCCTGATGCCCCTGGCCTATCGTTCGTGTACCTGTTATCGAGGACATACGCGAAATTAACCGACAGAGCAAATCTCAAACTGTGCTAGTTATAGCTACACCCGGCAACCACCCGCGAGAGCATGTATGCATTGGAACACGATTTCGTCCTTGCTGTCAGTATTTCGAGACTTCGATATAGCTAACTCGCACCGTATGTTGACTACTGCTCTCTTCCATGGAATAGCTAAAAATAAGACGCGGCGTCAAAATAGGGATGAGGCTCTAGTTACTCCCAGAACAGGCAAGTTGTGCCGGATCCCGGTACCCGTCGGTCGGGTATTTTGGACATCCGGCCATCGGAACCAGGTCCCTAATCAACTGCCTACTGTCCCTGGTTCCACAGTCAGTATTCACTATTGGAACTGTGTTCTACTGATATATTATTACTCTATCCTGGCATCACAGGGATAAAAAGGAGAAGAAGAAAGCCGACGGAGGATGTAACACGCCTGGTTCACCTAGTTAACTAAATGACTGATCACTCTTGCTGTTGCACAGGGCTTGCCACCTCCACGGCGCTGATCTACGGAGTGTCCGCAGCATGGGCTTAATTAATCTGTGGATGGCACAGAGGTTCCAGGTCAGGGGAAGAGGTGTCCTACTTTTTGAGCCTGGCTCCTTATTTTTTTGGGGGCCGACGAATGACGGAGTGACCTCGATGGAAGGGCAGGCAAACAAGGGTATGGCAGAGTTGATATCCCTGCCATCGCTCCCTCGAAGTCTCCCGGATGAAGCTTCTTATTCGTTGCAGAGGCAGAAGGATTTCTACACTGCAGCTGGTTGACCCTGCCAGTTTGTTTTTCATCGCCCACGGTTCTTTCTTCGCCCAGCTCGAGATGGCAGCGTTCACGGCGTACTCCTCGGGACGAGCCCTGTTCACTGCTAAATGGAAAAACAGAGACGAAGCGAATGACCTGTGGATCTTGGGTCAGGTGGGAGTGCCGGCCGGTCTTGCCTTTGTGATATGCCCGTGGGTAAAAGGACAAGGTTATAAAACCGCTTGATAGAGTCACAAGCATTCTATACTTCAGAGTGTGTGCGTATATAAACACTGCTCATATCGGGCTTTCTCGCTCGTTTGGGGTTCATTCCTCTCCGCATAACGGCGCATATCAAAAGATGTCAATGTCCACGTTAAGACACTTCCTTTGGCTGGGAGCATTGCTTTTGGCCACCATTCAGGTTTCCGCGCTTCCAACAGCTCAGGATCTAATATGCAATGGCCATCCGGAGTACTGTGATCGTCGATACTCGGAGCTGTCATTCGTGGGTGCCCACAATTCTCCGTTTGTTGGACCGCTGCTCCAGCACAACCAAGATATCTCTGTGACCGAACAGCTGGATTTTGGCATCCGATTTCTTCAGGGACAAACACACAAGAACGATGATGGCGTCTTTAGCATGTGCCATACATCATGTATCCTAGAGGACGCCGGGAGTGTAAGTTCATACCTTCAAACAGTCAAAACATGGCTGGATAGCCATCCAAATGAGGTGGTTACCCTTTTGATCACAAACGGCGACGGACTTGATATTAAAGAATTCGATGATGCTTTCAACGCTGTGAACGGAATCAAAGACTATACCTTTGCACCAAAGTCCAAGCTTGCCCTCGGCGATTGGCCAACGTTACGCGAGTTGATCACGACTGGTAAACGACTAATAGTCTTCGTCGGTAAGTGTTGCACGTTATGGATAGGAGAGCAAACCTCGCTTCTCCTAAACTTTAGTTCCTCCTATATACTTACTCTCCCTGAACAGATTCCAAGGCAGACACCAATAGATTTCCATATCTACTCGACGAGTTTTCATACTACTTTGAGACTCCATTCAGCACGACCGATGAAAACTTCCCTCAGTGTAAGCTTGATCGTCCAGCCGGCGGCAAGCCTGACGGGCAGATGTACCTTGTTAACCATACCCTAAATGTTAACGTTTTCGGTATCTTCCTCCCCGACCGATTCAAGGCCGGCAGGACGAACGCTGCTGTAGGCCAAGGCAGCATTGGGGCCCAGGTCGATTTATGCAACTCGATTTACCATCGCAAGCCCAACGTGGTTCTCCTTGACTTTATCACCGAGGGGGATGTCCTCAAAGCGGAGAGAACGATGAACGGACTTTGATGTTTGACGGCCTTCGACGGCCCCGTATTGCCGAAGCCTGTTTTTAATGTTAATTATTTGGCAACTCTTTTTTCAGAAGTGCCGCTTTTTATGACTTGGTTAGCTAGAATATGGATTAATGAGCATGCTATAAATTATGGGTTATATATAACATATATCGAATGCCGCAGAGGGCTTCTCTGTGGTATCAACAGAGTGCTACAGGTCTGGGGGAACACAGCTTCACGACGTGAGCTCCGTTGCAGGGAATATTGATTCTAAGAGTTTGCTCTGTAATCTTTACAGTTGTGCCTCAGGCAAGGGACGAACAAGCAGCCTAACGGTATGCCTTGCATCCCCCAAGCTTCCCCTCCATCTGCACACTGTGTCAACAGCAGCATAACTCGGAGCCCGCCGCTAGAGTTGTCCCGCCTTCGCCAGGGATCCAGCGAAGCTTCATGCAGCAAGTCCTCCCTCGCCCAGGTTCACCCCAAGCAACGTCGCATCGTGTCCGCTCAGCTGTGCATCGGCTTATTGGCCACAACAGCAGCGCCAAAAAAAAAAAAAAAAAAAGAAAAAGAAAAAAAAGAAAACCCACTCCACGGCCTGGCGATCAGCGGAGAAGAACAGGGCAGCATGTGCAGCGTTGGGTGGATGGAGGACGGCCGCGGTAAGCTCACGAAGCTGTTCTTCGCAAGTTTACTTAGCTAATTCGCCGGCTCTGGGGCAGAGCAGATGAAGCTGGTCCCATCGTCCCGGGGTCAAGTGGTCAACAGGTTGAGGAAACCTGCATCGATCTCCTGCAATACGGAGTAAGGAATGCAAGAAGAAGAAGCAAGAAGCTGCAGACTCTGTCAGAGCTTAGGACAATCAATATCTGGACAAAGATGGTCCGACTATCAGCCCAATGGACTCACTGAAAAATAGCCTGTGATGTCCATGCAGCGGCAAGATTCGCTGATCTCTAGCATCCAGAGTCTTCCTTTCTTTTTCCCCCCCCAGTTGTTCAAGGACGCCTGTTTTCGCCAGCCTGTTCCTGCTGATGGTTTGGCCTGAGCAACGCTGACAATTCTTCTTGTTATACGAGATGAACGTGTTCTATACTCCACTATGGTTAAATGAAGGCTGCTCATGGTGGGCTCTTCGGCGGGATTGCTCATGCTGTGGACGTGTACTTCTGTTAAACATGCATCATATCACATAATAATGCCAAGTGCATGTTTATCTATATACCCAGAGTGTATGTATATAAGAAGCCGATCTTCCTCCCTTTGCGAGGAATATGTCCTCCATCACAACCAACACCCTCATCATCTTCCTCGAGATACCATCTACATAGTGCAACAGCCAAGATGAAGTACACTTTTCTTGCCGTCCTCTCTGCAGTGACCGTCCTGGCCACTCCAGCTCCCGTCCCAACTCCACCAAACATCCCATCTGCCTCTACTGCTCAATCTCTCCTTTCCGGCCTTACTGTCCGCCCCCAGGGCCCCCAGGACGGTTACAGCCGTGATAAGTTCCCCCACTGGATCACCATCTCCGGCACTTGCAACACCCGTGAAACCGTCCTTCGCCGTGACGGTACCAACGTCCAGGTTGACGGCAGCTGTGCCGCTACCTCTGGCTCTTGGTTCAGCCCCTACGATGGTGCTACCTGGACTGCTGCCAGCGATGTTGACATCGACCACGTTGTCCCATTAAGCAACGCTTGGAAGTCTGGTGCTGCTTCCTGGACCACCTCCCAGCGACAATCCTTTGCCAACGACCTCAGCAATCCTCAGCTCATTGCTGTCACTGACAACGTAAGTGGCTTTCATAACTACTGCCCAGTTTGTGAAAAGTATCGTGTTAACATGTCAATCAACAGGTCAACCAGGCCAAGGGTGACCAAGGCCCAGAGTCATGGAAGCCTCCCCTTCGTAAGGTTTTTTTTTTTTTTTTTTTTTTTTTTTTTTTTTTTTTTTTTTTTTTTTTTTTTTTCAATCACCGGATAATTGTTTCGCGTCCAACTACTGACACCTGTTGTAGAGTCCTACTGGTGCACTTACTCTCGCATGTGGATCAAGGTCAAGTCCGTTTATGATTTGTCCGTCACCAGCGCTGAGAAGTCTGCTCTTACCTCCATGTTGAACACTTGCTAAACGCATCCCCTCCAACTTGACAAGAATTTATGAAATCACTGTAAATAGCGACGTTTTATCTAGTTATTTAACGTACGGAGTAACACCGTCTTTCCTCGTGAAGGCAGGACTCCACAATGTAGATAGCTCCCCAACACAAACAAAAATAGTTACTTTCCTTTGATTTTTCTCTTCGTTTCTAGGCGTGCAGATCTTAGTCGCAACCGCTAAAAATAAATCCTATGCCTATACTTGGCGCTTCTTGGTCGCAAATTCATTGTTAAATCGTTTGTTCGACTTCGTCTTGAGACTCGACACCGTTTTTATTTGATATATGGAAGCGGCGCGTTATTGGTTAAAGTTAGGTTTAAGCTTGATACCTTAGCCAATAAACATCAACCTTCCATAACAGCAGTGGGCCTCCCGTCAGGTGGTTGCAGGTGGCCCGGGGTGGGGAATAACGTTATTCCAGTAACGCTATTACTAATCACTCTATTTCGATGCCTCTTGTTTTTGCGCTTTTGACGTTGACCGTCAGCAACAAAGGGCTCTTCTACAGACCGAAAACTGTGAATACTAGTTTGATGATGGTGTAGGATTGGTGCATCTGGCACTTATGTTCCAATGGATCTCAACAGCAATACTCTTCCGTCCACTTCCCGCTATACGATCAACCCCAGCCATGCTTTGGACGAAAGGGGTATCATTCTCATCGATACCTCCTAGATGGGTCCTCCTGCGCAGCTACGCCCGAAGTGCTAGCTCGTCGGCTTCTCCTTCTATCAGAGATATTAAAGATTCCAGAATCCACATAACCAGTTCTAAACTCTGCAGTAAGATCTACAATTCTTAATAACTAATTACATCACATCCAGTACCTAATCTTATGTAGACGATGTCCTTGAAAGACTAGCCCCAACGCTTCCGAACAATAAGCCAGTCGATATCATTGATGCATATCCAGGACTTGGTATATGGTCTTCCCATTTTCATGAATATGTTCGCCCTCGACGACATATATTACTCGAGCCGAATTTCAGAACGTATGAAGCGCACCTAAAACCTTTACTTCAGTCCCCGGGATCGCGATACGTACACGTACCATTAGATCCAGCATTGGATAGGACGTTCTCCGATTTATTTAAAAAAGGATACCTGCCTGAGCAGACAGAGCGTACAGAAGGATCCACAGAAGTGAATGACACATTACTAGTTTTGGCCAACATGACACTACTTCGCTCAGCTACGAAACTACGAGCGACAGACTCGCGAAAGTACTTTGAATCTATGCTCGATCAAAGCTATTTCCACCGCTATGGTTTGGTACGAATTATTGCGATGTTTCCATCCTCGAATTTAGATGCGATCTTACCCAAGAGTATAAGCAGACGCCGGAGAACGCAGGCTTTACTGGAATGCATTGCTTTGGAAGCCAATGAAGTAGCAGGAGACACTAGCGAGACTACACATTTGACTCGACGAGGTCTGCCTGTCGTTCAAAACAGTGCTGAAAGAGCTGCAAAGAGGAATGAGGGTGTGGTTGTAAAAGTGCCTCCAGGCCGAGAGCCAGTACCTCTTGAACTCTCTCCAAAGCCTGTTGCCGTAAACGGGATCGAACATTCTTATGTGCCACGCCCTATTCATGACTGGCATCGTGAATACATCAGGGTGCATAAGGATCTGAAGAAGGAAGAACAAAAAATTGACACAAGCAATCCAATACCTGCAAAGTTAAAGGATCTTAGGAAAAATTTTGCCGCCCTGCAGAAGAGATATCTATACGAAAGTTCTCAGATTCGATCGGCACATGAAGCAGACGACAGACAGTGCGATATTGACAATATAGAAGCCGATCTTCGAAAAGTGATGAATGGCACCTTGCCAGTACCTAATTCTCGCGAGGCCGGCAAAATCATCAAGAACCTTGCCCTACTAAAAGAAGAGCGAGACCTTATCCTCTCGTCACTAGGGAAACAATTTATCCGCCATCATTATCCGTTGTTCGTGAACGAGCGGCGCTGCGTCTCTGGCTCACAGTCCAGCCCATCTGTTGAGCCTCTCTTGCTCTGGGACAAACGGGCATATGAACCGCTGCATGTTGAGAAGGATGAATTTTCCCCTAAAACACCATGCTCGATCGTTGACATCCAGCCAAATCCAGACTCTTTTATCTTTGAAGCTCAGCGGCAATACAAGGCCTCGAACGAGTCATTCAAGTATATTTCCGTCCTGACTACGTTCCGTGCATTGCTCAGGATGTTTATACCCTACCCCAAGAAATCGATTGAGCAGGTTCTACGGCTACTGTTTGCATCTAGGCCAATGACTGATTTCCCGTCCGCTATACCTTCGTTGGCGGAATATGCTACGCCCAAGATCACGGTGGATGCCAAAGAGGCAGCTTCATGGAAACATGTGAAGACTAATAATAGAAGAGGTGTGTTTGTAGGATATGATATGGACTGCTTGGCTGAAGCTACCTTGCAACGTATTCCTAGCAAGCTGTTTTGGGATATTGCTGTGGAGTGGGAGAGGTGGCGCCACGAGAAGAATTTGCCAGACACACTGTCTAAGTCGCTTGGTGGGGCGTTTATCTCAGATATGAACGAAGCATTTGAAGCCCGGCGGTGATTCAGTTCCTTCGTTTGCAAAAATTTTACTGTGATACCAAGGAAATAGAGCTAATGCAAGATTTTGCGGCGAGGGAATTATGATTCCATTTTATGAATGAATGGACTGTCTATTCCTCAAATGAGTGTATATACTATGGAACGAATAGCTGCAACCTCGAAAGAGAAAAGGCGGATTGAGACAAGGAATCAGCGCCAGGTACACAAGTTTCAAAGACAGAATCCGAAATATAGAGAGCTGCCATGGGTAAGTGCAGGACACCCAACAAATTGCAGCTGACATAGTCAACATAGTGGGAAACGAACGGGATCAACTGGCTTCATGCCCAATATAATAATCAAGAAAAAAGAGAAAAAAAAAATGCCAGTAGTCTAATGGCCGCTGGACGCCCTGACACCGACTTAGTTTGACGCCTCGTCGGGGTCGTGGATGCGAGTCATCCGCAGACTCTCATTTTTATTCAACCGGGCCAGAGTATAATTCACGAATCTTATGGGATTTGAGGGGCCGCCTTGCTGGCTATCATCTGTATCGTCCGGCCTGTCGGGCTTATTGTCGCAAGACTGGCTATCACTTCTATCACCCAGCATTTCGGGTTCATCGTTGGGAGGGTCGTCGTCGTCGTCGTCGTCTATGCTCTCGACTTCCCACAGAACACCCATACTTAACTGCCTTTCACCCGGCGGCGTTTCGGATCTTTCACGAGTTTGCCAATGCTGATCCCTTGGGAGACCGGCCCCATCCGTTTCTTCTTCTGAACTTGAGCTTGAAGAGTCAAGTAGGTTCACGTTCAAGGAGTTAGGTGGAGCGAATGTCCCGTATCGTTGTCCTATTTGCTCTCCCGCTCTCTGTGGCAGCAAGGGTGATTGGGTCGAATTTGGCCTGTTCTCTTGAGCTTGAACATCGACATCGTTTTCACTGCTCCTGGTATTTTCACACACACAACAGTCAAGCAGCGGTGGGATGACTTTCGGCTTTTTCAAGATATCCACTCTGCCACTTGGTGTTCTAACAGTATACCACTTGCGACTGAGCTGTGTGCCACCTTTGATGGTTGCTACAAAAGTTCCTGAACTTGGGTATCTGCCGCCAGATACGGGATGCATGTACCGTATCCAGCAGCTTTGGTACCAGCCTTGGTCTCCGAGCTTAAGGCCCTCGGGTAGCTCGTCCAAGGGTATCAGAGGAACCTTCGCGCCGTTTGGCCTAGTGATATAGAAGCTCGGTCTAGCTCGGTTGACTGTTTGACTAGATGGAGGTCCGATAGTCACGTCATTGAGGAGCGTTGCTACACCCGGAATCCGTCCCGTGGATGTATCCTTGTTCTCTTGGGTTTCCGATGCTAGTTGGCTGTTAATATCGTAAATATAATCTTCTTCGGATGATGGCTCCTCTTCCAAGTCTGCCATGCCCGGTGTGGCACTGGGATGCATATGAGTAACCCCGTTTCTTTGTGGTGTTCTGCGGCTGGGAGGCCAGGCTATTCGAAGAAAGGGGATGACATTAGACAGCAGGTAGGCCATAACTTATAACTTGCACACCTGGCAGTCTCTATATCTGTTTCTTTTAATAATAGAGTATAATATTGTAATAACAGACCAAAGGACAAACCAAGCGAAGGCTATCATAGACAAGGCACAGTTGATAGAGTTAACGGGGTTACAATAAACGAATGTATAGATGGTTAGAACAGCGAGTGTATGTATAGCAGCAGATAGAGGGAGAGAAGACAAAAAAAAAAAATCATTCTATCTCCTTTATCTATCCATATTTACTAACATTTGATATTTAATATAGAAGTTGCAACGGAGCTACTGGGAAGGCGAGAAGCGCAAACAGCAGGCTCAAACTGAGAAGGACTATATATTGACGAAGCAAAATCGATCTTGCTCTAATGCTATAGCTAGCTGACTAGATTAAAGAGCTTAGTTCTAGCGATACAAAGTAAAAAAATAAGTAAATAAATAAAAAAATTAAAATGAAGGAAGAGGGGGAAGAAAGAGAGAAATGGAAAGAAGAAGAAAAAAAGGATGCAGGTTAGTTAAAACAAACGCCAGTCTTATCATGCTCCAGATGCTGGTAGGGGGTAGAAGTACAATCAATCATAAAACATCACATAACATACAGTCAAAGCAAGAGGAAGAATGACGGTGGGGATGTAGGAAAGTCTACATTTATAGACAAACATTCAATCCATTATTTATGCAAGAGCTGCAATCTCGCCCCTGATAATGCCCAACCAGTGCTCCGTGGCCACTCTGCTATCTGCATCCTTTAGAACAGCAGGAGATATAACTCTCTCCACCACCCCTTTGCGTGGGATTCTAGTTCCCTGCTCTCCTGCGCGGACATAGTCAATCACGCGGTGGCCATCTCTTGCGAGAGCGAGAGCTCTATGTCTTTCAAGTCCCGGGTATACCTCTCCATAGCCGATTGCAGCAGCGACCAAGGTGAGAGCCAAGGCGAATATATCAGACGAAGGTGCTGGAGTTGGTGGTAAGGTCATGGAGCTGATCGATAGGAGTTCAGGGGCTGTGAACGGAAGACTGGTGGCTAGCCGAGAGCTAGCGGTCGAGTTCAGCGCCACACCGCTGCCATGAGAGTAGAGAGAAGAAGTAAAGTCGATGAAGAGCAGATCGAATGAATTCGCTGCAGTGTCATCGATGGTCCCCGAACTGTTTAATACCGTAGCAGTAGGACCTCCGCTGCTGCTGCTGCTGCTGATGCTGATGCCGGGAACCCGCGGACGAAGGAGGATGTTCTGGGGTTTGATATCGCCGTGGACCACGCCTGCTTCATGCATCCACCGAAGCCCCTCAACTAACTTGTCGGCAAAAGAAAGCCAGGTCGCCATCCCCAGGACAGGCTTAAACATGGTTCTCGTGTTGAATACAGCAGCCGCATCTTTTGCTCTGGTTTTGATGTATGAGGCAAAGGAGAGCGGAATGGCAGTCATGACGATGGCATGTTCAGAAGCAATGTAGCCGTGAAATGGCACGACATGAGCTGTACTGCCTGGAATTCGATGGAGAAAAGTAAGGATATCTGCTTCGGCGGCGACTGCACCATGTGCCAAACGTCCGGAAGCCACTTTAACAGCGTACACAGTGGTATGGGTGCTCCCGCTGCTACTGCTGCTCCTGCTGCTGGTATGACCGTTCCGTGGCCCCAACATAGGAGACGAGGCCAAAGAGCCGCGAGTTGGGGTCTGGGGTGGCGACGTAGTCAGAGAAGCAGTGTGGTCGATGCTGATGGCGCTGTAGACGTTGCTCCAGGCGCCTCTGCCGTACTCTATTCGACTACCGTCCTGGCCGTAGCGATACTTGAGCGGCAGGGAGCACTCGCTTGGCCCGTCGAGCTGCGCTGCCCACAATGGAGGGACCGTGGAGCGAGCGCCGTCGAGCACGGGTATGATTCGAGCGCCGTCGTCCTCCTCGACGGGCGTCAGGGGCGGCGTCAGGTTAGAGCCAGGCGACGGGGCGGAAGCGAGGAGGCTCTTGGCGGCGGCGGAGGCGGCGGGCGGCTTTACTGCCAAGGGCGCTTCACGGGCCAGCGGAACCATGGCTGCGGTTTTTCTTTATCCCTCGCTCTTTGTGTAGAAATAGGGCTGAAATAACGAGGTAAAAAAAAGGGCGAGGTCGACGGCCGGCAAAGGACAGCGAAGGCGGTGCGAGAGAGAGAAGACGCCCGTAAAAAGGGATATGAGTCAAGAGGAGCGCTCGGAGCAGCCGGCTGGCGAAGGGGGAGCAAGAATCAGGTGGGCTTGTGGGATGCAGAGGGAGTGGCGATGATATATATCAAGTCAGGCGGGCAGAAGTCACAGTCAGAGCAGCCTGTGAGAGACGCGGGTAGAGAATACGAGAAGCGACAGAGACGAAGAAGCCATGTCGACAGTGAAGCTCGATAGATTTCTTCTGCTGCTTGTTAATTTTTTTTTTTTTCCCCTTCTCCCACTTGAGAGAAGAGGCCGGCGTAGGTAGATGTCAGGAGAGGCCAGCGGTTTATATAAAGAAACAGGCTCGAGAGGACGGGACAAACGGACTGATGACAGGACAGCAGGCAGCCGGTCCCTTTATACTCCCAGCTGTCCGCAGGAGACGAAGAAGCAACGGAAAGACGAGCGCACAAGAGTCGAGAAATAAGAGTTGGCAGCGACAGGACAGTCCCGATCAGCAACGGCGAAATCTGCGATTGCTATTTATTATTCAACCACAATGGGGGCTTTTTTATCTTCCTTTCTTTGCTTCTTCTTGTTTTTTTTTTTCTTTTCTTTTCTTTTTCTTCTGTCCTTCGTCTTCTTTGCTGCTGCTGCTGCTGCTGCTGCTGCTCTCAGCCCGGCGCGAGAAAATAAAATGACTGTGTCTCTGTCCCTCCCTCCCCCTTCGCCCCTGGACCAGAGTTGCATGGCAGAGCACGGGAATGGACATGGGCCAAGTGACTGCCTGCGGGTTCGTAGCGACTGTGACTTTAGGCGCTAACAGGGAAGAAGGAAAACTCTAGGAGCAGACTCATAGCAGCGAGGACATATAGCCCGTTTCTCGAAAGGAAAAGAAAAGAAAAGAAAAGAAAAGCCGAAGGACCAGTCAGTGGGGTTCGTTTCCGGCAATTTCGAGAGCAAGAGTTCATTCCATCCAGGCCATACGGAGTATTTGGATATAAAGATGATATATATATATATACGGGTTAATAGAGTGGAAGGAGTGTACGGGGCGCAGGACTCGAGCAGAGGGCTGTCGGGCAGCAAGCTTCCCATCACAGCCTCCTTCGGCCTTCCCTGGAAGATCGCGCGCCTCCGAGCAGAACGCTAGAGCATGATGCCGTCACGGATCGCCATGGGCAGAGAGTTGTGGCTGGCGGAGGCCTGCTAGCAGTCACAGAGCAGAATCAGGGAGTTTCCTCAGTGGATGGAGAAGTGGGATAGTCGCCATCCATGGCGAGGCGAAGGCTGGTCGCTGTCTCCCAGCCATCTTCCCTGTTCTCGGGGCCAGCCGTGGGGGAGTTGAGTAATTTGGCCCTCCATGTCCGAGATACGAGATGCCGCTGGATGCCTGGAGTTGCAGAGGAGGCAGAAAGACAAAAAAGTAAAAAGAAATAATAATAATAAATATAACAGCAGCAGCCTGTCCCTTGTCGTGACGTCACTTGGACGTTGGGGCTGGCGGTTTCGAGACGGCGGGTTGGGTATCAGTGGTATCAGAGAAAGAGACGATGACGATCGGGAGAAAAAAGATGGGAAGAGAAGAAGAGTTGAGATTTAAGGATAGGGATGGATACTTGCAGTCCTTTTATATCTGGTCATGAATCATTTGCTCTTTGCATTTCTCTATCCAGCTCGCCAGCCTGCAAGGGCCCTCAAGTCTCGTAAGTAAGTACCAGAACCAGCTTCCAACAAGACACAAAACAGCAGAAAAAGGAGCAAAGGACACGGCATTCAGCATACCAGGAGACCAGGAGACCATCCATTCATACCTTCTAGAACCGCCTACTCCTCCTCTTTTCTTCCGTTTCTTTCTTCTCTCTGCTTCTCGCTTTTTGTTTTGTCAAGATAAAACAGGGATAATGAACACAACACCGTGGTAAAGATGAACTCATGCAATGCAGCTGCAGGATTTTGGAACGAGATCAAAGAAAAAAGGGAGAAACATAGAGAGGGAAGAAAGAAGAAGGGGCAAAAAAAGAATATAATTATCATCAAGAGGCATTAAACAACCCAACCAAATAACAAAACTTTGAGCGAAAGGGGGGGGGAAGGGGGAAAAGATAAAAAAAACACAGATAGAAAATAAAAATCACTTCCTCAACTGCTCCCTCTCAACTTCATACATAAAATCGAAATAGGACTTGTCAAAATGATGAACACGTACGTATCCGTCTTCTCCGCCAGACGCATAGCCAACGCCGGCAGGGTGGACGGCGATCGTGTTCAGGGGACCGAAGTGACCCCTGACACGGCCGATCTCGTCCTCGAATATCTTGTGGTAGAATCGGGCCTCAAACTTTCCTTGTCTGGCGGAGGTGGTAGTCACGTCCATGGCAGCCTGGCCACCACCGAGCACGACGAAGTCCTTCTTTGCCGTTATGGCTGCTGTGTTGAGAGGGGTATCGGCAGTGTAGGTCTTGAGGATTTCGAGGGTGCTTGATGAGAGGATCTACGCAGGTTAGAATGACGACAAATACGGTAACTGTAGAGGGAAATAAAAAGTGAGACGCACCTTGGCCGATTTGTCGGAGCAGGCGGTGATGAAGTATGTCCTGTCAGCGGAGAACTGAAGATCAGTGATCTTGCAGTCGAGCTCGTGTGCCTGAACGTTTTCTAGCTGGTCGCCGGTCTGTACACCCCGTTAGATACTTGTAAGTCTCAAAATTATAAGACTAATCGAGTGAGTGATTTTTACCTTTGCGTCGTACTGACTGATGCTTCCGTCCTCGTGTCCAGCAATAATGTATTTCGCCAGGTAACTCCAGCCAGCAACGGTGGCCTTGCTCTCCTCGCAAGTGATTTTCAAGATGGGTTCGTCGGCCTGCTCGTGGAGGTTGTTCCCCTCACCGTCTCCATATGCAATATCGAAAACAACGATGGTGCCCAGGTAGCCCATTCGCTTCTCTGTAACCGCCAACAGCTTCGATCCATCGGCAGAGAACTCGACCCGCTTCACGGCCGTAGGGAAGTCCCATGTCTTAACGCACTCGCCGGTCTTGATGTTCCATAGCTTGACTGTGTTATCTGCCGCTCCCGAGGCGAGCAGTACGGTGTTGGGGCTTGGGTCAATGGTCCATAGCGCACCCTGATGGCCAGAGTAGGTGCCTAGTCGCTCGCCGTTCGCATAGTACCAGACACAAATGTTCTTATCCTTGGCTACCGAGAAAAGAAGATCGCCGTCCCGTGAGAACTTGATCTGGGTCAAGGATCGTTCCTAGAGGCGCTGGGTTAGCTGCCACTGCGAATCTTGAATTTGCGTGGGGGGTGACGCTAAGAGAGGTGGACGAGATAAAAGGGACACGAACATGACCCTGGAGAAGGATTGGTCTCATTCTGTGTGAAGTATTTAATACGACCGTAGATATGTATGCAGCGAATCCGTCTTCGTGGCTCCGTGTACGGTTCTGGCCTTGTTAAATTTGGACTTGCGCTTCGTCTTCGCCTGCGACTTTTCTGACTCTTGATATTTTTGTTCGCCCACACAGAACTTTTACATCATGGCTGACTAATACGGACTTTTGTTATTCCCCTAAACTGGTCCGTGCACGCAGGGCGGCATAATTACCTAATGCTCTGAAAAGACGAAACCGCAGGCAGGAGAGAAAAGGCGAATTTTTTGGCTGTGAGACAGACAGAAGTCGGGGATTCTGCGCAATGGTCCTTCGTTTGTACGGCGCGAGTGTCGCTTTACCAATATTTCTGTCGACTACTAGACCAAGTCATCGTCGACAACTGAATTCCAGATCATTCACAGGTGACTCTGCAGTATGAACTCGTCTTAGAGTACTTTGCCCCATACCGTCAGACAAAAAAAAAAAAAAAAAAAAAGAAACCAGCAAAGGGGGGTATATGTATACGTATATATACGTATAATAAAACATTACGAGGCATATGGGCCATGGAGGAACAGAGGGGGGTAATAGGTATCTTTGTGCCTCCATTTCCCTTGATTTTATCCCCGCATCTCCGCTAATAAATACTCGTGGGTAAAAGCATCCCATACCACACAGGTGCCAATACCAAACATTACAAGAAACTTTCGGCCTCGCCCCGCGTTTTATAAGCCCTATCTCTCTCTGATATCGTAGCGTTTTAATTCTGGAGATGAATGGTGCTGTTGCCATTACTGATTCACAAGGTAGTATACAAATGACTTCAAAATGTCGGCTGTATGCTAGTAACTAGCCTCGGCAAGGTTCTGACTCGTGTTATATTGGTGTACGAAGATATATTACCAATTAATATATTGATGCATATCGGGAACAGCCAAGAGGCTCCTCAGTTTGATAGCTACCTTGATCGTCTCGCTTAATTAGATTCCTTTCTGCTGACTATACTTCACTTACTTGAAGTTACTTCACTTCAAGAAGAAATTAAACAAAGCAACGTCAAGTTTTTGGCATGAATATCAATTAATATTCAAGTTCCACTGAGCCGGATGATAAGCATTACCTTTTGCAGTGACATGGCATCCAGGCAGCACCTTAAAAGTCCTTATCTAGCAGTTACCCATGAACTTTATTTAACGGATCCAATATTATGGAGTACTACATATGAATGTTATTTATAAGTTAGTGGTTGACATATTAATAAAACCTAACAATGAAATCTCTGTACCGATAAAAACTCTCTAGACGCGTAAGATGACTAATTGCAGATAGTTCTTGCACTAAAACTTTAACTGGATGCGGACCGCCCCGTAAACCTTAAAATATAAGTTCAATAAAATTTCAAATTGGCCTAAATGCCGAGTTTAACTGACTGAACCTAGCGGCGTAAAGTCCGTTAAGCGAAGATATTCTAATAATAGATCATTGGAAAACCTTACTAGCGCTAATTAAAATATAAGTGTGATGCCAACCCTCGGTTAAGGTGGACAAGGGGGAATAATTCAAGTTTCTCGATGATGGTTCTCGTAGAATGAGGATGGGGAAAGCAGGAGGAGAAACAAGGAGAATAGTCTTAATCCATCAAATGATGGCTGAGAAATGTGAGCCACTTAATGCCTAAGAGAGGCGTAAAGCGTCATACGGGTCGAGATAGGAAGATGGAGTTTGTATCTGACAGGTTTTAACACTTGGAAATAATGAGGCATATAGAAAAGACCTATACATTACTTCAGGTAGTAACGCAACCACCATTCTGCATACCTTTTCCGCTAGATATTGTGATTCCAGAAATATACAAGGCTTGCCTGGTTGCTTTTCATAGAGCAGGCCCACAGAATAAACTAGCCAGCCAGGGCGGACAACTAGAAATAAAAAGAGGGAGATGAGAAATGTCTGAGCTCTGTATACATTCTTTGTAGTTGATAAAGCTTCAGGAACATTCAGTATGACTTAATTCCTCTTCGATGAGGTCTCCAAGAAAATTAATCCCTTCTACTTCGCGGTATATATACTCCCATATGAGTAGTGATTGAATCAATCAAGTAACTGAAGGTAGTTTCTATAATCTTGAAGGTCCGTAACTCTGTACCATTGCATTGTGCTACCATGGAAAGGGTATGTCAGCTTAGGTTATGTCCATGCTGTGTCTCCACAATTAGACTCGGGGTTGTCAAAGAGGCTAGATATTGCTGTATAGAGGGGTGCACTCAAGTAATACAGGTGCATTGTGTTGATCTAATTCTTTTGGGTATACATGAGCCAAGAATTCTGCAACTGCAATAACCGCCAAGGGGATAGTTATCACTCTGAGGGCAAAGTCAAAGCTTTCATTTTGTGTCTTTTCTGGTCTTAGTCCTGTAACGAATGATGTTGACGTGGATATAACCGATACTCGACAGATATACAGGGGTAAAAGAAGAAAGGATGGTATATAATAGCAGGAATATGAAGGGGCCTTCCCCTAGTGTGGCGATAGCAGACGAGGACAGCTCGGTTGCTGCGGGAGATGTGGAGTAGCCAGAGACGATCATTGACTTGCCGAAGCAATAACTGATTGCCTTTCCATAAAACAAGATAGTCATGACTTCTAGCTGGCGATAAGGACCGGCTACCTTGATAAGTGTGCCTTTATTGTATGATAAGCCCGGGCAGCTGCTGGTGGTTGAGTAGCTAACTTAGCTGTAGGGCGTTAGCTGGTTAACTAGTTAATTAACTACCTTCTGAGATGCATGCAGCCTGTCGGTCAATCAGCGTGGCTGCCACCAGGCGCAGCGCCGTCAAGGACTGTGCACTCTTGCAAGCAGAAGTAGACAGTGCATCATCTAATCTCAGCATCTTGATCTGTGCACCGAGTAACACACTATCTAATCTACATCTACCCGTAGTTTGAGCCTCAGGGGCGGGCTTTATCTTATCAGTCAGAATTTTCACCTCAACGACGGCGAGACAAAGAGGCGCGCCATCATGAAGCCCAGAAGAGCCGACCGAAGAGAATAACCCAGCGCTGACGACGACGAAGAGCCTAAAAGATGCCAGCAGCGGCATGCCTCGTCCAGTCCTCCCGCCCGCTTCTTCGCTGCTGTGCCGGCGGCCTCTCCTGCGCCTGACTGCTGCTGCTGCCGCAGCCTCCCTGTCGCCGGCCCCGCCCGTCCTCGCCCTCTCCAACTACTTCAGCTCGTCTCCCCGCGCCGCCTCGTCGCTCCCGCTTCCTCTTCCTCTCGCTCCTCCGCCCTCGCTCTCGTCTTCCGCACCGCCATCGCCAGACCAAGCACCCTTCGCCCGACAGTCGACCACCGCCGCAGCCATGGGAGCCTCCAAGATAGACGGCACTGCCATCGCAAAGGCCATCAGAGAACGCCTCAACGGCGAAATCAAGGAGACCCAGAAGACGAACCCGCGCTTCAAGCCCTCCCTTGTCATCTACCAAGGTGAGCCCTTCTCCTGCGGATAATTACTGAGTGCACAAGTATACTGACTGCAATGGAACAGTGGGCGACAGGTCGGATTCTAGTATGTCTATTCTGATAACCGCCACATCGACGTGACTTGCTGACCGGACAGGTACCTATGTTCGCATGAAGCTCAAGGCTGCCGAGGAAGTATGCTCTTTCATCCGCACATCTATCTACTCTCTATTGCGTACGCCTTCATACTGATACAGTAGTCCAGGCATCCATTATCTGCACACACGTCCAATTGCCAGTGGACACCCCTCAGTCTGATATCCTCGCCCGTATCACATCTGACAACAATGACCCCTCCGTCCATGGCATCCTGGTTCAGCTACCTCTGCCAGACCACATGTCCGAGCATGCTGTTACCTCTGCTGTCGCTCCTGAGAAGGATGTGGACGGTTTTGGTACCTTGAGCATCGGCGAGCTGGCCAAACGTGGGGGGAAGCCAACCTTCATCCCATGCACGCCGCAAGGTGTCATGGAGCTGCTATACGCTAGCGGGGTCGAGATTACTGGCAAGCACGCTGTTGTTCTTGGGCGTAGTGATATTGTTGGCAGTCCTGTCAGCTATCTGCTCAAGAACGCTGATGCAACGGTCACTACATGCCATTCCAGGACGAAGAACGTCGAAGAGATCATCAAGACGGCAGACATTCTGGTCGCGGCCATTGGGAAGCCAGAGTTCGTCAAGGCTGACTGGCTCAAGCCTGGCGTGGTGGTTATTGATGTTGGGACAAACTACATACCTGATGACACCAAGAAGTCTGGCCAGCGACTGGTTGGTGATGTCGACTATGCAGCCGCCGTTGAAGTGGCATCACAGATTACTCCCGTTCCCGGCGGTGTAGGTCCAATGACAGTAGCCATGTTACTGCAGAATGTTGTCAAGTCTGCGCGCTTCTACTTTGACAAGGAGCGCAGCCGCACCATAAACCCCCTATCCATTACCCCCAAGTCACCCGTACCCTCTGATATCGCCATCTCTCGGTCCCAGAAGCCAAAGCCAATCACCCAGATTGCCTCGGAAGTAGGCATCGCACCTCATGAACTCGAACCTTATGGCCATACCAAGGCCAAGGTCAGTCTCGACGCCCTCTCCCGCTTGGGGCATCGTCGAAATGGTCGATACATCCTCGTCTGCGGTATTACACCCACTCCCCTCGGAGAGGGCAAGTCTACCACTACTATGGGCCTCACCCAGGCTCTTGGAGCCCACTTGAACCGCGTGGTGTTTGCCAATGTTCGCCAGCCTAGTCAAGGCCCAACGTTTGGTATCAAGGGAGGTGCCGCAGGTGGTGGATACAGCCAGGTTATCCCTATGGATGAATTCAACCTGCACTTAACAGGAGATATACATGCCATCACTGCTGCGAACAACCTGTTGGCCGCCGCCCTGGAGACCCGTATGTTCCACGAAGCTACCTCACCCGACGCCGGCCTGTACAAGCGTCTTGTTCCCACAAAGAAGGGCAAGCGTGAGTTCCAGCCGATTATGTTCCGTCGGTTGAAGAAATTGGGCATCACAAAGACTGACCCCAACGAACTTACTCCCGAGGAGATCAAGAGATTTGCCAGACTGGACATTGATCCAGAAACCATTACCTGGCGCCGTGTCCTAGATGTCAATGACCGTCATCTACGTACCATCACCGTCGGCCAGGCTGCTACCGAGAAGGGCCATACCAGACAGACCGGCTTTGATATCTCCGTGGCCTCGGAATGTATGGCCATTCTCGCTCTCAGCAACGACCTGGCTGACATGCGTGAGCGACTGGGCCGCATGGTCGTTGCATCATCCCGCTCCGGTGAGCCAGTTACTTGTGACGACATTGGTGCTGGAGGCGCCTTGACCGCCCTCATGAAGGACGCAATCAAGCCAAATTTGATGCAGTCTCTCGAGGGTACTCCTGTATTCGTGCATGCCGGCCCCTTTGCCAACATTAGCATCGGTGCCAACTCGGTGGTGGCCGACAAGCTGGCCCTCAAGCTGGCCGGTACCGAACCAGATGAAGACCACGACTCCTCCACTGGCTTTGTAGTGACCGAGGCCGGCTTCGACTTCACCATGGGTGGCGAGAGATTCTTTAACATCAAATGCCGCTCTTCGGGCCTTGTGCCAGACACAGTCGTCATTGTTGCTACTGTCCGAGCACTAAAGGTCCACGGCGGTGGACCGGATATTACCCCTGGTGCTGCTCTGCCAGAAGCCTACAGACAGGAAGACACGGAGCTGCTACGAAAGGGCTGTGTGAACCTGCGCAAGCACATCAGCAATGCCAAACGCTACGGAGTGCCTGTGGTGGTAGCCATTAACGTCTTCGAGACAGACACCGCTGCCGAACATGCCGTTATCCGTGAGGAGGCAATTGCAGCTGGTGCCGAGGATGCAGTGCCAGCTAACCACTGGGCCATGGGCGGCAAGGGAGCCGTTGACCTGGCAGAAGCGGTGATCAAGGCATCCTCTCAGCCCAAGAACTTCTCTTTCTTGTACGGACTGGAGGGAAGCGTGCAAGAACGCATCACCACCATCGGTCGGGAGATGTACGGCGCCAGCGCGGTCGAGTTCAGTGAGCTTGCTGCACGCAAAGTTGAGACGTATGAGAAGCAGGGCTACGGCAATCTACCTATCTGCATTGCCAAAACTCAGTACTCTCTCAGCCATGACCCAGCTCTTAAGGGAGCCCCAGAAGGCTTTGTGATTCCTATCCGGGATGTCAGGCTTGCTGTCGGTGCTGGATACTTGTAAGCTCACCTTCCATTCCTATCAGGTTTTTTTTTTTTTTTTTTTTTTTTTTCATAGCTAATTGGAACACATAGATACGCCCTTGCAGCGGACATCCAGACAATTCCCGGACTTCCTACTGCACCAGGCTACCTGAACGTTGATGTTGACGCCGAGACAGGTGAGATTGATGGACTCTTCTAGATGGTGAACTAGTAGAGGAAAGAAAGAGAGGGCTACTTCAACGTGTCTTCATCTCGATAGAAGTAAAGAAGTAAATACGGCTTCATTTAGCATAGATATATGAAGGTCTCCCCTATAACTCCTCGGCAGTACTATACAAATTCATATATTCGTTTACTGTTCAAAATTTTCAAAACTCCAAACTGCCATGTCTCAAACTGACAAGAATAATGGTGACGAAGTTCTACACATAGTAAATCAGGTAGGATTACGTTATACCTTCAGCAAAAGACGTTGAAGTGAAAAGGGAAAAGAAAAGATTGTTTATCTGGATATACTTCTGGAAGCATTGCTCTTTTGGGAAACTATCTTTACAGTATATCTATCTAGGTACGGTATTACGGTCATTGGCACTGGTATATGTCCAGCTGATTTGAAAAGGGAAAGGAGATACAGGAACCACTAGATATTCTGTCAATATTGATCTTCACTGCGTAGTACAAGGATTTGACATCGAAGGGTTGTTCAGGATTGAGTCATCATGGTGGTAGTAGGTACATGTGCAGGTAGAGTCGTTGGTCATTGGTACTATTTGACCTGGCTGATGGCGTTTTCTTATTATTACTCATAGCCTTTTATGGTAGTCTATGCGTAGTTGTTGGTAAAATACTATCTAATAATTAACAAGCTGCTAGCATTGAAAACGGGTAGGACCAGGAAAGAAGATCGCTGTTTAGTAAAACGTTGGATATTTCCATTAGGAAACCTGCAGGAGCCCAGCACAAAAAGTGTCGTCTTGCCCGGTAACCTCCCTGGAAAAGAGGCCGTCGCAGCTTTCTCTTTGCAGGATATACCTGGGGTCCTATAATATGTTTTGTGCTGAAATACATAGACTCTGGGATTGACTGGATGAGGCGGCAGTAAACTTTCGCCGCGGCTCCACACTTAAGGTATTAGTTAACAAGGCGGGGTGTTGACCCACCCGTGCCGCATAAAGACTTCATAAAAATATGAAGATTATGTATGTGTAGGGGTACGCAGCAAGATGAACAAGGGAAGGAGTAATATGAAAAATTACATCAAATTTATGCATATAGGTGTGGAACTAGATAGCATACCGAGAGGTATTTCTCTCAATCTAGCCAATTAGCACGCTCTCGGGGAATTCCATACTCTTCTATGGTTACAGTTTCTCTATATTCTAACTCTAATATCTGCGGTTCAATTGTGTTTTTTAAACTGCCTGCTTTACGCTTTATTTACCATTGTTATTTAATCCTATTATTTTTATCAAGTTCTTATCTAGCTAGTTATATATTTTATCTTCTAGCAATATCACCAATGCAGCTCTCCAGGATAGCAAGTGAGTGTTGAAATGCACCCTCACACAAGCATGACACAGTGTGACAAGCCTGAAGCTATATCAACATACCTTCCAGCTTCTGAGTACCCCTTCTGGCTCTAAATTATATCTGGCTCTTATAGCCGTCAGTCTTGGGGTATTTTTAACAACCCTGATATTTCGAAATTGCATCCCCTTTCCCTCATGTCATACAAGAATGTAGCCGCTCACTCGAATATCTCTTCCCAGGACAGTATCATTGTTGCCACAGCCATACCGCATATTATGGATGAATTCCACTCCCTCAAGGACGTTGGATGGTATAGCAGTATCTACTTGATGACTGAGCAGCTTTCTCGCTTGTCCCTATACTCGGTCCACATCTAAGCGCCTTATTATCCTTACCTTGGTCACAATTGCCCGCGCGCTTGCTTCTACTGCTAGCCCCGTATTAGGCGGGGCACTCACCCAGCACGTAACCTGGCATTGGACATTTTATATAGACTTGCCGTTTGGTGCCGTCATTTGGATTACCTTCCTTCTCTCCGTCACGCCGCCTAAACACGAAAGATGAGTCCACGTTCTCTGACTTTCTGTTTGGCCTGACAGCCTTAGCACCTTCTGTTACTTGCCTCCTCTTAGCCCTATAATGCGGTGGCACTACCTACCCCTGGAGTGACCCTCACATGATTGCACTGCTGGTCATCTTTGGTGTCTTCGGGCTTGCATTCATTGACATCGAGATCTGGCAAGGGGGGATGCGTTGCTATCCTCCCGAATGCAATTTCACCCAGCGACCGGTTTCGTATGGTTCATTTTACAGATTCTGCACGAGTAGAGCTATCTTCGTGCTCACCTTCTACCTCCCTGGGTAATACACTCCTTTGAAATAGCTCCAGCTTTCGACCTTTGGCACTCTACTGATTGTGAGATTGCAGGTGGTTCCAAGGAGTTAAGGGTACTAGCCCATTCACATCAGCAGTGCAGACCCTTCCGTGGCTCATTACAAGTGCTCTTACCATGCTTGTTGGTGAGCAGTCATTGCTAAGCTGGGCACCCTGAAATTTGGATGCTCGTCGGATCCGCCTTTGGTGCCGTTGGTTCCGGCCTCTTCACCACATTTAAGCCCGACACATGCACAGGCCAGTGGGTTGGCTATCAGATTATATTTGCAATCGGGTCAGCCTTGTTCAGTGTAACCCTCATTATGGTCGTACAGGCTGCGATCACACCGAAGGATGTTCCAATCGGCTGTAGCATGTCCATGTTTGTGCAGGCGATGGGCAGGTAAGTTTTCTTTCGGTTTCTACCTCCTGACACCAAGATGGCAGTTCTGGGCGCTATCAAAGATTCCCTAGTAGACTCATGGCGTCTGCCGATAGTCTAGAGAATTTCTGTTGTTGGCGCCATGCCGATGCGATACCGCGGGTCCAAGTCAAAAGGACACGGCTCAGGATAACCTTGAACGCAAGTATGTGCCCCACATATGGCACCCAAGCTCTAGAGCTGTGGAATTACTGCTTCTTAGCTGCCTTTGTGTTTGAGTCTGGGTTCCCTTTTCGGACAACAAGTCAACCGCTTCCCGCTAATCTGTGGTAGGGCGATACGGTGTTAACATACAATAGAATATTCGGACCTGAGACGAGGATAGAGCGTTGAACTCAACTGAGGTGCTTGGGTAATATTATTGTTTATACAAGGTGTATCATTCTGTCAAGGAGGGGTATCAATAATAGTACTTGTATTGAAACTGCCTGTGCCCGTCAACACATCCTCTTTTTTTTGATGTCGTCAAAGCAGTCAAACCTTATCCCGCGAGAGACAATGACTAAGCTGGCTAGACCCCTCGCTGACAAAGTCCTGCTGAGTAATCCTCCGCCTGGAGTAGCCGGCGCTACCTTTTCGGCCCTTGCGTCTCCCTTGTCTTCCTGCCCTTGCCCTTGCTCCTGCATATAGATCCTTACTCAGGAGTGACCAGTGCCTGATGCTGGAGCTCCCCCTCTCGGAGCCTGGCCGAGTTGACTGTCGTATGTATGTAGTTCGTCGCATCCATGAACTCCAGGAGAATTCCCGCAGAGAGACTGCCTCCGTAGTAGTCAAAAAGGCCAACGCACGACGAAGAGGGACAACAGAGAGGAATAACTGACTAAGCAGCCAGAAGAGCCGAGAGCCGGACGGGCGGAGAAAGATGCTCCGTCGCCCCCGCGGAGGGGTAGCTTAGTCATCATAGAGTTTCCCGGCGAGGCGGAAAGCCGACGGAGCAAGATGCGCCGCGGCTACTTGGGGCACGCAGGTCGAAGCAGCGAGTTGGCCTACATAACAGTCGTAGAGAAGCTGCTGTGTTGATATTTAGTGCTAAGACACATACCTAGGAGATAACTGGAACACGTCCATTACATCCCAGAGCCAGGTGTGCCTGCGGAGAGACAGACAGGTAGAGCCGGACTTTGAAGGAGACGCCCCACGAAACAGCCGGTGCAGCGAGCCAGGGGGGGAGCTCCAGAAGCCTAGTTGGTTACTTTGCCTTGCATGGGCAGTCGGCCGACTTTGCGGGCGTTCGTCTTGATCTCGAAATTGCCGAAAGCCCCAGAACGGGATATCTCCTCTTCGTTGTCAATGTATACAATTTACTGCTACTCTTGATATCCGGGCACTCCTCCGCCTTGATCAATATATAACAACATCTAGGGCTTTGCTATCTCCGGACCAACCAAAATCGCGGCATTAAAGCTCAACCCGCCGGATATACACACACAGACAGACCAAACTCCACTCAAGATTTTTCCTACCTTTCCGCATACCGACATCCCATCACCACCCCCAACCACTTCTAGCGCCTTATCCACCGGAGGATCTGACAGGGCAAAGCTAGTTAACTGGCTAGCTGCGAGAGAAGACGCTGAAACTTGCACATCTCCCCACCACCAAGCATATTCGCCGTTCTTTGCATCCGCCGCACCACCAACGCCGGAGACCACGAAGGAATAGGGGAAAAAAAAAAAAAAAAAAAAAAAAAAAAGAAAGGAACCAGAAACGAAGCTGTACTCCGTATAAGAAAAATCCAGCCAAAAAATATAACTAATAGAAGTGTGTTAACATGGCTGCTGTTCGGCTTACTTCCGGCCATTTCCGCCAGGGTTGCTGCTGGGTTATCCGCTCCCGCTGCCAGCCCACCTGCGCCTCCGCCTCTTCGTCCTCTGTATTAAACACGGGGAGTCGCTCTTTCTCGACGGTCGTGGGAAGGCCTGCATCTATATCTGCGTCTTTGTCTTCTCTGTCTTCGTTGTCTTCGTCTGCATACGTGCGTCCTGCGCTGCCGAACGCTCTTGCTCACCAGTCTCTTGTCCACGGAAGAAACCCCTACACACGCAACATGTCGGCTGCCAGGCGGAAGATCGTGGTCAAGAACCCGATCGTCGAGCTCGATGGTGATGAAGTATGTCTTATCTTACCTTTTTTTTTTTTTTTTTTTTTTTTTTTTTTTTTTTTTTTTTTTTTTTTTGGCAGACAATGGCTGACCGTTGAGTAGATGACCCGAATCATCTGGCAGGATATTAAGGACAAGGTATGTTGTTCATGTCCCCGTACATAAACATATTTTTCATAGATCCCTGTGCTAACAGTTCATAGTTCATTACACCGTTAGTATTTTCGAGATAGTTCGAGGGGAGGTACCATTGGCTAATATATAGGCAGATACCTTGAAGTTGACCTCAAGTACTATGACCTCGTAGGTTTAGCAAATAGGCTCCAGTGACTGCTGGAGAAACAATTGGCTGACATTGGTATAGGGCCTTGAGTATCGTGATCAGACAGACGACCAAGTCACTGTTGATGCCGCAGAGGCCATTAAGAAGTATGGCGTTGGCGTCAAGTGTGCCACCATCACCCCTGACGAGGCTAGAGTGGAGGAGTTCAAGCTGAAGAAGAGCAAGTCTACCACTCCGGGCTATATATTCTATCCCGTCTTGCTAACACCCTACCTCAGTGTGGCTATCTCCCAATGGAACCATCAGAAACATCCTGTAAGGCACTACCATTAAGCAGCAGAAGCGCGTAGGGAGATTGCTAACACACTGCAGAGGAGGAACTGTCTTCCGTGAACCCATTGTCATCCCTCGCATTCCTAAGCTCGTCCCCGGCTGGAAGAAACCGATCATAATCGGCCGTCACGCTTTCGGTGATCAGTACCGGGCCACAGACCGCCTCATCCCCGGTCCTGGCACCCTCGAGCTCGTTTACACACCCGCCGGCGGAGAGCCAGAGCGCATCCAGGTATATGACTTCAAGGGCCCCGGTATTGCACAAACACAGTACAACCTCGATGAATCCATTCGAGGATTCGCACATGCCAGTTTCAAGCTGGCTAGCCTTAAGAGCCTGCCCATGTACATGAGCACCAAGAACACTATCCTGAAGAAGTACGATGGCCGTTTCAAGGACATCTTCCAGGAGATCTACGATAAGGAGTACAAGGCCGACTTCGAGGCCAAGGGTATCTGGTATGAGCACCGTCTCATTGACGACATGGTTGCTCAGATGATCAAGTCTGAGGGAGGCTATGTCATAGCCATGAAGAGTAAGCTTGATCTCGTTCCCTTTGGTTTCAGCATGAGGTGATGGGTATAAGAGCAGGTATGTGGTGGTATATGGTGTTAACTTGACTAGACTACGACGGTGACGTCCAATCCGATATCGTTGCCCAAGGTTTCGGCTCTCTCGGACTCATGACCTCTACCCTGACCACCCCTGACGGTGATGCCTTCGAGTCTGAAGCTGCCCATGGCACTGTCACCCGCCACTATCGCGAACACCAGAAGGGTCGCGAAACCTCTACCAACCCCATCGCATCTATCTTCGCCTGGACCCGAGGCCTGGTTCGTCGCGGCCAGCTCGACGAGACTCCAGAGGTTGTTAACTTTGCTGAGCAGCTTGAGCGTGCTTGCGTTGAAGTCGTTGATATTGAAGGCATCATGACCAAGGATTTGGCCTTGGCATGCGGAAAGAAGGATAGAGAAAGCTGGGTTACCACCAAGGAGTACCTTGCTGCTGTCGAGAGACGGCTGCAGAAGAATTTGGGTGAGGAGACTAAGCTGTAGAAGTAGTTACGTAGTTTGTTAGATCTGGATAGATGGAATATATTACCAAAATCCTATTCTATTTCTTCACCGATTTGCCGGATTTCACAAGAGTTAACAATATTAACGACCATACGAGCACGATTTATTCCTCTATAACCGAAGCGATATGTATTCATTTCGTCAAATAAAAAAAAAACAAAAAAAAAAAAAAAGGCAGGACGAGCAATATGTCACGTGTGATGTTGTTTCTTTTCCTTTTCCACCAGAAAAATAACGCCAGCTAATTTGACCAGCAGGGAACGAAAGGTATAAAGGGGGGAAACAAAGGCAGTCATGAAGAAGCAGAGGCAGAGGCTAAGGAAAAGAGTAAACCGAAAAAATGAGTTGGTTTACTTCTTCTTCTTAGGGAACTTCTCCTGCCCAATCCCCGATCCACGCAATTTAACATTCAACACCCTCTCCATCGCGGCCAAAACTTTCTGGTCTGGAGCGGCAGTTCCACGCTCAAAGTCCTGGATGACCGAAACGGTAGTGTTGCACTTTGTAGCAAGTTCCTTCTGACTGAGCTTGATGCCTTCTTCGTTTCGGCGGCGCTTAATCGCATCTCCAACCTCGTGGCCAACTGTCTTGGGCTTCACGATTTCATCTGATCGATCGACCTTTGTCAAATGCTGACCTTCTACGGCTGGACGGCTAGCCTAAAGCGGGTGTTAGCTACATTTTTCCTTAAGAAAGATTTTTTCTATTCCTGCCTGTTGTCTGGCTAAGGGGGATGATGGAACGTACAGAGTTGCCAGTGGCGTACTTCTTCTCAGTGCCAACGATCATGCCAGAGCGTGCGGCGGCGTTAAGAGCAGAACGGCCCTTGACGACGGTCTCACGGGGCGCAGAGCCACCACGAGCGGCCTTGCCAATGATAGTGACGGAATCCCAGTCAGACATGTTGATGGACGTTTCTTATCGATAGTTATCCGTTGGGCTGATGCGGGGGAAGGCTGGTTTTGTTGATGAGGTACGCTCGAGAAATGAGTATCGCTAAATGCAACGCTTTTTTGAGAAAAGAGAGTAGTGGCTATTATGCGAAACCCAGGAGGGAAGAGTCGTATATAAGGACGAGCAGGAAAAGACGGTGATGCGGATGAGGATGAAGATTGAAGCCTGACAAGTGCCTGCGAGGGCTTAAAATATGACGAACGGCGAAAAGAATGTTCGAGAGTCCGATGGCGCTAAAGTCCGAAAGGAGTTTAAGACGCTGACTCAGCCATGCAGCACAGTTTTCACCGCCTCCCGATCCGGATGCCGGTACTGAGTCATCAGATTACTAAGCGTGACGCTTGTTACCGTCGTACGATAGAGATGGAATTCAAGGATGATAGTGATTAAACAGGGCGAAAGTACTTATAGCTACTCTGGGGTACTGGGTATATAACGGTCCAACCATTCTTCTCACAGCTTGTCTGACTTCCAGCCATGTTTCACGTACCGTGCAGCTATGAACAAAGCGGTAGCTAGGGTTAGTGAGATCCCAGCAAAGAGCTGAGCATATAAATATGACCCCTTTCCTAGTGTGACCAAACGACCTCCTATCGGGGCTCCTGTCAACGTCGCAAGAGCTATCAGTATAAATACCAATCCCACTCGTGAGGGAGAGTTGTTGCGGCTGTTCCCCATGAAACTAAAGACAGTTGGCAGGTAGAGACTCTGAATGGCTGCGGCAGCAAAACCATAGAAACATCCAGTCAGGTAGATGCTCGTTACCGAGTCAACGCCTATCCATGAAAATATGAAGGTCGCTGATACGAAGGCAAAGGGGATCACGGTGTTCAGAGGCCCGAGGCAGGCATCGCTTATTATACCAGGTATCAGACGGCCCAGCATATTGCAAGTGTTCATAGCTATGAGTAGGTTAAGTGACATCTGTGAGGTCATATTTAGGACATCTTGTCCAAATAACGATATCTAGATTCATTAGCACCGCATAGCTTAACATAACCTAAGGCTCGGAAGCAAACTTACAAAGTAGAAGCCAAAGTACACTCCCCAGAAGGAGAAAAACATTCCTATAAGCATGTTAGTTACCCGCGAAATATGGTAAAAGATCAACCACTACATACCGGCTGCCATCAATAAGTAAGAAACGTCCTTGAACATCGTCCAATCCATGGTGCTGCTAGAACTCCTTGGTACTCCGGGACGTTCTCGAATTATAATTAAAGGAAAGATCATGGTGATTATATTCACCAGTAATATAACTATAACTAGTCAGACCCACGGTTTGTTCATTTATAACCCCTTTTATTACTTACTCCGAAGAGTCCATCCGAAGCCAACCTTATGGATGGAATAATTAAATATAAGCGGATGTATCACGCCGCCTATGAAGCGTCATTAGCATAGGATCAAGGACCGATGAAGGCTTCGACTGACCAAAACTAGATCCTACAGCCGCCAGGGCTGTAGCAACCCCTAGGTTAGTAGAAAAATAGGTCGTGGTCACCGTGACTGCCGAAGTAAAAACAAGGCCCATAGAGCAACCCATGAGCACACCTTGCACCAGAAAGAACTGCCACCATTCTTTGCAGAAACCAGTTAGCAGGATCGTTACCATGAGACTGACAGCGCCGCCGCGGAAACAAAGCTTAAAGTAGCCCTTGCTGGTCAGGAGACCAACCAGAAGGAAGAGCCCGAAGTTAGCGAATATCTGAAATGATCCTATCCAGGCGATCTTGGATGGACTTGAAGTTCGCAGCAGGACTTTGGAATAGTAAGCTTGGAAAACACCAAATGCCTATCTCGATAGTTGAATTTAGTAAAGAGCTAGCCACGGCTAAATCAAGAGTGAAAAGGGTACGCTTATGAGATAGTTTACCATATTTAAGCCTCTGGTATTCATAAATGTAGATGTTAGTATGACGCAATTTTTGGGAGTGACCGTTTAGGCTGAACTTACAAGGTGTTGAAAGTGATGAAAAACCCCGAAGCAGCATGAGCCCATGCCATGAAACCACCATCTGGTGGCTCTGAACAGAATTCGCCTTGCTCCTCAGGAAAAGACGGGAACCTATCTCCCTTGCTTCGTTCAGCTACCCGGCGGATTTCCTTCAGTTGTCCATAGGACATTGGTTGATAGTGTGATATTCCGGGAAGATCAGCTGGAGTGATCGAGATCACAGAGTCAGGTCGAGGGCCTGGTCTCGTTCTAGGCACAGTAAGTCTAGAGGCAGGTCTTTGAACTTGCTCGTTGGCGTATCTCATGGAATACAGAGAACTTGGATCTCGGCCCCAGGGGCTGGGGGAATGAGAGGATGAAGCCACAGGTGAGCCGGCGGGCGACCTGGGCCGATTTATGATACCAGGGCAGTTTATATTTAACCCTTGTGGTTCTGTTGCTTGTAGCTGCTGTGGTAATGGGCGGGAAAAGTTCAAGGCGCTCCGCCTAGCAGCATTATTGCTATAACAGCCGTTCGTGAGGCTAGGCGGATTGCTACCATTATGCTGAAAGTCCATCGTCGTCCAGTGCGAGGAGACGTGTGTAGGTGTTTTTGGGTCCAAATAGGGATATACAGCCAAAGCTTCAGTCAAGGACTCGTAGTGGCAGACAGCCCAGCTTTGTCCTTCAGATAGACAAGAGACAAGATCTGCAAAAGAGTCAGGACAATGAGTTCCAGCTATATAGGGTATGAGGATAAATTCTGTTCACTTGGGGGGAATCCAGATTTCTACTTAGATATTCACATATCTTTCTCATCATCACTAGGCTGGGACTGCTAGTAACAAAGACAGTGCATTGTGGGGAGACATACAAGTGACTTCCTGTCCAAATGGGGACTATTAACAAACTCCAGCTTGCATATGGCATGGTAAATACCATCCTTCAAGTACTCCATAAGAGCATTTAACTTCACCAACAGACTGTGCCACAAATATTAGTGAAAAAAAAAAAAAAAAAGTGAATTATCCGTCTAATGGATAAAATAAAGGGGGGTGAGTTCACTCTCCTTGAATACCATCTACCACCAGCTATAAACAAATTTAGCAGGCCATCACAACTCTACCAATGATAGAAACATATACATCTTGATCCTTAAGACCAACCTTTGTTTGCAACAAAATCCTCAGCAAGTAAGGGGTAGTAGTATATGGAGGGTCATAGGCATTGTATGACAGGTTGGCCATCTCTTTGTGTCGAAAACTGGGAGTTTCCGCAGAGAACCGATCCTAAGTAGGTATCAACGCCTCCTCGCGCTTGTTCCTGGCTCGGCCCTCGCCCGGGACAGAGCGACAGTTAATTAACCAGTTAGTCTCCTCTCTCTCGAGGATGCAAGGTTGGTATAGTTATACCGCCCGGGCGAGAAGAGGTCGTGTGAGAGTGGCAACCCTGGGAGCGGTTACACTAACCAACATGGCCCATGCATGTTCCTGCATTAACGGCGGTCTTATCTGCCACCACAACCGCCTCTAAAAGACTGTCACTCCCAGCCGTGGTGTGAGGTAACCACCAGCAGCCATATCTGTCAACAACAGAATTGAAATCGGCCCACCGAACTTGTCAGGTTCCCGTAGCGGGGAAGAAACACGAGAAGTGGAGAGTGGACAGAGTTGATCGGGTCAACAAGCCGCCAATGCATCCTCCTTGTGTCTGGGCTATGCACGCTTGTAACTCGAGCGCACAAAGGAAGTCTCAGAGGCGAGCAAGTCGGCCTCCGCTTTGCATCGAACCAGCGTCTATCAAACGAAGATCCAGCGACGCAACGCAGCACTTCCCGTTCGTATAACTAACTAGTTCGTTACAGCGAAAACTGGCTGGCATCTCTGCCTGCTGCTCTGCTCTGAGGAATATGGCGGCCTGCTGTAACCGTGGGCGATCGCCGGGCTCAAGAGCGTCGTCGCGAAGTTGTCTCTCATGGAAGGTCGGGTCCTTGGCCTGGTCACCGGCTCCGCTTCTCCGTACTAGCCTTCCCACTCATCCACCCATCCACCCATCCACCAGTCCACTTTTCTTCTTCATAGAATATTATGATTGACTGTGATTTCCCTGTTCTTTCTTCAGCCTTTCGATGCTTGCTTTTTTCTCGCCGTCCTTCCTGCTGCTCCCGACGCTGGGCTTGTGGCTGAGCCAGGGGGGAAAAGAGTCAGATGACTCAGCATCACAAAAGCGGCGACACGAGCAAACCCGCAGGACGACCAGCCCAAGGAGGCCATTTTCGCTCGCCGCTTTAGCCGGTCTCTTTTACCTCCAGGGGTCTCCCTTCGTCTTCAAACATCCGCGTCGCCCTCGTCTGCATCCTCCTCCTCCTCCTCCTCCTCTTCTTCTTCCTTCTTCTTGTTCTTCTTCTCCTTCTTGTTGCTGGATCGGAAACCCGGTAGACAAGCAAGACGACGACCCGGCAGCTCGACAGAAAACAGGCGTCTCGTCTCCTGCGAACACGCCGCCTAGAAAACGACGAACGAACAACAAAAACGGACCCAAGACGATAACGATAAGAAGTTCACTAAAAAGGTCTGGATTGCACGTGAGTGCCACCTGATCAACTCTCAACCGCCATCAAGAACATCGAGAAGTTCTTCTGCAAAGCCGCAGCAAACCATCCACCAGACATCCATCCTCACCCACCATCCCTCCCCTCCATCGCCGTCTTGCTTCTCGCTGGGTTGTCTAGCAGTCCCAGCCGTCGTCTTGAAGCGAGAGCGAGACTCCCGTCCCTAATTTACGCATACTCTCCCCAAACACATCCTCGTTTGGACGTCGTTTCCGTCTCTCCGTGGGTAGAAAATACATTTACGGACGCACATGATGTCGAACCAAAACAACATCTCCATCGCCATGACCAACCGGTCTCTGCGGAACATCAAAACTGTTAGTCAATACCCTGCTCCCGCTGTCTTCCCGTCAGCAGATGGAATCTCCTGTGACCTGGCGTCGTTTGGGCCTGTTAGAGGGTGTTTACATCAGGACCTGTCTTTTCTTCCTACTTTTCTTGTCCACACACATATTGACGCTGGGAATTGACACAGGAACTCGAATTTCTTGCCGACTCCTCCGTTATCACTCCTGCACAGTTGTCATCCATCCTCGAACAGCTACCTAGTCAGACACAGCTGCACGCTCCATCACATCAGCCCGTTACTGAGTCAACATATTCCCCCCCAGCTGCCCAACTATCTCGAGTCAGCCTGAACGAGAAGGCTGAGAGCCCATACTCAAGCCCCCCGCCGCCGCCAACGTATTCTTCCGCTCCTCCCGTACTCTCTCTTGCTTCGGCTCTTTACGCCTATACTCCAACTGATGCCGGAGACTTGGCACTGCAGCCTAACGATCGAATTCAGGTTCTCGAGCATATGAACAATGATTGTGCGTAGTTTACATGCATATTGACAGTTTGCTCCCATAAGCACTGATGGCTAACTTACCTACAGGGTGGCGTGGTAGGAACGAGCGAACTCACCTTGAGGGTATCTTCCCACGAACCTACGTCAGCGTAATCGAGGAGAAACCCATCATCCATTCTCCCCAGCCCATCAGCTACAACAACATGCCCCTTGAGATATCACAGTCCGGCTCATCGTCCCATGGAAAAGTTCCTAGCAAATTCGAGGAGAACGGCAAGAAATTCGGAAAGAAAATGGGCAATGCTGGTAAGCTCTCTCTCTCTATTTTCAGTCGTCTACATAGACTGTTGTCACCGTTACTAACTCAAGGTCTCCGTGCAGCTATCTTTGGTGCTGGCGCCACCATTGGCTCAAACATTGTCAACGGTATCTTCTAACTCGGTCGTCTGTATTACACTTCATATACCTCAACAGAAGAGAGCAATACCTTTTTGCGTGTACGCATGCTGTGATTTGTGGGAATATTTTCGTTTTTTTTTTTTTTCTCTCTCCTTTTGGATTTACTTCGGGAAAGAGCGGGACTAAGAGTCCTGTTCACATCGGCGTTAACGCTACTGGGCGGAGTTTAACGGCTCGGAATCATTTTATCATCTTTTTCTTCTTGTGCTGGGTCGGCAATAAGAACCAACCCCGATATCTGGCCGGTATCCTTTGACGCCTACACGTCGACCCATCGAGAGGTTACTACTTAGCATTCGACACTTATAATACGAATGCATCCAGCATCAAAATTCCATATCATTCTGGACTCGTTTGGATCTATGAATCTATCAACGCCTGTCTGCTTTGATCATAGCCTTCAATCGGGCTATCATTCGATCTGACAGCGTATTTACCCACACGTCTTATAAGGATGATGAGCCTGGGGAAGCTACATACCGGCACACTACACGTGGCTGGGCTGGGTTGGGATGGACCAGGCTTCCTTTGATCATGCTACCACCACTTTTCTCTATTCTTCACTTCTTTTGCCGTTTCCGTTTGATTTTGAACTTTTTTCCACCCATTCTTGCTATAGACCCTTTTTCTCCCTCTTATCTTCTACAACCCCTTTTCATATATCAACTTCTTGTCTTTACCTATTGCTCCCCATCTTTTCTTCAGCATGTGGACTGGCTTGATACCTGTCTATGCCTCTTACCAGCTTGGATGTATGGTTTGCTCTTCTAAACTGGCTTACCCTATAGTAACTGACACGCACGGCACTTCTTTTCTTTTGTATCATGACAAACATGCTGCTCTTATACCTGACCAAGCATTACTCCTCCGACATTCCTTTTCGTGGCTACTTTTCCTTTTCTTTGTCCTTTGTTGTTGTTTATCTCTCTCCTTTTATTCTTTTATCTAGTCTACTTTAATTCAACTTGCACTTTTCGTCTGCTAGGCTACTCTTCTATATACCACCCTCTACATAATGAGGTTAAGGTACATTTCTTCCTATACCCCTATCCCTATTCCAACCCACTCGCCATCAACTCTCGCTGGGATGCCAGATACGACAAACCTCACTGGCCGAGGGAGAATCTTCCCACCTACTCGGAGATCTACCCCTGTAACTCGGCCTAGATTCAAATGCCAATTGAGTAACATACCATTCCCATCACACCTCGCTCCGCTTGACCAGCATCGGCAAAACCCCCAAGAAAATAGTGCATACATAGCAACTTGGTGAAATGCGTCATTAGGGAATTGCACGCTTTCTATTCCCCTCCCCAGGCAGACAGGCAACTTTACCTTGCCGGTTAAGCGGTTCAGAGGCTGTCCTACCGTCAGCATGTGTACGACAGGCCCTCGTAAGGAAAACAGCTGAACATTCGTATCCACCTGAACAGAAAAATCCGGTTTATGGAAAAGGAAGCCAAGTGGCAGTGTTAGGAGACTGGAAACCGAGCGCTGGAAGGCCAAGTGGGTAATATCATCCTGTCTCGTCTCACTGATTCGAACAGCGCGTGAGAGTGCTGGTGCCATCGAAGGATGCCAACGATTTCCTATTTTCCCTCTTTACCAGCCGAGCTTGCGTGTAACTCATTCCTTAACTGTCTATTTTATAGATTTTGTGCGACCTTATCCGAGACTGAAGCGTTGCTTATTGTTTGTACATTGCACAATCAAGTTAAGGTAGATATTGAGACGGCTGGAGTAGGCGAGGCAAGTGATGACTCGGGCCGCGCAAGTTGCTGCTAGATCATTGACACATGTTCGGCCAGACCGTAATAAGACTGGATATCAAGACACACGGGCCGGATATAGATGCGAAATGATGCATATTCTGCATCTGCTTTGCATGCTCCAAGTTGAGACTGGCCACGGTAGATGGTAGCTTTCCTTATTCTTAGCGGCATGGTTGTCGCCTATCTTCCCTTTCTCTCCTCGTGTGCGCTGGCTGCAGACTTGCATGCTATGTGCAGAAAGGTTTTACATGCCAGGTTGGAGGAAAGTGTGTTAATTCTGATTTTGCAAACCGTTAAGCGGGAGGCGCGGATCTCATAGGAAGAGTAGTACTCATTGGAGGCACAGGGGGTGTCATAGCGGTAGTTCGTAATTTGCATCTGAGCTGGTTACCACTACTGACTATTATAGAAACCATGCTTCTTACATGGCTAGGGAAGGTTTGAGGTAGCAATGACTTTAATAAGATCACTTGGGCTGGAGTATTTTGCTTCAGGGAGCCGGCCGCATCTTGCGGTCTGGGGCTTGTCTGCATCTTGATGAGGTTATAATTTTGTGATCTTGCCTCGTGGCTCCTGTAAAAAACGCTCATTACTTAACTAAGATTTTTGTAAAGGTTGCCACAGCAAGGGGGGTTTTGGTTCCAAGGAATGAAATAGAATGTGTTGAAGAGGAGAGGAGCAAGGAATCAGCAGTTCCATGATCTAGAATTAAATCAGGAATCCATTCAATTTGGACGATGCGCAGCGGAGGTGGCAAAAGGATCGAGCAAATGCCCCCCAAAAACGAGTGCCATTGCTTAAGGCACGAGCCAAGCCGACAGACAACCCCCAGCAGTTAAGGCATATATACAAAACCGAACTGTCTATAGTTAGCTAGCTATATGACCCCGATAGTTAATAATGCTGTGTATGGATGAGATATCTTAATTCCTCTGGCTGGGGCTATCGGAGAATCCTGGGTATCAGCGGAAAAGGTGGTCGGTTGACCTTGTAGCTTCGGGAACATCGAGGAAATCATGCACCACGTCTAGCCAGGGAAGGGTAAATGATAGAATAGGCCACACGGTCGATAATACGGACACCACCATCATGCATGAGGCAAAATGAACATGCATGGTTGAGCAGCCTGATCTGGCTATCAAGATATTAGCGAAGAAAGGCTAATTCTAAAAGAGCCAACAAAGAAAGGCAACAAGGGACTGCATTGTTGCAAACATAGTGCTTACATGTGAGTTGATCTCGGCAGTCTTAAAGACGATGGGTATGGGCTCGAGGGAGAAGGGATCTAAACGAGCGTTGGTGGCGTGGTCATGGATCAAGCGCAAGCATTCTTTGTGGTAGAACATGTGGAGGATGGAAGGGGATGGATGGATGCTTGAGTTTCTCATTCAACTAGTCACCGACGCATTTCATCTGGGGACAGCCCAATCGTGGGGGTCCCTTTCTGCGTCTATCCCTATAATACTGCTTATAGGGTGAGTAAAGTTGCGATGGGCAAGAGCAGGGGATTCTGGAGAAGGTAATAATAATAATAAAAAAGATAAGGACACATGAGATCGACGCTGCCCGCAAAAAAAGGAAAAAAAAAAAAAAAAAAAAAAAGGAAAGAAAGAAAGAAAGACAGTGTATAACTGAGCCTATAAGGTGCCACTCCATATAGCTAGCAGGCTATATGTCTGTATCGTTGATACATAATTAACGGTCTCAAGGAACCCCCGCTTGTTATGGCATGCCATGCATGGAAGGTGATGGTTATCAAATCAAGGGCCAAGTGGGAACGTATCAGAACCAGAGAAAGCTTTTGAGACGACATGTGCCTTGCGCTAGGATGACTAGTTATCCAGGTTGCCGGGTCACCTCGTCATCTCCAGGACTCCGAAGAGAGGTGGTAACAAGAGGGTGTTATTTATCGGTTGGAGTTGGAGAAAACATGGGACCAGCAGTCCGGTTTTCTTCTCTCACTGGGTATCACCCTCAAGAACAGGAATGCAAGGTGCAAGGGAGGTGGTTGAAGTTATGCAAAATGGACCCCTTTAAGTCGCGCTCCCCCTGATGCCCTGAACTGTCCTGGTTCGGGTAGCAGAGCTACTGAGTCCAGAACTTTTCTCACCCCCATTTGAACGGAGTACCTTGGTAAGTGCCTTGTACAAGTTTGGTACCTGCTCAATGCAGTTACGCAAAAGCATAACTGCCAAGGGCTGCAGGCCGAAGCTGCGCCGTTGGAAGCGAGCTGGCTCATAGTGGGCTCTCTCCGGTTCAGCCTCAACCATGTTCGTCACTGAGCAATTAATTCCTGATTGAGGTCACATTTCTGCAACCATATAACCACGGTTTATCCGAGGAGAGATCGTCGCAGCTTGGATGGCTGCGATACGGACAACGGGCTGTTTGTTCAATAAGGCCCGCTTATTGATTCTTTCAGATAGAAAATTGTAAAAGGCTAACCCACGGCTCAGAAATACTGCGTCCTTTTCAGGGCGGCAAACCAGTTTACTAACCAGTTAGTTAGTTAACTAACTAATTCGGTGGCTATCAACCCAATCAGCCATCACACCCTCTTCTCCTATGGCAACAGGAACTGTAGGACAAACGAGATCACATCACACGATCTCGAACTTACCGAGCAACCAATTGTGAAGTTTACGGAGGAGCGGGTGGGTTTTTTTAAAATAAAAAATAAAAAATAAAAAATAAAGTAAAGGGACCATAGGGGCAGATCCAAAGGGCAGAAGACACGGCTGGGCAAGTAGCCTCATGTCCGTTCGCCGTTGAAGATGCGCCCTTTGGATAGTGGCTTGGATGGTGAAAATTTTGAGATATTTCACAGTCCCGCCAACTAATGCAGACATGGGAAATCACTCAAAGTGATGAGCGTCCCTCTGCAGGTTTTGAGAGTTGATGGCGTCCAGGGGAGAAGCAGAAGGGATAGGAAGGTGGTTTGCTGGACGTCGAAGGCCGAAGTTTTCAAATATTGATGGGACGAGGTCGAAATTAACAACGAACCCGTGACTTGATTGCCCAAAGCGGTAAAAGAGACGTCATGGCTGGTTCAGGCGCACAGCACGAATTGATAGAAGCACTTATGGCGCAGAGAGCAGGCAGAGAGAAAGGTGAAAAAATTGATTAAGATGGCTGGAAATTAGTAATGTACAACTCCTATGCCCCGGGGGTTTCTTTTTTTCTTTCTTTTTTTTTTTTCCTTTTTAAAAAAAAAGGCCAAGCTAAGTCTATGAGAACAGTGTCATCAATGGGATTCAAGGGGACTAGAGGGAAACAGATAAGAAAAGAGCAAAGGGGGAAAAGAGAGAGAGAGAGAGAGAGAGAGAGATAGGAAATGGTGGGAAAACACAATAATGAAAATCAGAAGAATAACACCAGAGCCGCCCAAGTTTTTTTTTTCCAGTTCCAGGTCATGAAATGTCCCTCTTTCGCAAAAGAAAATGAATGATTTATTTTGGATTATGCACCACCAGGGTTCAAAGAAAAAAGGGAATCGGGTATTTGGCTATCCCGTTCGAGATGTGGTTAGTACTTTAGGAGCAAGTGGGTGGGTGAGAGAAGTAACAAAGTGCCGTATCCCGCTGGCATGTGTTCATTATTGCATCCGACATGGCCACCCTGGTTCACGGTCCTCCATGGTCCTTCCAACCTAAGTGTGGTCTTGTCAATGAGGGAGTCACAGAGACAAGAGACAAGAAGTGTTGGGTTGCATTGTGAAGGTAAAAAAGTAGCACACACACGGGGCGATAAGAGCCCGGCAGGATCGAATCTGTGTCTAGGCTAAAAAGGTTCAGGCGAGAGAGAGAAGGAGGGAGAGAGAGAGAGAGAGAGACAGAGTTGGTGTACTGCAGCACCAGTAACTTTGAAAATAGGTCGAAGCAAAGGCAGAAGACAAACAAAGGTATCAGATGTTCTTCCCTGCGTGTGGGGGGTTCGGTAATATGCCAAAGTATGTAGAGTTGAGGATAGTAATGGTCAAAACATCGGTCGTATACGGGGATGAAAAGGGTTCCCTTGTCCGAAGCTTGCCCCGTCTGCCGAAGTTTCAAATCGAGCCGTCCAGGCTAGGAAGGAGACGCAGTCAAAAATAAATGCCACCCTTTAGGCAGGAGCTGGTCCTTCGCTAACCTGACTAGGATGAGGCCAGGAACGATATCACTAGTCGGAGGATGTGACAGTTGAAAAACGAAAAAAAGAAAAGAGAAAAAAGGAAAGGGAAGAGGAGTAAAAAAAAAGAGTCGTTGTGGCCAGCCAGGGTGTGTGTGTGTGGTTGATTCTTTTTTTACTTTGGTTGCTTTCCGTCTTCCGTGCCTTGTCGGGAGCAGCAAAAAAGAGAGTGCGAATAATGTTTTTAGTGTTATTATTATTCGCAGATGCCTGAGGGTCGGCGATGCGGAAACGGGAATTTCCCTATATGGATGGCTGCATACATGGATGCGACATCGCAGAGACTCAAAAGAGTGGGCCGAGAAGGGAAAGCAGATCTTGTGCAAGCTGAGGAGCAAGGAGAGTTGGTGGTCGTCATGGTGGTGGTGGTGGCAGCAGCAGTGGGAGGGAGGGCGATGATGGTCGTGGTCGTTGGGAGAGGACGATCGCAGGGCCCCGGAGCTGAGCCGGAGCTGAGCCAGCGCCAGCAGAGCGAGGTAACCCAGGAAATCCTAGCCAGAGAAGAAGAGACGCCGGGCGAGTTCGTTAGCAGGAGGCCAGTTTCTCCTGCAGTGGCGCTGGCGGCTGGCGGAGAGCGTGGGCCTTGGGGTTGGAGGACGCAGCAGCGGCGAGGATCTCGTAATTTAGTTTTTCCCGCATGCGGTCGGTGTCACTGACGTCGGCGCCTTCACGGGTGCCCCAGGTCGTCTACGGAGGAGCGAGGCCGCCGGTTAGCAGGAAGCACACCATATTATTTGAACGGCGGGCGATATTGGCAGCAATGGGTGAGTGGCATGATTTGTGACGGAGATGGCAGGGCAATAATAATAACAACAATTAAACTTGGCTTTTTGCAGGGAGGTGAAACAAAGGGCGACAAGAACGGCTGGCCCGGAGAGTCTTTGGCGGCCCAGAAGCGAGCAGCTCGACCGCGACACACGGAGACGGGGATGGGAAAGATGGGAAAGACGAGGACGACGGGAGGAATACACATACCACGTTGAGGGTGAAGGCGGCATAGAGCTTGATGAGGCCGTGGAAGTAGCCGAAGAAGATGGAGACGGGCAGCAGCAGGAAGTCGGCCGGGTAGCGGATGTAGTGGCCCAGCAGCTTGATGAACTTGCTGACGAACATCCACAGCAGCAGCGCGTTGAAGGCCCACGTCCGCTGCTGGGGGTCCCAGGCCTCGGTGCCCTTGTAGCAGAAGGCCAGCAGGCAGAGGTCGCCGACGAGGGCGGGCGGCGAGAGCGTCGTCAGGAAGACCGCATACGTGCTCCACGGCTGGCGGCTGCAGAGGTCATCAGCAAGGACATATACAGATACAGACACAGACACACAGAGAGAGACAGAAAGATGGACAGAGAAGAGACTTACAACCAGACGACCTGCTCCTGGACGAGGGTGGTGAGGTTGCTGCGCCAGTTGCTGCGGGACCAGCGGACGCACTGCTTGAGGAACTGCGGGTTGTCCTCGAGCGTCGTCTGGATCTCGGCCTCCGGGTGGTACTGGAAGTAGGTCTCCCAGCCGTGGGTGACCATCCAGCGCGAGAGGAAGTTGTCGTCGTCGGCGTTGAGCTCGTAGCGGCCGAACCACCACTCCTCGTTGGTGAAGCCCAGGGTGAACTCGCGGTCCTGCAGGATCTTGGTGCGGTACGCAACGGTCCGTCCCGACAGGCACGGCATCCCGCCGTCCATGTGCGTCGTGGCGGCGCAGTCGAAGTTGCGGCGCTCGAGATACAGGGCGCCCAGGAAGTCCCACGCCCGCTGCATCGAGAACAGCGGCGCGCCGACCCTCCGCAGGCGCTGGCAGGTGGTGACGCCGCCGTAGATGGGGTCCTTGTCGAACGGCGCCAGGATCCATTTGAGCTCCGTCCTGGGCCAGCTCACGTCGTCGTCCACGAAGACGGTGATCTCGGTCCGCACCTCCGGGATTGCGCGCACCATCTGCCGCCGCTTGTTGGGCTTGGGGATGCTCAGCAGCTGGATCCTCGTCCGCGAGGCCGGCATCGTCGCCAGCATGCGCTCCGCGTTGGCCCGGTTGGCGTCGATGGTCACCAGGAAGATCTGGTAGGGCTCGTTCAGCAGGATGGTCCGGATGGTCTCCTCGAGCTCCTCGCCGCAGCCGGACAGGGACGGGATGATGATGGATACATCCTGGGACGTCAACTTGGGATTCTCCGGCGGCGGGATCGGTCGAAACGTCCAGACGGCAAACAGGTTGACCACCAGTCGCAGGTACCGGTACACACTATCAAACACACACGCACACACACAGATCCCTCCCGGTCAGATGCGAAATGTCCACAGGAAAGCAGGAAGAAAAAGAAAAGAAAGGGAAAACAACTCACAATAACAGCTTGAAGGCTAAGAGATATGTGAACTCAAAAGCCATCATGATGGTCTTACTGTCTCTCGTTTCTTTTTCTTTTTCTTTTCCCCCCCCTCGCTGTTCAATTGCAATATCAAAAACAAAGTCTCTAAGCTCCTGGCTGAGATATTAAATCTGATTTATTTTTATTTTCTGTGTTTTGGCTCTCAAGGAAAAGGAGACGGTCTCCCCCAGTCCCGGGTATCTCTACTCGCGAGGTTCACAGTTATCAATTCATGTGAAGCTGCTCCTTTGTCTCTATTTGTGGTATTCTTGGTGAATTTTGGTAGATGTGGTGGAAAAAGCTGCCAATTGAAGCAAAGCCTGGCTGGTGGAAGAGGAACACAGGGGGGGGTATAAACCAGGCACGCTCAATGGTAGGCGGAATCAAGCAGAGAAGCGAGACAGAACAGTCGAGCAGGAAAAGCAGAAGAAGATTGGCAGCTTTATTGAAAAGGAGCGGACGGGTGAGAAGTAATAATAAAGCAGACGACCAAGAAGGAGGGAGAAATTAAGCAACAAGGGCCGAGGTATAAGTATATATTAATTAAGGTTGACTTGACTGAGTCCAGATGGAATGAAGATGCAGAGCAGGAGAAGAAGACGAAGGAAAGGAAGCAGAAGATAAGCAGAGGGAGGGAGAGAAAGGGAGGGAGAAGGGGAGAAGGGAGAAGGGGAGAGGGAGAGGGAGAGAAAAGACAGCGCTGGCCGGCCGGTGAACGGCTTCTTGAAATAATAAGAACAACGGTCGTCCTCTTCTCTTGCAGCCAGGCAGGAAGGGATTCTCCGTACTTTTCTGGCTCGAACTGCAAAAAAAGAGAAGAAAAAAGGTTAAAAGGTAAAAAAACATAGAAGGTCAATTAGGGTGGAACAAGGTAAGTGAATCAGCGGGCCCTCCACCCCCCTTCAGCGAGGGCTAAAGTGAGTTTTTTTTTTGCAGGGTGGAGAGCTTCGTATGGGTTTGGGTGAAGAGTTAAACCTGAGCATCTTTTAATGCAAAATAAAGCTGAAAGTGAAAAAAGAGAGAGGGAGAGAGAGAGAGGCAGTTGGACGTTGACAGCAAAAGTCCCAGTGGTGGTTGGTGATTTGGTAGGCTGGACGGAGCAGTCCAGATTCATTTCCAGCTCAGGAGGTTTAAGGGGCTTTGGCTAGCTACGGAGTATCAACTACAGCTTGACTACAACAGCAGTCACAACAACCTCGCAGCGAAGTAAACAACGGCCGCCAGTGAGAAGCAGAGCTCTGCTGCGGCCGGTTTAAGCTTCGCACAAGTCGAGTGCGATGCTTGAAAGGCGAAGGGAAAGGAAAAAGCAATTCGGTAGCCCTTTTTCCAGAATCCTTCCTTTTGGTCTATCTCTCTCTCTCTCTCTCTCTCTCTCTCTCTCTCACTCTCTCTCACTCTGTGCTGGCCGTCCTGTCTCTGTCTCTCTGCTCTCCTTTTCCAGGGCCAATATCTCTGTCTCTGCGACTCGGTTCGGCTCCCCTCGAGTCCTCCTACTTCTCTTGCTGCTGCTGCTTGTTTGATAAGAAAAAAAAAAAGATTCCTATGATGTAAAATTAACAAAACAGCTTAATTAGTTAGTTAGTTAGCCCTTGCAAAGCCTCTCTCCCTGGGCGCGCATGGTGGAGTTCTTCTTCTGCGTCTCCCTCGTTGCTTTTTCTTTCTCTTCTGCTTCTCTTCCCTTCCATCGTTGCTTTTTTTTTTTTTTTTGCTTCTTCTTCTTCTCCCTTGCTGTCTTGCATGCGGCCCCCTGGTCGACATCGACGTATAGAGACGGAGTGGGCTTCGTACTGTCGTGAGTTTGGCTGGTTAGCTGTTTGGGGGTATATAAAACACGCACGATAAGAGAGCAGCATGCTTTTTCGCCATCTGAGAGGACAGACATGGGTGATACTACCTTACCTGCACAGGGGTCTGGCTGGTTGACGGGCAGAGAGATAGATGGCCATGGGCGACGCTGAGGACTCCATTCAAGCATCTAAACTACGCTCGCTACTACTGCTTTTCTCCTCTGGTGGAGGTTGCGGCGGCTGGACATCTCCATAACTGCGTAACCAGATACGTCTGTCGGCGAAACATCAGTGGACAATCCCATCAGAGGGAGTGCTCTGTAGAGCGAAAGCAGACTCAGCTAGTCAGGCACAAGTGAAGACGGCAGAAGGGAAATTTCCCACCTGTTTCGCCCTAGCCAGGGGGGGGGGGGGGGGGTTAGAGAAGGGCCACTGAGTCAAAACATGCGATGGCGAATTTTAACCCAAAGACGAGACGAACTGGAGCCGCCCCCTTCCTCTCCTTCGGGTGATCGCCCTTCAAGTTATACGGAGAGAGGATACCTGAAGGGCAATTCAGGAAGGGGGGGGGGGGGGGGGGGGGGGAAGGGGTGACAGGATGAACGCGATCAGCATGGCTCTGTGGAAGGGAGTGAGGGTAAACTAGTTTAAGTAGATGGCCATCATCCTGATTCCCGATCTTAAGGATCAGGATTGTTTTATATATAGAAAAAAGACGTTGCCAAAGCTACTCCGTATGGACACTGGCGGGTGGGAGGAGGGGGGGGGAGGCGGCGCAGTATATGCATCCTGATATCCAGAAAATTATATCGGAGACCGCTTCGAAGGGGCCATCCTTCTACTCGGTAGATGGCAAGTGCTTGAAACCTGGGTGCTACACAGCAACAGCAGCAGCAGCAGCAGTAGTCCCGAGAGGTCCCAAGTCGGATCCCTAGGAGATCCCCCTGGTTGAGGCGAAATCACTACCCCATACTCTATTGACTAATAACGCTCGGGAGGTTGATGGGCCACGACAGAGCACTCTTCTACCCCCCCGAATAAGCGTATACGAGAACAGGAGTATAGCATATCACTGTCGCGTGGTCGGCTCTCGCCACGTCCGTCGGTTAATGTTTATGTAAATATAGATATAATCTTTCATTTGGTCGTTGTGCTTGGGGTGCCGTAGCTATATGCCAGAGTCGACGCCGAACCCGAAACCGCAACCCCCTTCCCCCCGAAGTGCTTAAATCGGGTCGTGTCTCCAGCCCTGTCCTGCTCTGCTGGCTGGCGGGCGGCTTCTCATCGCACCGGCTTGCCTTGTTTCCAGGCTGCTTAGGTTAACCAGGGAGGATCGGCGAGGATAAAAGTGGAGGACCATCTTTATCTCATCGCCATCTCTTGGGCTGGGAAGAGTAACGAGCGACGGTGGGCGCGTGAGTGCACACCGTCATCGCCATAAGTAATCAATTCAGCCATCCTATCCCATCTTGTTGTGTGTGTCTCTCTTTCTCTGTGGTGAGAACACGACAGGACAGGGCCCACCAGCTGCACCAGTTTCATCATCGCCAGGCAAGCCTATGGCACCAACCTGAGCATCCCCGGCCTGCTCGAAAACGTGCGGAGAAGCATGGCTGCCAACCATCATCTTCTCTTTGGACAGGCTGGCTGACTGGCTGACTGGCTGACCTGGGCGGTTAATTAGCAGCCTATCTCGTCCAAGGGAGGAAGAGTATCAAACCAACGACTCCATCGAGCAGCTAAAAACTAGCAGTCGAGATGAACTTGAGATCACTCCGGCCATCCAATCATGCTGAAGCCCAGCCTGCTAGGCTCGTTCACTAACAAGTCCACCCCCCCTAGCGGCGATCTACCTTGCCGGTTCATCGTCCAAACGTGAGTTGACTTGCTTCTTCATGCTCAGTCGACGGCCAGGAGGAGCGTGGGGGGAGCAGCCAGTCTACGGCCTGTCTTGCACCCGTTTGGCTTTCGGCTGCTTCTTATTCCTTTTTCTTCTCCGTCTTCGTCTGTCGTTCAAGGTCGCTCGTTGGCTCGTTAGCCACTATACTAACGAGTTAGCTTAGTACAATTTCATGCACGTATGTAGTTAGAAATAAGAATGCAGGGCCTGGGTCGTCGATTAGTTACGCGAGAAGGCGACAGTGACTTCATCACGGCCCTCGCTCGAGCTTGTGCGATAGAGAGTACTGGCGACTCTGCCGGGTTAAAGAGCTGCATCTCCATCCCGTCCTGACACGTACATACATACATATCCTTACATGTTTCTCGGGCATATATTCGCCGATGCATGAGACGAGGCGAGGACCCAGCAGGCCTGCGTATGTACGGAGGATATACATAAGTACATAAGTACTTAAGGCATACAGACAGACAGACAGACAGTCGAGCAACCGACCGGCCGACCGACTGTTGCGCATGTAAGCCCTTGTTCCCGGCAAAGGGACAGGCAGGCAGGCAGGATACCCTCAGCCAACGGCCACCCCTGCTGATCTAACGAGGCGTTATGACGATGTGATGGAGATTCGCGAGGGATCGAATCACCAGGGAGAACTGCCTCTCAGGTCGAGTCAATCCAAGGGCGCAGCTCGCTCTCCTCTTTTCTCCTTTGTTGCGGCCAATATAACTTAGGGGGCTGCGTCTCCGTGTCTGGTAGAGATTGGTTGCCAGGCCTGCCTCGTCACCATCCAACCGTCAACCGTCAAACCAGCGGGAAAGCAGTCGAAGATTCGGCAGTGGACCGTCCTGCAGCAGCTCACTAGCCTGCTGCTGGCCAGGTGGCTCGCTGGCGCTGGTTTTTTTTTTTTTTTTTTTTTTTTTTTTTTTTTTTTTTTTTTTTTTTCCCTGCGAGAGTTATGCCTGCCTGCCTGTCCTTCGTTACGGAGGTCATGCCCCTTGTCCATGTCCACGTCCATGTCCATGCCCATGCGATGCACGAATAAAGCCGGCATTTCAAGCTGCCGCCCCGTTTTGAAGCCCACTGATCAAGCCTCGCTGCTCCGAATGCAACGGTGTGGGTGGCCAGTCGACACTTCCCAGCGCCATATCTGCGCCGTACTATATCCTGGGCTGCAGGCTATCTAAACCACCTGCCTACCTCGATACCACTACTTACTTGTTGTTTTCGTGATCACTGTCTCCTCTGTACGAACGAACATGACAAGCAGATGGACGAGTTGATAGGCCGCGGCGCAGAATACGAAGAAATCCATCGACAGGCCGAGGGATCCTCTCTTGACAAAGCCCCCCTGATGACGGTAATATGGCCTCTCTCTCTCTCTCTCTCTCTCTCTCTCCCTCGCTTGAGGGTATCCTTGAAATCAGGGCACTCTATCCACTACCTTGGGGACCTCTTTCTCCCTATTTTTTTTTTTTTTTTTCCTTTACTCTCTGGGACGTTGGGCAATTTCAGTTATCATGCAATATCAACGGCTATTAATTAACGGGTGCGTGGTTAACGAGTGCTATGGATTCTATGTATGTATCGTCTCCATGCCAACAGCCCTAACGGCTTACCTCTTTTTTTTCTTTATCTGCCTTTTTCGCCCTGTGTCAGTTCCAAGTCGAGTGCTATAGCTGACGCATAACACCTGAGATGGCAGGGATTGGTCTTCCTGTGATCAATGCTTCACGTCTCCTTTAGACCGACCGTTGGAATCCATAATCGTCATGTCGCTGATGTTAGTATTATTATTATCATTATCCCGAATTATTACAGTTATGGTTCTTGCAATTTCAACCCACATAACACGCACACGGGTACTTGCACACAGCCATGGCAATATAATAATAATAATATATAACTGCGCTACTCGACGAGCCAAACGTTCAAGCCAACGGTTGCTGGTGGGAACGTTTCCGCTTTGGGCCAGGTTGTCCGAAGAACAAGTCCAAACGGCAAGCAAATCATAACTCAGGGGTTCGGCGATCGCACAGCAAGGCCCTGATCAGCTACCTCTTTTTTTTTTTTTTTCTCTACAATGACTCGTTCGACCACAGATTGACTCCCGTTGTCGTTGCACACTGGTGGGAATACCGTTGCCGTTGGCTTCAGCCGGAGTTGTATCAACGTCATAAAGATGAACGCACTGGTGGCTTGAATAACGAGCCATTTCCTGGTACGATGTGCCTGTTATCAGCCGTCGGAGATCAGTCCTGGTCGTCGTCATTTCAAACGTCACTCCGAAGAAGCCTGCAATGCAAAGAAAAGGATGGGGTAGGGGCATAAAAATAAAATAATAAAAGGAAAAAAAAAAAAATAATAATAATAATAACTGAAAAAGAAAGAAAAGGCATCGGTTTGGCCACATTTATTTAGGGATCTCGGGCTAGGGACATGGGGTGACCCTGCTGGTGAAGAAGTTTCTGGGCCATGACGGTGAAAAAGCAGCTGCAAGGCAGTGGAGATAGTTCACCTGGTGAGTTCCATCCATAATTTTTCCCTTTTTGTACGGAGTTGTACTCAAGTATGGCAGTAAGAGTGCTCCGTACGGGTATACGTACCATGGCCATGGACTCTTCTAGGCTGCGATGCACGCTTGACCCAGAAACGGACCTTTACCGGCTGCCTCAGGTCTACCTCCTGCCCCAATGCAGTAGTTCCTGTCTCCGAGCAGACATGCATGTTTAAGTATATGACTCTCTCGCCGTTCTCCCTTGTCCCTGTCCCCTGAGCAGGAGGAGAGTCCACCATCTCAATGTCAGTGGTTGTCTGTCCTAATGGGGCCCGGCCACCGTCTTCGTTCCTTTTTCCTTCCTTCGAAAGGGCATCTCAGCCCTATTTAGAATAATACGGTGCCACCGCGGACCAACTAACTCTCGCCTGCCCTTCAACAATGAACTAAAGTGGCAGTTCATTGTCGACAAGAGCAGAGAGCCAGCAGCTGGAGACAAACCCCGTCCGTCCTCAAGTTAACTACCACAACGGCGGACCGCCCGGTTTTCGCATCCATCCTCAACCCCGGCCTCCGTTCCAGTATCAGAATGGTAACCACAATAATAATGTAGCAGTACCTGCTACGCAAACAAATGGAAGAGACCTCTGCTCTTTGGATTCCTTCTCCTGTGTTCTGGAAGACTGCTTAAGGTTGCGACTGTTGGGTCCACCGCGGGACCCATGAATGCAAGGAACAAGCGTTATCCGCTTTTTTTGCTGTTCTCTCTCTCTCTTTCTCTTTTTTTTGCTTCTTCTTCGTCTTCGTCTCTTGCTTGCTTTTTCTGCTGTTCGTTGCTGGCCGGTGGTGATCGTCACATCGCTTGTTTGAGGCGAGCCCGTCCAGCGAACTAATCTCCTTCCCATCGATGGCCAGCCAGTTTCGGTCGAGTTTCAACTGTGTCCCAGCTCCTCTCTTTTTTCAATCTATCCAAAGCTGTTCTGTGCCTTTGGGACATCCAGGACGACCAGCGGTGCCCAACAGATAGTCGGGCTTTGACCTAGCTCTCTCTTCCCCCCTTAAAGGTACGGGACAGGTTCGAGGAAGAGGCAAAACCGCTCCTCTTTTTGTCTAATCCGTTTTATTTCCGAGAACCAAGCGATACCGTCGAAGGTTGCAGCAGTGATGCCTCCTGATTCGCTTATTCACGCAGTCTCCTTCGTTTATCTTGTTGCCGCTTCCCATGGATGTTTCATCGTCGCCTGAAGCATAAGCTCAGTCGCATCCTTAGTTATACCATCCCATCCCATTTTCTCCTCCCCCGCCCCTAATCAAACACGAAGGTGTGTTTCCTGCTCATTCGACAGTTTCACCTTCGGCACTGCACGTGTCGGCCGGTTTTCGCAGTCATTGGAGTGCGAGCCATTTGTCTTTACATGCAGAGCTAGCGTAGCGAAGCCGCCTCTGTTGCTTTCCAGTCCAAGCTTTCGGTTCTCGCCAGAGCTATCAAACTTCTTCTGCGGCCAGGAAGGGATAGACGCCGAAAGCAATAATGGAAGACGTCCGTTTCCCGTGGATACCAGGCTCTGCATCGGAGAACTCCCTTTCTGCGTTGATGTTGGTAGCCACACTACCGTACCAGTGTCACCGACTGCGGTCTACAGGGTATATAATATCACTCTTCCTCGTTGAGACAACGTATCATTCTATACATCGCTTGTTGCTGCATTAGTGAGCCGCACGGCCATGGTTCGCGACTATTTATATATACGAGGTGCGACGGAGTCTGCTCGATGATAACTAACCGCCTGTCTTTCTACCTTGGGGGGGAGGTTGGCCTCTATTGAGAGGAGCATGGAGTATAGTAAGAGAAGCCAGGTGTAGTGACGTAGAGTATAGAGTGAGCCACTGCACACAGCGCAGATCTTGTTACCTGCAGACAGCTCCCATCCCAAGCTCAGTGACATTTGATTAATTTTCCCGATCTTTCTTCCCACTTCTTGCCGTAAGATGGCGGAGGTTGCTGGCTCTCTCTCCCGCTTTTTCCTCCTCCTTGGACAGCCAAACGGTGCATAGTAGTGCATATGCACGAACGGCTTACCCTTACCCCGTTTCGACAACGCGCCTGTCGTATAGTTGGGTCCAGGAATGTGTTGGAGATTCGTACTTGGTACACGCCAGACAGCCATGCCAGAGCATTCCAGGGGCCGGGCACATGAAGGTTCCCCCGAGATGGCATCCGGATGCAAGTCGACGCTCCCCGACGCATCGTACAGGAGGTCGTGGCCCTCTCCTCATGCACCGGTAATCAGGGGTCACTGTTGAATCTCCGCATGATCTGCAAAATTAAACAATTGCTAAAAGCGTAAAATGTTCAATCGCGCCATCTTCCATCCGGTAGACTGAGTTGGGGCAAAAATGCGAGACTTTAATTAGTTAATTACGCCCGACGACGTGCATCTTGCCCTGTCTAGGTTGCTTCACGGGTGTTTTCACTATTTTATTGATATCCCTCGTTTTTATTTTTCATTTTTTTTTTTATTTTTTATTTTTTGGCCTGCTTCACTATACCGAAGGAAGACCTGGTTCGCTGGCTGGCTGGCAGACCTCTCTCCCAGCTCGCTCACTGTGGATCTTGCATCCGCCGGGCCGTCGTGGGAGGTTCGTGAAGATTGAGATCACATCTGTGCTCCACATGGTGTGCTGAAGAATGGACATTTCTCGGGAATAAGCAAGCCTCAAGAAAAAAATTTTTAAACTGCAGCACGTATCTCAAGAAGGAAAAAGGTGGTTTCAGTTAGTTATGGAAGATAGACGAAATTGAAATGGACCCTTTATCTGGAGGAAGCAGCACAGGATGTCCGGGAGGGTTGCAGCAGTCATAAACGAGCCCTTCTCGCAGCAATGAACTTGGACGGTCAATCGATGTATGCCCTAGTTAGTTATATGCGTCGTTGTAATGGCCATATTCACCGTTGCATAAACAAAATTTTACGTCATCCCTTCCAACTCCCTTCTTGTCCGCCAGCAAGCGAGGCCAGACCGCTGCATTCCTTACTTATACGAGTCATTCCTCCAACCCTGTCTTGCACAAGAAGAGGGCAAGCAAGCCCTGGCATTTCGTGAACAGACTGCATATTTTGCAGGTAAATCCTTTGGCTGGCCTTAATTTGACAGACACCCCCTGGGGGGTTTTATTCAGGAATGAGAAGTAAGTGTATATGAGTATGTGGGTTGAGAGTTGGTGTCCCTCGACGTACATCTCCTGAAAAAGCTTAGCTGGCGCCAATCCTCGGCGGTTGACTGCAGAACAAGCCTTGCTCAGACATCAAACGACTGAATATGGATTGGAATCTGGGGTACCACCATGAACTGCCGATGTGTGTATGCAAATGGGACAACCCCCATGCCCTTCGCAGGGATTGTGTATTCAGATCGTCAGAGCGGCCGGCAATGTTGAAGTATGACATAACTACCGATTCATCAACAGGATCTGGTCAGTGAGGCGTATCAAACATACGGATGTGGGAGACGGTACATTTGAATATCGGCACTTCTATCCAGTAGTCCTGCAACAGATGAGTCCTGCAACAGATGAATGACCCGGGATGGTCTTTTTCCATTACTATGCAGAGCTCTTGTGGAGCTATTCAGATGGAAAGAGGGTGATATATTTTCTTTTATACGGCTGGCTGAATGAGTTGATTATCAACCAGCTGAGCTCCGTTTCCAGCCAGTGTAGACGTGATAATAGGAGGGTATTGGCAGGGTATAACATCTAATAACCCCAAGATACCGGTGTATATTTGACGTCTTCCCATTAATGTTTAGGTGCATTCCTGGGGGCACGTTTGAAGGCGTAGGCTTTAAAATCCGGTGGCCCAGCGTGGTCACAAACGCGTTGTTGGTATATTGATTTATTCCCTTCAACCCGGTTGACACATCAGAATCGGACAGAGAAGATATGAACACTCTGTGCCGCAGCCGCATCAACTATCCAAAAGAATCAACACGAGGTTTGACCAGGCCTAGAGTCAGCAAAGTTCCTGGCATATCTACTCTCCCTTTAGCCTGTGGTGGGTTTGGGACAACTGCAATCCATCTCCACAAGGCCGTGGACTGTGCCTGTTGGTATAAGGTATTCATCAGGCTGTATGGGATTGTCTTCTTCCAAGCCTGTTATCAACTTATTGTCCGTCTCTGGACCCGGGGTGTCAGCCGTGCAGGACCAGAACGATCTCTTGTCTATACACTGTTCATTTGCAGGATATGTATATCTCGAGATGTTCTTCCATGACTGGCTGTCAGTGTACAGAACATATCCCTCTATCTCTAACCGTACAGTCTTAGATAACATCAGCTGGATAGTACTGATACTTTTAATAAACTGCATGTATTCTCCAGACTGTCTCGAAAATGCAGGTGGGTTGCCTAGGACTGGACCTAGGTACCTCTGACGGGCTCCCGTCCTCTAGTTATGCGGATAATCGTTGTGCCGTATAATTTTTTTTTTTTTTTTTTTTGACCTCAGGTCCCCGTCCCCGTCCAGTCACTGCATGTGGACAGCCATTGGAGGTCGACGATAGATATCACAAGGGCCAGAGTCATAGACATCTTACGATGAAGGCCTTCCAGCGAGCAATTCCTGCTCTACGGCCGTGTCACCTCGGCCGGGGCCTGCAAGTGCAGCAAGGACCACATCGACATGCCCGGCTCGTCCACTCGTCCACCACCAAAGCTGCCGTTGCGCACCCGGTGAATGTCTCTGGGCCTCCGCCAAAGCCGCCAGGGTCAACGGCGAGTCCGCTGAGGAAGAGGTTCTGGAAGGATGTACACGTCAAGGAAGCTGCTGGTAGGCATCCAATTGACACGTTGTTTTGCCATTCTTGACAGCAACTGACACCTGCTCTACATAGGAGGCCATCAGATATACCTGGACAGCCGGCCGGTTCGAACGCCAGAGAAGAAGGTATTAACCGTGCCTTCTTCGAAACCGCATCTCGCGCATGCTATAGCTCTGGAGTGGGATCTACTCAAGACAGCGCAGCATGCAACCAAGTACCATCTTATCCCGATGACATCGATCACCGGCCGGGCCGAAGACATCGCAGCCGAAGATGCAAAGGGAGTCACCACGATACGGGACGAGATAACTCGCGTGATGCTACGGTATCTTGAGACTGACACGCTGCTCAGCTGGGCCCCTGAAAAAGAACCAGACTACGTCGGACGAAGCGAAGAGAAGCGCGAGACACTGAGGGAGAAGCAAATCAAGGCAGCCCAGCCCATCATTTCGACCCTGGTGTCGACCGTCTGGCCGGGCGTGGAGCTCAAGCCTACCCTTGACGCCAACAGCATCATGCCATTACCTCAGCCACGGCAGACAATTGATGTTATTCGAGGGTGGCTGTCGAGTCTTTCGCCGTACGACCTTGCGGGTGTGGAGCGAGCAGGAATAGCTACTAAGAGTCTGCTGGTGGGTGCCCGGGTGGTGATTGAATGGAGCGAGAACTTCCGCCATCTCAGGCCCAGCGGTGCAAGCAGGACCTTTGGCATCGAAGAGGCCGCGCATGCGTCGAGCCTGGAGGTCAGATGGCAGACCGAGAACTGGGGAGAAGTCGAGGATACGCATGATGTGGAGAGGGAGGACCTGCGCCGACAGCTGGGGAGCGTCATCCTACTGGTGAGCGGCTGTTCGTCATGACCGATTGCTTGCTTGCTTTATCTCGTTTTGTCTACAATGTATCTGTATCTATATCCTGTACGAGTAGAAAGCCCATACCTTATCATATATACCCAGCGAATCTGATTTACCTGAGAGAGCGCGCGCGCCTCCACAGCGGCCACGTCACGGCAGCCGCCTGTTCCTGTCAGATGCGAGCATGGAGACGTCGCCGCGAAGGGCGTAGAGCAGGCCCTCCTGTCAACCCGTAGACCGCCTGCACGTCCGATGGATGTCTCTTCCCTCCCTGCGCCGCCGAGCTGCGTAAAACTGCGATGATGCAACGTTTTGCTGCCAAGGCCAGAGGAAAAAAACATCGCCCGGCAGCCCCTAACTCAAGGGACAGCGACGACGACGACGGCGACGACACACGCAGCAGCCAGACAGCCAGCCAGCGACGAGGAGACGGCGATGAAACGCAGGATAGCTTGAATGCTCCACGGGAAACTGCTTCGGCGTCGTCTATATATACTCAACACTGCCCTGCCTCCTTGCCACGCCGGCGTCCCCCACTTCCAACTCTTCAGCGCGCCTCTCTTTCACCTCGTCCCTCCGATGACACGCAGCAGCAACTGACCGAGTTCGACCCTGAAGCCATCGCCAGCCTCTTGCTCTGCCGGTCTAGCATCCTCGAATCATCCAGAAACCGACGCCCGGAGAGGCACATTAGCAAACAAACACCTTGAACGGCTGCCAGCACGGACAGGTCGGGGCCATGGTGGACAAGACGGAAGGGTAAGCCACTGCGCTTCTGATATCCCCCTTTCACTGCTGTCCGGCAGCGTCAAATGTATCCTTGTCCGTCTGTAGACGCTTGCCAATTACTGCATCTCCTTGCCTTTCCTGCCTGTCCAATTAGCTGTCCAGGCTCATGGGTTTGGGATGGTGGTAGTTGTGGTTTTTATTTTTATTTTTATTTTTTATTTTTATCTTTATTTTTTCGGCATCTGACTTCGCTGGCATTTAAGCTGACCACCTCGCACATGCATACAGACACAAACGCTCAAAGAGCGCTCTTGCACTCTCCATCCTTCATCGAGACAAATCAAAGAGCGACGATAGCAAGGAGGACGGCGCTACATCCCCTAACAATGGTTCTCCCGTTTCTTCATCTTCTTCCTCACCTCGAGAATCCCGCCACTCGCACTCAGCATCGATGATTAGTTTGCGGTCTTCAAAGCGCAAGGCAGCGCAAGACAACGGTGGTAATAATACCACAAATGTTGGCAACTGCCCTGAAATTCCAGAGGGCAGTGTCCAGGAAGAGATGGAAGAGCCTCGGCCGCGTCATTCTACCGCTGAAGCTGGCCATGCGACTGAAAGTAGTAGTATCAGTTTGGATCAAAGCGTGCGGACATTCAGGCTGTTTGAAGTCCTGCGGAGTGGAGATACCAATGCCATTACTAAAGCTGTCAAGGAATGTCAGGAATCAGGCGGCCAGGAGGGCGCTACCCTCGGCACAAGCATTTTACATTTGGCCATCCAGTGTGCAGACCCACAAGTTGTCGAATTTGTACTGGCTTCCGTGGACGATACAGGAATCAACGCTCGTGACCGCGAAGGCAACACTCCTCTTCACCTTGCTGCGCAACTAGGCAGACTACCTGTAGTTCGAGAGTTGTTGGAAAGGCCTGCCATAAACGACGCTGCAACCAATTTCCAAGGGCAGACACCACTCGATCTTGCTCGCAGCCCTGACATCTTCCAGCATCTCCAACTCGCTCGCTCCTTGTTCGTTGACACCAAGACCAGAGAAATACAGTCCTTGGTCGGCCAGGAGGATTATGAAAAACTAGAACGGGTCCTTGTTGAGCCTCGAGTCCAAGGGATGGTTGACATGAATGCTCCTGAGCTTGTCACAGACCGCACCACCTATCTGTCTGGTGGCACGCTGCTGCATGAAGCCGTACGAAAGAAGGACACAAAATTGATCCAGGTTCTTCTCATGCATGGCGCTGACCCTTTCCGCAGAGATAGAAAGGGTAAGCTTCCCCAAGACATCACCAAGGATGACCGGATACGCTCGTTTGTGAAGAAGTCACCCGCAGCGGTCATGGCTCAGCGTGGAATACAAGAAAAGGCTATCCTGGGGAACAACTTCGCCCAGGGATCCGGCGAGGTTTTCATCGGAGGGAAAGACGCGAGGGAGATCAAAGGATATTTGAAGAAGTGGACAAATTATACAACCGGCTATAAACTACGCTGGTTTGTCCTAGAGGACGGCGTCCTCAGCTACTATAAACACCAAGGTACGTTTTCTTTAAAAGAGATCATGTGATGATCCTTGGGTGCTAATAGTATATATATTTAGATGATGCTGGTTCTGCCTGCCGTGGTGCTATCAACATGCGTATTGCAAAACTAAACATGGACGCCCAGGATAAGACGAGGTTTGAAATCTTGGGAAAGTCCTCAGTCAAATATCATCTCAAGGCAAATCACGTTGTCGAAGCAAAACGTTGGTTCTGGGCGCTGAATAATGCCATTCAGTGGGCGAAGGATGAAGCAAAGGAAAGTGACAAACGACGGACAAAGGATGTTGAGGTGCTTCGACAGGCTAGGATGGAACAGATCGAGAGGCAAGACCAGGATGCCATGAGCACGGCTGGGAGTAAGCTAAATGATAAAACCCTCGCGCCTCCTGCAGCGTCCTTGGGTAGCACCACTACTCCCAGCGGATCGAAGTTGAGCCTACAAGTTTCTCGAGGTGGAACAGATAATGGTTTCGGGGACGATGAGGGCTCAGTCACCGGGTTCAACGACCCTAGTACTTCACAGTCCAACATGGCCAGAGTGATTAGCCATGTGACCACTAACACGGCTGAAGGTGATGGCGAAGATGACTATGCTGATTACACAAGCAGTCGTGAAATGCGACCAGCTTCAGACAAAGATGCCTTTAGCATCACAGCACAGTCTGTTCGCCTCCAGCTAGATATTCTACGTGGTGTTTCCTCGGCTATAAATGCCGAAAAGGCAAAGAATCCATCAGTGACATTGTCCGATCCTACCATTGCCCAGGGCTTAACGACGTACGGAAGAGCAGTTGATACTCTAAACTCACTTATTGTCGATTTACTCAAAATCAGCAGAGACAGGGATGCTTACTGGCAATACCGTTTGGACCGAGAGGCCGACGCCAGAAAGATGTGGGAAGATAGCATGGCTCGAGTTGCCCGGGAACACGAGGACCTACAGAACAGAATGGGCGAAAGTGAAGATAAACGACGCCGAACAAAGAAGGCCCTAAGGGAAGCCTTAGAAAACGTTTCAGTGCCACAAAGCCGAAGGCTAAGCCAAACTGTTCCCCCATCACAGGTGCGGACCTCGGATGCTGTAGAAGTGGTCCAGGACAGCAAAGAAGAGAAACGGCCCGAACAGACCAAAGAAGCCCCGTCTCCTGGAATATCGCGTAAGAAGACAGTGCTAGAGGAAATGAACCTGTCTGAGAGTGATTCGGACGATGAAGAGGAGTTCTTCGATGCCATAGATGCTGGTGACGTCGAAGTTGTCGTTCCAACGAAAGAAGAAAAAATACAGCTTGACGAATCTAGTGCTCGGGCGAAGAAGGAATTAGAAATTGCACCTTCATTCAAAGGATATGAGGATGAAATCAGAAAACGGCTGAAGATGGAGGCTGATGATCGTCCGAAGGTTTCTCTATGGGTAAGACCAGTGTTTCCAGCAGCCTTAAATAGTCTCTGAGCTTTAATCTAACACTTGCATCTATAGGGTATCCTGAAATCTATGATTGGAAAGGACATGACTAAGATGACTCTTCCCGTCTCATTCAACGAGCCAACGTCTCTTCTCCAGCGCGTTGCCGAGGACATGGAATACACCGATCTTATTGATGCCGCTGCGGACCGTCCGGACTCCCTGGAGAGAATGGTTTATGTGGCTGCATTTGCTGCCAGTGAATATGCCTCGACTATTGGGCGGGTTGCAAAACCATTCAATCCTCTCTTGGGTGAAACTTATGAATATGCCCGACCTGACAAGGGATATCGCTTTTTCGTTGAGCAGGTTAGCCATCATCCACCTATCGGTGCGGCCTACGCCGAGTCACCTAGATGGGATTACTATGTAAGTATCAGCCTTATTATCATCTATATATTTATTTACTTTCTTATTTACTTCTTGAATGTTGAAATACTGATTATTTATCTCTAGGGTGAATCTGCTGTGAAATCCAAGTTCTACGGTAAATCATTCGACATCAATCCTCTGGGAACGTGGTTTTTGCGACTCCGGCCCGCCTCCGGGGGTGAAGAGTTATATACCTGGAAAAAAGTTACCTCCTCTGTCATTGGTATAATTACAGGAAATCCCACCGTTGACAATTATGGTCCTATGGTCATAAAGAATTGGACCACAGGAGAGGTGTGCAATCTTGACTTCAAACCTAGAGGCTGGACGGCGGCTTCCGCTTATCATGTATCCGGCAAAGTCCTGGACAAGGATGGTGTGCCACACTGGAGTGTTGGAGGCAGATGGAACGACAAGATCTATGCACGAAAGCTCAGTCGCGATGCCTCCCTCTCGGCTTCTGAGATCACCCCAGACGGGAACTCTCCTCATGCCATGTTGATATGGCAGAGCAATCCCAGGCCCACTGGCATTCCGTTTAACCTGACTCCTTTTGTCGTCACGCTGAATGCTATCCCCGATAATCTAAAACCTCATCTCCCTCCCACTGACACCAGGTTACGACCCGACCAGCGTGCCATGGAAGACGGTGAGTACGATTTTGCTGCCACTGAAAAACATAGGGTCGAGGAAAAACAGAGAGCAAAGAGGAGAGACCGAGAATCGAAAGGCGAAGAGTATCAACCTAAATGGTTTGCCAAAGGTGTTTGCGAAACCACAGGTGAAGAGTACTGGGTGTATAACGGCAGCTATTGGAAGTCTAGAGCTGCAAGAGACTGGAGCGTTTGTGAAGATATTTTCTAAGGCCCACCCTTGTATCCTATATAATGCCTAATCGTTGAGCTGCTGTAGCCATTATCCTTTGTTAAACCGGTTTATCATTATGATTGTGATATTGACTGTTCAATGTATCAGACCCGCGTGCAATTAAGTAGTTAGGTATGCAGCCATCTAATTGGTCCGTTATATCACGTGACGCATTGTTCCTGAAGCTTTGAATATCGTAAATTGAACGGAAAGTATTTACACAATCGCAAAGTGTTTATCAAAAACCACCGCCACTCCCAATGGCGACCGAAGTTGCTTGTCGAAGGTGCGTGCAAGCACTTGGTCTAGGCATTCGCCGAAATGGGGTGACGTCGGGACCAAAGCTTAGGCAGCTCGCCCGCCTCAGTCACAGTTATCGAACTTATTCCACACCGTCTCGAAAGAATATTTCTCCACAGCAGCAACGACAATTAAGATTGAATGGTTGCAGGAGCCAGATAAGAGGGACAGCCTCGCTAGCTACGTCCCAGGAAGCCTCTACTAGCGAACAATCAGAGTCGAAACAGCCACTTCTGCGCCGAGACAATCTCTTCCATTCATACAGCAATTCCCCTTCGCCCCAGATAAGAAAACGAGCGCAATTTATCAAGCAACATGCCTTCTGTCCGCATCCAGATCATCAGCAAACCCGCGCCTCAGTATCTCCGGTGGGCTCCGAAGCTGAAAAGCCAGGCATCCCTAACGATCAGAAACAACCTCCTGCTCATGCTCAACATGAATGCCCGGACTGTGGTGTCCCAATATATTGCTCCGAAGAACATTGGATGGATGACTTTGAGGCGCATTTACAGGTCTGCGAGACTATTCGACAGATAAATGAAGATGACCATGACTTGCAATCTGGACGTTTCTTCACGGAATTTGACTATCCTGGCTACCAGGCGGATGAGATTGTGGTAAACATGACAAATTGGGATACTTTCCTGTACACCAGGGAGTTCGAGGCTGTCAACGACGATAGGAGCATGCGCCAGGTTACTAGGCTGCTTACCTACCCGGTCACAATTGCAAGTGTACTACATGAACTTAGCCCTTACAACATTTCAAAGGGTGGAAGATTAACCCCAGAAGGATTGAAGAGTTTAAGTGGTGAGTTATTTGCCTTCTTTGATTACAAGTGTACTTTAAGCCCTGGGAGTTCTTCTAACTTGAGAATTCAGCTCTACGCTATACCCTACACCCACCAAAGTCAGGCGAGGGAAGCACTATGAAAGGACTGCGGTTAAAGGCTCCTCCAGTCCGAATCTTCGTACTCGGTGCGCGTGCAGAGTCTTCATTACCGCGGGAAGTCTGGATGCAAATTTCACACCTCTTCCCTCGTGCCACTATCAATCTGATCTTCATTGGACCCGAGAGCATGGCAAACCGCGATGATGAGTTCCCGCTCCCAGAGCGAACTGCAAGCAATCCTTTCGGCGGAATTGTTGAAGACCGCCTCGGCCCCCAGATGAAAATTACTACCTATGTCGATTACTTCCATACCATGCACAAGGCGAACATGTTTGCACCCTATGACCCATATTTTGACTGTTTCATGCTCTTCCATCCTGGTTTGGGACATCCGGCCAGTTCCCACGAGTGGGAGGAGACTCTTCCATGCCTATTGGAGACCAAAGTTCCTATTATATGCACTGGCTACACCCAGAGTGACATGGAGAGAGATCTGAACTGGGTAAAAGAAAAATGCGGCGGAGAAGCAGACATTCTTCTTGAGCAAGGGGAGAACAGATTTCGAAGCTTGAGATGGGACCTGAATGACCTAGATCCTCATGATGTGTCCTGTGGCAACTGGGGAGTATGGGCTTTCAGAGGAAAGAGATATGAGGCCACTTTCAAAGATTCTTGATTCTTGTATGATACTTAGCACTTTATGTTGTTTAGGATCTTCACTCACCAATATCCTATAATTATTTTTATATGTACTATTATCACCAAAACGATTAGCAAAGTGTCAAATGATTGATCCCAAATTGAAGAAAGTGAACCCACACCAAGACTCGGTTAGTTGAAGCTATATATTTGACTTTTTAAGTCAGTGAATATAGTTATCTATTTCGTAAATATGTATATACATGTATGTACAGTGTGACATTAGATAGGCGGTATAAAAACCATGAACAGCTTAAGAGGTAACACTACCAACAAGCTCCCTAATATATGTAAAAGAAAGTGACGGGGTATCAAATCCAAACACCAATAGGAAAAAGAAAGGAAAGTGCAAAGGCTAAGGCGATTGTCATACCCTCTAGAACTCTGGCGAGGGGAATATTTTATGGTGTATCCTGATGCTTCGTCTATAGTAGAAGGACAGCGGAAAAGACCATAAAAGCCATGAGCCAGTAGCCACTGATTTTAAGGACCCTTGGAGGTGCCATGGACTCTGTTTGAGGATTGTCATCCGGTGCAGTGGTTCCATTCTCCAAGGTACCATTGATGAAAATGGATGTTGTACCATTGGCATCTGCAACTCTAACTATTGGGGAGGCACTGGTGATGTTGTTTGGGTCGGATTTATCCAGGAGGGTGTCGATATAAGTGTTGTTATTATTGTCTTCACACCCACAAACGGAGTATTGCTGGCATAGACAGGTAACTGGTAACATCTGGTCCCTCATGGAGGTTCTGTTGTACCATATATAAGGCTCCGAATGGTAGTAAGCGTAGACACCAAAGAGCCAAAGCCCAGGGAAAAATGCGAGCGCAGCTAGAGGGAGAAAAGACGGGCTGCGTCCCAGGGGTGATCTGCCGCCAGCCTTGAATGGCACTCTGGCTCCGCCACCGTAAAATCCGCCGAAGCTGCGAGGAGTTCCTGATCCAAGGGGGGATGTCCCACCAGCGTTGCTAAGCAGGGGTGTCAGTTAGCTCGCTGTTCCACTCTTTGGGTGACCAAGTGAGTAACATGAGGGTGCTTACGCTGGCCTTGGGGGATATGCACCACCTCCGCCGGGGCGCGGGCGTCCTCCGCTTCCAGAGCCGCTGCCGCCAGAACGCCCACCTCCGCTCCGCCCACCACCTCCGCCGCCACGGCCTCCGCCTCCTCCGCCCTTACGCTTCTCTAAGTCTACAGCGTGTTTAGGACCCTCAACAACAGAAGGAGGCTCCAGTTCCCTGACAGTCGCAAGATCTGTGGTTTGGAGGATACTTCGCGACGCTACATTGGAAGATAGCAGCAGCAAAGACAGCGCAAAGCCCACGGAGAACTTCATTGGGGCAGCAAACGCACTCAAACTAGGCGGTCGGGAGGAGAAGAATAAACTAAATGGAATAGATAAAAGGCGCCTCTTGATGCTTGACCAGATGGTGTGTGTGTGAAACTTGCGTAGAGCAATAAGTAAGTAGAGTAAGTAGGTCAGTACGTTCTTAGTTATATAATCCTAGAAACAAGCACTGCCTCCTCTAACTCTACCTTGTCGTTGATCTCATCTTAACTCTCACGGACCGGGTTTCTTCCATGGCCTTGGCTTATTTCTTGTTAGCCAGTTAGCTAATTAACTGACTACATGGCATCGCCACGATCCCGCGGCGTTTAGTTTAGCTAACTAGTTAAAAGCTGAGCCCTGGCCTGGTTCACTCGTTTATCCAGCAAGGTTATCCTGCACTAATAAACACATGGCCGCAGTGAGGCTCTGTCGACGATGGTCGTGCCTCTGCTGGTCTGCCCTAAGGGCTTTCTGGTAACTAGCCGTGAAACAAGTGCCTTCATATAAGGGGGCTTTGCAACAATCCCTTGCAAGGGAGATGGCGATGATGACTAAACGGCCCGCTCTGACACGGAGAGGCAAACAACCCCCTCGTCCATCCACCTCATCACGCGTGCATCCCGGTGTATCACCAGCCAGGCCCCAAGCTATCCCGCCCCCTGCCGAGCGCTGCTCGAGATATTATATGCTCCTCCGTACTGCAGGTCGATATTGGTTTGTCACGTCCGCTTCCCTTTTCGGCCAGGATATGACTAATACAGTTATGAATTATATAAGCTCTTGGCGGCTTAAAAGGCTAAAACTAAAAAAAAAACTTCTTTCTGACCTCAAGCGAAAAACGACGAGGACGAAGGAGAAAAAACGCCAGCGAACAGACACGTTTGTGCTGGCACAGCCTGCTTGGGACTCCAGCCGATAATGATGTTAACTTTCTAGGACCCAACCTAACGCCCCGCATATTGGCAATCCGTACGGATATGCTTCGATTAGGCGCTGCTGTCCCTCTCTTCGGTCTCGATTCTTCTTCGTAAACGACCCTATCAAATACAGACACTTCTCCCCGCAATCCTCAAGCCCAACTGTCCACCCGGTATTGGACGATCCACGGACTTTCGTTACGAAGGCGGCCCGCATCTGCTCACGTCTTGTGTCAGTGCATGGCTGGAGTTGGGTCTCCTGAGATGGTTTGAGAGAGACACTTTGCTTGTCTTTTTGCGACAATTCTCAGATTGCAACATCAAGTTTACAAACAGGGCCTTCATAGTTCATGCTGTTCTCTGTTCCCAGCTGGGAGATTTTCCACAGAGAGCATGACTCCTTGCGCACCTACATATCTGTATTTATGATTCTTATGTCTGCCCAAACTATCTAGATGCGTTGTGTACGGTGTACATGTCTATATTAGCTGCCAACTAGTTCAGAGTTTACTAGGTTGGCTCGCACCCTCACCCTCGGGAATCTGTACAACGACCTTACCCCAAGTTTGTCGCCCCCCAAGGGCCCGCAGTGCCTTGGGAACAGACTCTAAGCCAACAAACCTCTCATCGGTGAAGCTAGTGCCCTTGAACTTGCCTTCTTTGATTAGGTCAAATATCCCGTTCCACACGGATTGCACCGTCTCCTTCTCAAAGGTGGCATACTGACCCCAATGCAAGCCCACGATGCTCACATTTTTCAACAACACTCTATTGAGAGCAACCTTCTCGATTTTTCCGGCTGCAAACCCGATGACCAGGAGTCGAGCATTCCATGCGACGCATTTCAGGCTCTGCTCAATCATACCGACTGGATCGTACACAATATCCACACCAGCCTTGCCGTTTCCGCTCCTATTCTCCGCACATAGTTTCTTTATTGCGTCGGGCCAATTTGGGTCTCTGTAGTCAATCGTATAATCGGCTCCAAAGCTCTGTGCTATTTGTCTCTTTCTCTCAGTACCTGCCGTGGCAATTACCGTAGCTCCTTTAGCCTTGGCGACTTGAACCGCGGCGAGTCCTACACCGCCGGCCGCGGCATGGACAAGGGCCCAATCTCCTTTTTGTACTTTGGCCCTGTGAACTAGCCCACCGTACGAGGTAGGAGCTGTAACAAATAGCCCTGCGGCATCTTCAAAGCTCCAACCTTGTGGTAGCGGGAATAGCGAAGTTTCGCCAGCGAGGATATGGGTGGCATATGCCCCCTGAGTGGCACCAAACACTCGATCCCCGACGGCAAATCGAGGATTCTTGCTGGCTGTGGGGGTGCTGAGGACAACACCAGCGAATTCGGTACCCGAAATCCACGGAAGTGGTGGCTGATGTTGGTATTTGCCTTGTATCTGAAGCAGGTCGAAGAAATTGGTTCCTGCCGCATGTATTCTGATTAGGTACTTATCCGCGCTTGGGGACGGCGTGGGAAGAGTCGACACTGCCAGGTCCAGCGGACCCTGTTGTGTTGTTTGTGGCGGTTAGCAAGCTGAGCAAGTCCTGTCATCCTGGATGTACTCGGCTCATACCTTGACGTATTCGTGAACTTGAATCGCGCGCATCCTGACCGAAGCTTATTGTACGTTTTAAGCCGACCCTGCGATATAGCTATTATCTTTGGAATGTCCCGTGAATTGATAATTAAAATATCGCGTATTAACCAAGGAGACGAGGTTGTAGCGGAGGGTTATTAATTATTGAGACCCCGGGGTTGTTAACCAACTCGTTATCCAACCCAAGCTTCGGGTTGTGCCGAGGTCCACGGCTTTCTGCTTCTCGGCAGACCGGCTGTTGTTAGACAACATAAGAGTGGCCTGTTAGAGAAGTGATATTGACTACAGGGGGATGAGCGTACCCAGCACCGCATGATGCTGTAAGACTGAAGCTGATAGGGGAAACCCTGACGCCTAAGACAGCATGACCAGCTCTCCGACTTCGGCCAGCGCCGTGTCGGACAGAGAAGCCTGTATTTGATCTCTGTTGCATGTAGAGCCTGGACTGGGCAATGCAGATAGGAAATAAGTGTGGAACGAGGAGGTAATAGACGCACCGGGAGCATATTTCACATAGTTATACCTGTGATTTTCAATTGGCACCTGGAATTGACTCAAAAGGTGCCCAGATAGTTAGACGTGGAAAGCCAAAGGATGCAAGTTTACCAAAGGGAAGAGTATCATATCCATGGCTTAATATGGCAATAGGTACCTCCGTGAACATGAGTTCAATACCAACGTTCTAGCCTTGAAAAACGAGGATGAAGCGAGGTCATAGGTCCAAGCAGTTCAGCTATCATCTTCAGAAATCGTACATGACCAGTTGATGAAGACGTATTTCACATGGCTTACAGTGGCCTTCTTTTTCTTTTTTTTTTTTTTTTTTTTTTTTTTTTTTTTTTTTTTTTTGTAGGAGTATCCAGCTCCCAACATATATCATTTCGTACAAGCAACCATTCACCATAGAGGGCATAGGTATAGTTAAAAAGAGAGGAATGACATCAAACAGGCCAGATAGACAAACAAAGGGGTAAGACATAACGCCCCATTTAGACAAACATATTAACCCTATTAATACCCCCGCTCAATTTCCTTCCATAAGTTCGCCTTGACCCGTTTCCCATACCTGTGTGTCATCTAGAATAAGTAAAAAATGTAGGTGAAATGTAGGAGAAAGAGACAGACAAA